TTGCAACTCTGTTCCTGTGGCTGTAGTTTGTTTTTATCTATTTTTTCCATTCTGAATCTTAAAATGGTTGTAAGCTGCCCTGGGACCTGCTGGTGAAGGGAGGGGGGTTGTTCTTCAACATCAACTTCGTTGGACTGGTCACATTGTTTGGATGCCTGGTTATCATCTTCCAAAGCAACTACTGTATTCCCAACATAAGAATGGAAAGCATAATGCTGGTGGTCAACAAAAGAGGTTTAAAGACTCTCTCAAGGCAAATCTTAAAAAATGTAGTACGGTGGTACTTCAGTTTTCAAACGTAATCCATTCCAGAAGACCGTTCGACTTCCGAAATGTTCAAAAACTTAAGCATGCATTTCCAGAAGCATTTAGTTATGGAAAACTCAAAACGGAAGCTGCGTGGCACGTTTGACTTCCAAAAAGCATCCGGAAGCTGAAGCAATTACTTCCACGTTTTTGGAGTTCGAAAACCGAAACGTTTGACTTCTGAGACATTCGAGAACTGAGGTACCGCTATATAAACACCGACAATTGGGAAACACTGGCCGGTGCGTGCTCCAATTGGAGAACAGCCTCTACCCAAGGCAGCATGGACTTTGAAGACGCTTGAATTCAGGACGAAAGGTGCTAAAGAGGGTTTGGCAAACCCTCACTGTGATCAGCTCCTGCCCGGAAACCTATGTCCCCACTGTGGAAGGACACGTGGATCCAGAATAGGCCTCCACATCCACCTACAGACACACCCCTAAGACCATGTTCATGGAAGACAATCTTACTCAGCTACGAGTGATCGCTAGAAAAGAAGAAGAAGAAGAAGAAGAAGAAGAAGAAGAAGAAGAAGAAGAAGAAGGGGGAGGGCATAACAAATATAATGCTGATAGTGGCAGAGGGTGGGGTAGTAAATATGATGATGATGATGGAAAGGATGAAATAGATTTCTCACTGGATAGCCTTATAAGCATCCTTGACTGATTCCTTTTCCTTTTAAACCTCCATGCAGAGGGATTCTGCACAGTCTCCCTTGGTAAGCTATTTCACTGCTGAATTTGTCATCCTCCGGATTAGTAACATCAGTCTGCTGGAAGGAAGTGCAGACCCCTTTTGTGCCCAGCGATTACAAACAGATGCTGAGCTGATTGCTTTTGACTACGCACGGTGGGCAAAGGAAGGAAGTGGGGAACTTTCATCTTCAGATGCGATACATAAAATGCCACACATCTGGAGATATAACCAAAGCCAGAACGGAAGAGTGAATTATTGTTTTTTTTAAGTGAGGGGGAGAGAATAAAGAGCATTATTTACATGACGTGCTTGTGTCCCACCATTTCTGCACGGAAGGAGCCCACAGCAGAGCTCACCACAGGCTGCCATGTTTTGAACTCACAGCACCCTTGCAAGATGGACAGACATTTTGCCCCTCTCCCCCGTCAACAGGAAACCCTCCCGCAGCAGGTCTTCCTCCCCTCAAGAAAACACCACTAGGGCTAGCGCAGGTGCAGCACTTTAAATAATGATCAATTTTTCCTGCCATGTGAAATGTCTGTTAATGTGGGTTCGCCATCACTGTTGCTGTGCCCCTGGGTCCCCTTTGTCCACTAAGCATCTTTCAGACGACTTATTTCAACTGACAGCGGAAGCTAAAAAGCAAGGAGCGATCCCAGAGAGAGAGAGGAGAAATCCCTAAACTCCTCTCCTCTCTTCCAAGCTGCTTCTGCTTTTCTTAAAGTCCCCAGAGGGCTGCCCAAAATGGAATGTGGCTCTTGGCTCATGTCAGGTGTGCGTGCAGGAGCCAGGCCCTGTGACCAGTAGGGCTTCGCCGGACTGGGGCCTTCCTAAGTTTGTTCTGGAGAGGCAAGGTGTGGCCGCACAGGTGAGGCCACTTGGTAACTCACTGCACCTGGTGGCAAGAGCCGGGAAGGGATATAAGGTCAGCATTTCCCTTCGGCTCTTGGCCACAGCAACATGTCTCCTGCCTTGCTGCATTTGGCTTCTTGCTTCCTGATCCTCGGACCTCAGCTTCTTGACTCCTTCTCAACCCTTGGACCCTTGACTTCATGACTCCCTGATTTCTGACCCTCGGACCCCTGGCTTCTGGACTCTCGCTCCTGCTCCCACCCCACCATCTTGCCCCCGGTCCCGACGTCCTCAGCCGGGACTTCGATCACCCATAGACCGGACCATGACAGCCCATCTCTGGGATAAAGGAATCAAGAACCCATGAGACAAGCCATTTATGTGTTCTCTTAATCTTAGTAAAGGTAAAGGGAGCCCTGATCATTAGGTCCAGTCGTGACCAACTCTGGGGTTGCGGCACTCATCTCGCTCTATAGGCCAAGGGAGCCGGCATACAGCTTCCAGGTCATGTGGCCAGCATGACTAAGCTGCTTCTGGTGAACCAGAGTAGTGCACAGAAACGCCGTTTACCTTCCCGCTGGAGTGGTACCTATTTATCTACTTGCACTTTGACGTGCTTTCGAACTGCTAGGTTGGCAGGAGCAGGGACCGAGCAATGGGAGCTCACCCCGTTGTGGGGATTCGAACCGCCGACCTTCTGATCGGCAAGTCCTAGGCTCTGTGGTTTAACCCACAGCGCCACCTGCGTCCCTTCTCTTAATCTTAGAAAAGAGCTAAAACTTGCAAACTCCTTGACAACTACTAGCATAGGGGTCATCTATGAGGGGGCGTGGCACCCACAAATTTTCAGTGAATGGGCCGAGGGCTCCCCAGGTTCTGCTCCACAGCATGGGCACATTGACACACCCTCATGTGATGCAGATCAGCATGTGTTGGGCACCCACTGTCCCAGGGGCAAGGGGGCACGCCTGCCTACTAGTGACCATCAGACTTCTCCTGAAACCTTCTCATTCTTAATATTACAGCAGAAGGGTTTGAGAAAGGAAGCTGGGGAATGATGGGGAAACACAAAATACAAGAAATGTGAGGGATAAGACTGAAATATCACCTCTCCTTTTCCTATGCATGTCTAAGGGCAGAGATTTGTGCTGGCTTTTTAGATGGAAGAGCCATAGCTTGCAAAAGGCCCCAGGTAAAGGTAAAGGACTCCTGGATGGTTAAGGCCAGTCAAAGGTGACTATGGGGTTGCAGCATTCATCTCGCTTTCAAGCTGAGGGAGCTGACGTTTGTCCACAGACAGCTTTCCAGGTCATGTGGCCAGCATGACTAAACTGCTTCTGGCGCAACGGGACATTGTGACGGAAACCAGAGCGCATGGAAACACTGTTTACCTTCCCGTCACAGTGTTACCTATTTATCTCCTTGCACCAGCGTGCTTTCGACTTGTTAGGTTGGCAGGAGCTGGAACAAAGCAACAGGAGCTCACTTCGTCGTGGGGATTCAAACCGCTGACCTTCCAATTGGCAAGCCCAAGAGGCTCAGTGGTTTAGACCACAGTGCTACCCATGCCCTGGCATGCCAAGGTGGAGACGGAATTGTTCTCTGCCTGAAATCCCAGAGAGCTGCTGCCAGTCAGAGTAGGCAGTTCTGATCTAGAATGATGGACCTGATGGCCTGTCTCAATATAAGGCGGTTTCCTCTCCACTACTTCTGATTCCAGTTGAGACTTATGATGCTAAGCTGTTTGGGTTATGATAAAAACCAGCCCTTCACTTCCCCACTCTCCTTGAAGCTGCTAATTTGCGTTGAAACCGAGCCACAACCATTACCCCAGCCTTTTTTTTCTTTTTGACCTGGTCTGGGTGTCAGCAGATGATGGCCAACTGACCCTTTCAGCAGGATTTGAGAGGGGAGGAGAAGGGAAAGACTGGAGCCTCAGTAGGGAACTCGCTAATTGCTCCAGCAAATATTTTCTAAGCCACAGATCAGCTGGTGTGCTGGGCTCCATCCCAGAAGCCAACCCAATTTATTTGTCATGTTTCAACACTCCCTCCCTCCTTGTTCATGCTGTGTATTGAATCACTTGGCAGGTATGCAGAAACTGCTCCAGACTGGGCTGACACCTTTTGAAATACAATTAGCTCCTTACCTTGCTAAGGAGGCAGACTGACAGCTAAGAAGGGGGTGGGGGAGAGCAAGAGAGATAGACGGCCTGCAAGGGCACAAACAAGGGCGGGCGGGGGATAAATGTGAATGAAGGAACAAGCAGCCAACAGCATTCAGCCCCAGCGCCGCATGAGAATCTTAACCAATGAGCAGCACCATTGTCTCTAACTTCATTAACCCCAAGGTTCTGAATCCGCCCCCAAACAGATGCCGAAGTTTAATGCTAGTTTTGTGCCATTTTGTGCCATGAACCCCCATTTCATGCCCCCACCACCCAACCGACTAATTGACACAACAATTCAGGGTCATGAGTGAATGCAAAAACTAAATAAAAATCCAGCCTTGTCCAATGGACTCCAAGCAGGTGCCAAAGCTTTGTGCTAGTTTTGTGCTGCAAACCCCACGTTTTGTGCTGCCCCCCTAATGGAATAATTGACACTCAAACCGGGGTCACAAGTAAATGGTCCAAACCTTGTCCAATTGCTTCCAAATCAATGCCAGATGAAGCTACTGTATCTCCCCTCCGTACAATGTAGTGCAACTTTTTTTTTTTCATTTACTGAGATGGAAGAAGAGGCTGGTCCATTAGGTAAAATGAATCACTGCCCCACCAAATTCTCTCTGTTCTTTGACAACCCCCATCTGCCTACCTTCTTACGACTGGTCCCAGGGAGTGGCAGTGCCACAGGTCATGACCAGCTGGTAGGGGGCAACAGTTGGCAGGGCAAAATGGTGTGTGGAGGCATTGCTCACCTGGTGTCCCCAGTGAAGGTCATTGTTGGTGGAGAACGGAGGAGGTTGACAGCAGTTGGAGCTGATCTCCCCACTGCCTCAACCCTGCACCTTTCCCTCTCGCTTACCACTGCATCACTGTCTTACTGTCTTAGTTGCAGTTTCCTCCATCTATTTCCTTGTTATCTGGAGGTTTCAGGTGGCTGTGTAGTAATCTGGTCCAACCCCCTGCAATGCAGGAAACTTTTTGCCCAATGTGGGGCTTGAACCCACAACCCTGAGATTCAAAGCATCATGCTCTACCAACTGAGCTGCTGTTGGGAAGACAGGTGAGCACTGCTGGCAAGTGAAAATTTCCTCCTAGCCCCACTCCTGCCTTGCCATTGTATTGCCTTTCCTTTGGCTTTATAATCACGCAACTCACCATGCTGAAAGAAGACCATTTTGATATGTATTTGAACTCCTAAGCTGCCTTTCTATGATTTGCACCCATGGCAGAGTGCGGAATTTAACATGCACACATAAATTACCACGCCCCACTGAAATCAATAAGAAAGAAGCTTGTTGGGGGTTAATGTTTGGACAAGACAGAGGAATAAAGGGAGACACATGTTGTTAACATTATTTCAGTTTACAGAACACTAACTATCCACAGATCTGTTTAAAATAAGGAAAATACATAATCCATGTACATAAATATACAATAAACATGGTTTATAGTTATAAAGTTCCAAATAGATAAATATGCAATATCCACAACACCAGATCTATATACCGTAACTAAGATCAGAGAAAATGACTAGGCAAACTCCCAAACAATGCAAAACACACTGGGTAGAATTCAATGTTGTCCTCTTCCAATTATTTTTATCTGCACATGCATTGCAGCTTGACAGATGGAACGACCTCCTCCTCACATGGGGTGGCATGGGTGGAATCCCCTTTACACAAGCAGAAGTCCTTGCCCAGGGCTTCTGCTGATGAGGTTGGTTAGGCGAATCCCGCCCCCTAGCTTGCGTTCAGCTAAGTCCTACTTAGACTCACTGAACATTAATGAACCCAAGTTCATCATGTTTATTAACTTCAGCAGGTCTACTGTGAGCAGGACTAGCATTGCCTCCCACTCACTAACCCAATCTCACGCTTTCCACCCATTCACACAACTACTATCACCATCTCATGCAATGTTTGTACCAGCCAATCGCGCACGCTCAGGCCACTGGCATTCAGCAACGCCACATCCCAGGTATGCTTGCTACAGCCTCGTATCCTTCTAACAAAGGATCGTCACAATGCATGCACAAATATCAGGTTCTCCCGTTCTTCTTTTGCAGCACGAGTGGGCTCAGGGCTCACACCCACTGACTTATCAAATGCTCCCTATCCAATATACAGAGAACAATCAGTGTCATGTTGAACATCAAATATACAATGCCTGCTAATTATTTGCTTCGACTCTTTGACACAACGTCTTCATGGGTTCCATGTTCTGCCATGGCACTTCCCATTGCATTGGCAAAAATCCGGGGAGAGGAAGAGTTTTGGACGTGGAAAACACAGACACACCAATGAGATCAGCTGGAGGAAAACAGGAGCTGTGGATGTATATGCAATTGCCTGCTGACTGGGAACCTAAGTTGCACATTGTTTAAGCAACCACCCTGCTATTCAACATTAAATTAGCACCAACACTCTGCTAGGTCACATTACAAGGCACTCTCATTGTTGTTGACAAAGCCGAATCCCCTGGGATGCTTAAAATAACATCTCTTCCTCCCTTGTGTTCTTCTGGGGTGGAGAGTTTGGCACCCCAAGACTGAACAGCAGCAGCTGCTCATTAAAGGGAATATGGGAAGCTGGAGGGAGCCAAGAGAACAGACAGGTGCCTTACTTTGCCTAACACTGACACTCTGTGGCCATTTCTCAGCATCACAGCCGTGAGCTTAGGCTTTCAAAAACAAACTCGGAGGGAGCATTCACAGGACCACTGATGGAACACAGCTAAGTTCTGATCTGAGTAGAATCGCTGAAATTAATCAAGCCCACTTTGTAATGTTCATTAATTTTAGTTGGAGTAGACCAAGTTAGATTTAGTCAAATGCCACCCAAGAGAAGCAGGGTTTAGATTGCTCTGCTGGTTCTCCCAGGCGGAAAAACTGCAACAAAGCTCATGTACAAGTACAGTGGTACCTCGGTTCTCAAACTCAATCCATTCTGGAAGTCCATATGACTTCCGAAATGTTTGAAAACCAAGGTTGATTGGCGCTGGAAACAATGCCGACAGCCAAAGCACTTCCGGGTTTGCAGGGTTCGGGAGCAGATTTGTTCGCCAACTAAGCCGTCCGGGAACCAAGGTACCACTGTAACTGGTTTGCTCATCCATTTCCCTCCCCTCTCCTCTTTCTTCTCCCTCGCTCGTCTCTTCAGCACTGTCTTATTTTGTTGTCTTACTCTGTGGAGCATAATGCGAGTTGATGTTGCTGTGTTAATTAATTGTGGAGGTGTGGGGGGAAAACACTGGTGTTTGAGTGAATCCATATTACCTTGCGTATGTTTTCTTTAACTGCAGTCCCTTAAAAAAAGCTGAATGAAAAATATATGTATTGTTTAATAATGCTATGACCACAGGGAAGAAAGGAAACAAACAGAAGGAGATAATCTGCCAACAGCCTGCTTGCTTGAGGCTTCAGCCTGTGGAGGGCACCGTGCAGCTGTTGTCTCCCTTGGCAAACTGGGAAGAATAAGTAACCCTCATGTAGTTCCTCTTCAGGTTGCCACTTCCATCCTTACCTGTGTTGTTACCTTTAATGGACTTTAATAACTAACTGCATGACAACCAGAAATGCAACAGCTAAAGGTGCCTCTCTGTGCAGGAATCATTTAGTTCTTGCATTTCTGCCTTGCAAAGTGGACTTTAAAAAAGAAGTGTGAACCATATCCATTCTGTTGCAGATATTAAATATTGCGCAGTTTGAAGTTAATTGAAGCATAAGAACTGACTCCTTTGCAAATGAAGCATTGCCTAGATCAGAGGTTTTCAAGCTTTTTGAGTCCACGGCTCCCTTGACCAACTGCATTCCTTCTGCAGCACCCCTGTGGGGCTCAGGAGCCCAGTTAGGTCACCCCTTGCCTGCAGAGCTGGAAGCCTCTCACCCTTTTTTGAACACCCTCCCCCTTTGTGGAGTGTTCCCTCAACCTCCTCTCCAGAGCCAGTGTGGTGTAGTGGTTAAGAGCGGTGGACTCGCAATCTGGTGAACTGGGTTCGATTCCCCGCTCCTCCACATGCAGCTGCTGCGTGACCTTGGGCTAGTCACACTTCTCTGAAGTCTCTCAGCCTCACTCACCTCACAGAGTGTTTGTTGTGGGGGAGGAAGGGAAAGGAGATTGTTAGCCGCTTTGAGACTCCTTAGGGTAGTGATAAAGCGGGATATCAAATCCAAACTCTTCTTCTTCTTCTTCTTCTCCTTCTTCTCCTTCTTCTTCTTCTTCTTTCTTGGGAGTCTGCCAGGCAGCAGCCGTCACCACCTCTGGTCCACCCAAAGAGAGGCGACTCCTCAAACTGTCCCACAGGGGCCTGGGAAGAGGATGCCTCCAGTTTAGTGGCCCAATGGAGACTGGCCAAAGGTGAATGTGTGGCAAGCACCTTACCTTGGGAGGCAGCAGTGGGTGCTTCTGGGCCTGCACGGCAGACTGTCTCCCCTTCAGCACCAGGCACTCAGCTCCCAGGCAGGCTTTGCAACAAGGCAGCAAGCACAAGAAAGTACAATGAAGAGGCAATTGTATTTCATCCAGCAGAGCTTTACTGCTACTGAGGGCAAATGAGCATAATGGTCACAAATCCAACACATTCAGGATTGGCACTGTCCATGAGAAATCCAGCTACAGCAGACTTAACTCAAACTTACAATGATTTATAATAAGACTAAACCTTAACACTAAGCATACTATGTACAGAACACCACACCAGAAGGAAGGGAGATAGAAAGAGAAAAGTGAAAACCAGGCTCCTTCTGGCCTTACTTTTACAGTGGTACCTCAGGTTAAGAACTTAATTCATTCTGGAGGTCCATTCTTAACCTGAAACTGTTCTTAACCTGAGGTACCACTTTAGCTAATGGGGCCTCCTGCTGCCGCCGCACAATTTCTGTTCTCATCCTGAAGCAAAGTTCTTAACCCGAGGTACTATTTCTGGGTTAGCGGAGTCTGTAACCTGAAGCATCTGTAACCTGAAGCGTCTGTAACCAGGGGTACCACTGAATAGTCAGAATACCACAACACACACGTAACTGGCTGTAAAGTAACATAACATTATATATAATAAAACTGTAATTTAATCGTCGTATCAAAAAATTGCAAAGCACGGTCCCTGATGGCAATAACATATCATATTATTATTAACCTTCTATATAACCTTCTATATATAAAGTCCAAGGATAGTCAAGTCCAAAGATTGTCAAGTCCAACGATTACAATGTACAGTTCCTGTTGGCAATGCCATTTCATACTGATATCTTCCTTCTGCATCATCCTATGTCTTAAAAGTCTAACAAACGAACTTGCCTTCTGCATAGTCCTACGTCTTGAGAGTGTAACAAACAGAGCTACTTAGTAACAACAAGGCAGCTGATGATAGACCAGTTCTCAGGATACACCCTCATTTCTTCCATTGGGCTTCTTCAGCGATAAGGTTTCCAGGAGATTTCCAAGAAACTTGGCAGAAGAGATAACAAAACCAGTTTAAGCTCAGCTTCTTTGAAGGAATAACCCAAACATCACGAACCTTCTGCTTGTTCCTTTCACGCAGAGAAGCTTCCAGAACCCACTTGAATTAAGAAGAAAAGGAAAGATCTCTACACATCAGATGAATACTTTCTGCACTAAGAAATGCAAACTGATACAGACTTCTGCTTGGTGTGTGGGTGTAGAATCTTAATTAATTGAGTACTTTCAATGCTTTTTACTAGTTTTATGAATTTGGGGGTGCAGCTGCCTCCCTGCCCCACTCCCCTGGGCTACGCTGCCCCCACAACGGCGCAGTCATGCTAATAACTGCTGCCACCACCTTTACTTTTACCATGGGGGGGGCAGAGCAGGATCATCTCTGCCCTGGACCCAGCGCACAAGGTCTGATGCTGCGTGATGTGTCTCTGTGCAGTAGAGAAAAGGATCACGCTCTTTGACAGCAGCTCTCAGCAAATAGAAAAGAACAAGTGCATGGCACACAGCCCAGGAATTATTGATTTCTGTTTCATTGAGGATGAGCACAAGGAAACATAGGAAATAGACACACACACCCGGGCAGAGGCAGGATCGTTGGTGACGCTACAATGCTCCTCTGTCTATGTGCATATCGAGACCAATTAAAACCCCCAAAGATTGTGCTAAATATTTTTTTACTGACATTAGCAGGCATGACGTGAATCCCTCCATTGCCACCCAGGAAGCAGAATGCATGCAAGGCACTAGGACAGGGTAACAACAATCCAAAAATACCGTATTTTTCCGTGTGTAATACGCCCCCGTGTATAAGCCACCCCCTATTTTGGCGGACTCCAAATTAAATAATTGAATAAATAAATTTTTATTTATACCCCGCCCTTCCCAGTTCAGAAAACCGGGCTCAGGGTGGCTAACAACAAATTTAAAACACTTAATTGATGCAACAACAAAAAAGCATAAAATACAATATACCGTATTTTTCGCACCATAGGACACACCGGCCCATAGGACGCATCAAGTTTTTTGGGGGGGAAATAAAGAAAAAAAATTATTTCCCCCCCCAGGCGCTTGTGGGGCCGGCAGCGGGGAGCGCTCTTCTCCCGCAGTCCGCCTTCAGATCAGGTCCGGGACAGCAGGAAGACGCGCTGCGCCTCCCAGCTGTCCCCGGAGCTTGGGGGCAGGCAGCGGGAGAAGCGCTCTTCTCCCTGCCGCCCACCTTGCGATCAGGTCCGGGGACGGCGGGAGTACGCGCTGCATCTCCCCGCTGTCCCCGGGGCTGGGGGGCCGGCAGCGGGGCGAAGCACTCTTCTCCCCGCCGCCCGCCTACAGATCAGGTCCGGGGACAGCGGGAAGACGCGCTGCGTCTCCCAGCTGTCCCCGGAGCTTGGGGGCAGGCAGCGGGGAGAAGCGCTCTTCTCCCTGCCGCCCACCTTGCGATCAGGTCCGGGGACAGCGGGAAGACGCGCTGCATCTCCCAGCTGTCCCCGGAGCTTGGGGGCAGGCAGCGGGGAGAAGCGCTCTTCTCCCTGCCGCCCGCCTTGCGATCAGGTCCGGGACAGCGGGAAGACGCGCTGCGCTCCCAGCTGTCCCCGGAGCTTGGGGGCAGGCAGCGGGGAGCGCTCTTCTCCCTGCCGCCTGCCTTGCGATCAGGTCCGGGGACAGCGGGAAGACGCGCTGCATCTCCCAGCTGTCCCCGGAGCTTGGGGGCAGGCAGCGGGGAGAAGCGCTCTTCTCCCTGCCGCCCGCCTTGCGATCAGGTCCGGGGACAGCGGGAAGACGCGCTGCGTCTCCCTGCTGTCCCCGGAGCTTGGGGGCAGGCAGCGGGGAGAAGCGCTCTTCTCCCTGCCGCCCGCCTTGCGATCAGGTCCGGGGACAGCGGGGGGACGCGCGGCGTCTCCCCGCTGTCCCCGGAGCTTGCGGGGCCGGCGGCGGGGGCTCCCCCCCGCAGCCACCAAACCCCATCGGGAGACAGCGGGATGACGGCGTTCCGCCTCCCTCTGTCCCCCGACCTTGTGGGGCTGGCGCTGGGGCTCTCCTGAAGCCTGGAGAGCGAGAGGGTCGGTGCGCACCGACCCTCTCGCTCTCCAGGCTTCAGTGAAAGCCTGCATTCGCACCATAGGACGCACACACATTTCCCCTTCATTTTTGGAGGGGAAAAAGTGCGTCCTATAGTGCGAAAAATACGGTAATACAATACAATTAAGAAAATGAGGGGAGGTTGCCAAGAGTTGTTAAGTTTTTGGGGGGGCAGGATTGCCCAGAGTTGTTGAGCCCGTCCCCCCTCTGCACTATCTGTGTATAAGACGACCCCAAATTTTAAACATAATATATTAATAATAAAAACCTCGTCTTATACACGGAAAAACACGTAATTACTTTTAAAGGGAAAGCTAGGAGATTTCTAGCAAGCCCCATATCTCAGAAACACTTTGTCTTGCATTTATTAAGAAGTAAAGTCAAACCACCCTAGTCTGAGGTGTAGTTTCCATCAGACAACCCCCTGGATTGCATCTTCACATTTTTTCTCAATTTTGAGCACTGGGACAAATCCTATTACGAGTTGAATCCTGATTTAGGATTCTCAGTGCCTTCACAAAGGGGCAGTCAGTGGCAAGTCCAGCGGTTTTCTGTAGGGGCCCCAACACAACATGCTGCCATGCCAAAATTTTGCAACCTATTCAAAGAACTGTGGCTGAATGGCTCATCACATGCTGAATTCTTTCTGGCAATGGAGGTCAGCTCACCTGGCTGGAGCTTGACAGACAGGTACAGCAGGAGAGAGAGGTAGGTCTGGCTGGTATAGTCAAGGCCTTCCACACCACGTCCTCCTGCCCCCACCTCTCCTGCTCCACTGTCTCCCACGACCAGGAGAGGATTGGAGGAGGAGGAGCAGAAACAGATAATGATAATAATAATAATAATAATAATAATAATAATAATAATAATATCATTTATACCCCGCCCACCTGGCTGGATTTCTCCAGCTACTCTGGGAGGCTCCCAAAAGAATATTAAAAACACCATAAGTGTTTGAGTGTGTGCACCCTTCAGTAAACTTCATCTGGTGTTGTCTTGAACCACACTATCCATCTGTCAGGTGCCACCAATAACTGAAGCATCATTTTCCACCTGCAAACATCTGGTTTTGGGAAAAGCTCACTCAACTAGAATCTAGTTTACGATCAGAAATGAAACAGGATGTGCACATCCATCATACTTCCACTGAGTCGATGGTTGCGGTGTCATTGTCATTTCTGGTGCAACCTACTAGACAACAGAGAAGCTCCTCTGAACCAAGAGACCTTCAAGTCAGAAAAGCTACGCAAAACGTTGTAAGTACTTTCATATCCCAAATGTGAAACCACCACGACCTTGTCGGGCAAGCTATATCTCAAACCCTGTTTCCATCAACAAAGAATTTTCAGTTTTGCAATCTCCACCATGTGTACCTTGATCTGCATGAAAATAACACTTCTTGTCCCCAGAGCCCAGAAATACAATGAGTACTCAGGACCATTGAAATGCCCTCAAATTTTCAAATAACTTGCTTGGCTCTCCCAATGTTTTCACCTTGAGTTGATGACTGCCACATCCACTATCCATAAATGCAACTGGGTAACATGAGCAGAAAGAGGCCTTGTGCAAAGTGGCAGAAATTGCTGGAATGCTCGACTTCCCACCCTCTGCCGACCAATTCCACACAGAGGTTTTAAAAACAGAGACTCCTTTTGAGCTTGTTTGGAGGTTCTAGCAGGGGAGCACAGCTATCATATACCCTTGACCGAAGAACGGTACACTCCTTCTATCTGGGATGGTCGTCCTCTTCCACCAAGCGTGCAGCTTCGGGAGGGACGCACATGGAGCGGTGAGGGAGGAAGGGGACACCCGCCTAGCCAGCCAGATCAGCCGAATCAACCCTGGCGATCAATGGGGTGACAGATGTCGCAGCCAGATCACCCTCACATCCTAAAAACAGAGACTCCTTTTACCTGGTAGTAGTAATCCACATACTCCGTCTCGTAGCGCTGAGGTCTGAGGCCCTCAGCAGACAATGCATCCTTCAGTAACTCTTCACAGCCTAAAAATAAGAAGGGGAAGATGTTCAGAACTGCATTCCTTCCAACAGTTTAGGATAGAAAAATGTGTGCATGCCTCAGCTAGAGGGAAGGTGAAGAGGCATTTGGGATATTGCATTTTTTGCTCTATAAGACTCACTTTTTCCCTCCTAAAAAGTAAGGAGAAATGTGTGTGTGTCTTATGGAGCGAATGCAGGCTGCGCAGCTATCCCAGAAGCCAGAACAGCAAGAGGGATTGCTGCTTTCACTGCGCAGCGATCCCTCTTGCTGTTCTGGCTTCTGAGATTCAGAATATTTTTTCTCTTGTTTTCCTCCTCCAAAAATTAGGTGCGTCTTGTGGTCTGGTGCGTCTTATAGAGCAAAAAATACGGCAATTATTAGTACACGGGGCGGGTTAAGGATGAGAAGGGTGCCCTTCATCTTCCATGCTCCCCGTCCCTGACCGCCATGTTGTTCCTAGTGTTGTTTCTGGAAATGAATGTCTCTCTCCAACATAGCCTTTGGGGCTAGTGGAGATAGGTAGTAGCAATAGCACAAGCTGTGGTTCCTGCTGCTACAGAGCTGATGAGTTCCGCTCGGCATGGGGGGGAGCTCATCGCATGCAAATGATATTAAGTTGTGGGTGAACATATCAGACGACACAGCGATTCTTCTAACACCTCTTGTTTATTCACAGGCCCAGAACAGAACTGGGCTGAAGGGTTCAGCCAACCTGCTTATATAGAGCTCAACTACAAAGCAACAGTAACAACTTTCTGAAACTATCCAATCACTGAACGCCACTTTCAGTTCCTTATTTGTGTATGTGGACCTGAGTGAAAACTACCTACAGTATCCCCCTGCTGGCCCAGGGTGAGAACTTCAGTACATAACAAATGACATCACACATGCGATGTCGCACATGTCAGGAGGAGTCTGTGGGGCCCACCAAGGTCCGCCACCACTGCAGAGGGGCCCGATGAGGCTCAGCCCCTCAAGATTGCGGGGAGGCTCTCAGCCCTGTCCCCACATATGTTGTTGTTGTTTATTGAATTTATATAATGCCCTATACCCAGAGGCAGTTCACAGAAAAGATCAACATAAAGACTACAATATATATAATCAAAATAAAAACAACAACCCAATAACACCCCTCCAAAAAAGACCCACATTTTAAAGGGTATAGAATGTTTATTAGGTCAGCCAAAGGCCTGGTTAGAAAGGAAAATTTTCCCCTGGCGCCTAAAGATATATAATGAAGGAGCCAGGCAAACGTCCCTGGGGAGAGCATTCAACAGGTGGGGAGCCACTGCAGAGAAGACATGTTCTTGTGTTGACACCCTCTGGACCTCTCAGGTAGGGGGCACACAAAGGAGGGCTTCAGAAGGTGATCTCAGGTTCATATGGAAAGAGGCGGTCCTTAAGGTATTGCGGTCCTGAGCCGTTTCATGCTTCATAGGTCAAAACCAGCACTTTCAATTGGGCCCGGAAACTAATTGGTAGCCAGTGCAGTTGGATCAGGATGGGTGTAATATGCTCAAACCGTCTTGCTCCGGTGAGCAACCTGGCTGCTGATTTCTGTAGTAGCTGAAGTTTCCAAACTGTCTTCAGAGACAGCCCTATGTATAACGCATTGCAGTTATCTAACCTTGAGGTTACCAGAGCATAGACAACAGTAGTTAGGGTATCCCTGTGCAGATAGGGGCGTAGCTGGGCCACCAGCTGAAGCTGATGGAAGGCACTCCGGGCCACTGACGCCACCTGAGCCTTGAGCGACAGCAAAGGATACAGGAGTACCCCTAAGCTATGAACCTGCTACTTCAGAGGAAGTGTAACCCCATCAAGACCAGGTGACCTCCCACCCAACTGATCTAGGGAACCACCTACTAACAGTGCCTCAGCCTTATTTGGACTGAGCTTCAGTTTGTTGGCTCTTATCCATTCCATTACCTAGGCAAGACACTGGTCCAAAACACTGGCGCCTATGTTGTTGTTACTGCTGCAACAACTATGGTCTCTATTTTATCTCTATGCATTTTATTGACCTCTCACCCATCTGGTCTAGTGAACCAACCAATAACAGTGCCTCAGCCTTATTTGGACTGAGCTTTAATTTGTTGGCTCTTATCCATTCCATTACCTAGGGCAAGACACTGGTCCAAGACACTGGCGCTTATGTTGCTGCTGCTGCTGCTACAACGATGGTCACTATTTTATCTCTATGTATTTTATATCTCGCCTACTGCTAGGTATTTTAAAATTAGCAAAACAGCACAATCTTAAACACTTGATATTTAAAGAAAGGGGAATGGAAGGGATGGTTAAACAGCCGAACAAAAAGACGTCAACCGTGAACAGAAATCGTATCTAGGAAAAGCCTAAGAAAGAGGTAAGAATTAAGAAGTGAAATGAATGCAGACAGAGAAGCAGCAGAATAAATGTCGATAGCAAGGGAACTCCAAAGATAAGGGCCGAAGGAGCTGAACACAGGCGTGTAGAGAGTTTGCTTCTGTCTAACAAGGAGAGGGGGCAGGATGGAACTGTAGAGCTGAAGCAGAGATGAAAGATTAGAGAGCAGCGAGTGAATGAAGTCATTTGAGATGAAAGATAGCTCGAACATTCTAATACAAAAGATGAATGAAAGCTAAGGAAGTTAGCGAGGCAGAGGAGTGATGGGATCACAGCGGCAAGAGGAGACAGTAAGACACGCAGCCGAATTTGCGACAGAAAGGAGAGCAGTGCATGTCAAGTTACCAGTTCTGAGTCAAACATACAGTCTACAGAGTTTTCTCCCAGACTTCACTCAGTCAGAGGTATACTATACTTACATTAAGGGCCGTGATGTGTCCTACTTGGCAGACGGAAACCCTCTCTGCAGAGGGTCCTGTATGGAGCTTTGCTGTGCCTGCCAACTCTACAGTTCTATGATTCTATGAGTCCTTTATTTGAAGGGCTGCCGGGCTCGAGACCATCTTAAAGAAAAAGAACCCTAGGAAGAAAGAACCAGGGTCTTGACCTTGGACAGTAGACAGAGCAGCCACAGAGGTCATGTGGGAATGTTCAGGGATGCAGGAGAGGATATATTGTTGGATTATATCCTTTTCCAACTTGTGTTAACAAGTTCAACAATTTAGCAGAGTAACATTCCCCTTTTTAAACTTGCAGCGGATGCATTTGCTCAGGCTCGCTAAAGCCTCTATAATAACTGTTCTGGTATTTTCCCCTTATTCCTTCATAAACGACAAGATACGACACAGTCTTCTATAAAAGTATAAAAAGGTTTACTCACACATCATTCTGTTCACAATAGGATCCCAGAAGGCAGACATAGCTTAGAAAAGTAAGATACACCTAGAAACTATCTCATAAGAAGACAGTCCCTTTGTCCTCTCTTGGCTGGAGCCAAGAGAGCATATTTGGCTAAGCAGATGTTGCTTCTTCGATGCATGTAGTCAAAAGGGAGAGAGATGGCTGCCCTGCCCTGTGCTTTTGTCGTTACCTGCACAGGTGAGGCCACGCCCACCTCTAGTCACATGCAGAGGAAGTCTGTCCCAGCCCAGAAGGAAACAGGAAGTTTACCTACTGGCTGGACAAACATTCCTCCCCATGTGTAAACATGTTCACTCTAGGAATGTTGTACTTGACTGCTCTTGTGTTTCACATCCCACAGGTCACATGCTCCAGAGGCATAGCATGGGGGCGGGGGGGGGGCTGTCACCCAGGGTGCAGTTTTTTTGTGGGTGCATAGCTCACGACACCCTGCCAGCCTGTGGGGCTAGCAGGACATCGTGAGCTGTTGTGTCTTTTCATGCCGCCCTCCAACTGGGTGCTGGCAGCCGATGGTATGCTGCTGCCATATTCCCATGGAACTCTGGGGGTTGTAGTTCTGCGAGGTGAACAGGGCACTCTCTCTCCTAACTCTCTCTCCTGCTTGGACTACTGCAATGTGCTCTACGTGGGGCTACCTTTGAAGGTTACCCAGAAACTACAACTAATTCAGAATGTGGCAGCTAGACTGGTGACTGGGAGTGGCCACCGGGATCATATAACACCGGTCCTGAAAGACCTGCATTGGCTCCAACCGAGCACAATTCAAAGCCTTGGTGCTGACCTTTAAAGCCCTAAACGGCCTCGGCCTAGTATACCTGAAGGAGCGTCTCCACCCCCATCGTTCATCCCAGACACTGAGGTCCAGCTCCAAGGGCCTTCTGGCTGTTTCCTCACTGCGAGAAGTGAAGTTACAGGGAACCAGGCAGAGGGCCTTCTCGGTAGTGGCACCTGCCCTGTGGAACGCCCTCCCATCAGATGTCAAGGAAATAAACAACTATCTGTCTTTTAGAAAACATCTGAGGGCAGCTCTGATTAGGGAAGTTTTTAATGTTTGATGTCCTATTGTGTTTTTAATATTCTGTTGAGAGCTGCCCATAGTGGCTGGGGAAACCCGGCCAGATGGACAGGGTATAAATAAACTATGATGATGATGATGATGAAACAGACAGAGGTATTATTATTATTATTATCTCCTCTAGGATTCTGGGCATTTCCCAGGATTCTTTGCAGGGAAGGCATGTCTATTTAAAGTGCAGAATGGAGCTTTCCCCAGCCTTTCCTGGAGAGGCCAGGGATTGGACCTGGGAGCTTTTGCATGCAAAGCATTACTCCTCCGCTGAGTCAGACTTTACAAGAGGCATTGCCTCTGGGAGGTAGTTAACGTTCTCTCTGCTATTGCTAACAAGCATGTTAGAAGCTCAGGGTCGTGGTTTTTTCCTTTTCTTTTTAATCCATGTCTGTGTTTCTATTCCAAGGACCCAAGTACAAAAATGGAACGAAGGTGCTCAATTCTCAAGTCCATCAGAAAGACCAATTACTCTTTTTTTTAGCACTGAGCTGTGCAAAAGGACACTGAGGAGGCAGGTTGCTTTGAAAACCACTGAGCAACAGCCCCCACTGTTCAAACTGTGAAAATCTCTGTCTCTTCTGAAACCAATGAACCCCAGGAAGGCTGCAATTGCTTTTTGACATCTCCCTTTCTACTTGATTCCAGAGCAAAGGTATGTGGTGTTATAGATTTGGGAGGGGAACACCCCCCCAAACACTAGAAATTAATAAATGGTAGGATTTTGGGTTATTTCGGGTGTGAAGGGAGAAATGCAAGCTGCAGAGGAATTCTTGACCTGGACAAGCTAGGGCCAAACTAGGGTCATTAAGAAACAATACAAGAGAACTGTCCTTCCCCTTGTCTGGAGGTGTGAGCAGAGACTGGAAGGGTTTGGAAGGTTTCCAGGGTAACTGGGTGTGAGGTGGTCGGAAAAGAGTCTGTTATCAAGGTGTGCTGGGAAAAAGAAGGGATGAAAGAAGACTGAAATCCATCTTGAGTAGGCTGGCTGCTGGTGGCATACAAATCCCTCTTGAAACGATCGTGCTGTAAGATCTGGACTCCCTCCATGCAGGCTGCAAGTAAAGGACCCCTGGATGGTTAAGTCCAGTGAAAGGCGACTATGGGGTTGCGGCACTCATCTCGCTTTCAGGCCGAGGGAGCCAGCGTTTGTCCACAGACAGCTTTCCGGGTCATGGGGCCAACATAACTAAACCACTTCTGGTACAATGGGACACTGTGATGGAAGCCAGAGCACCGTTTAGCTTTCCGGTGGAGTGGTACCTATTTATCTACTTGCACTGGTGTGCTTTCGAACAGGAGTTGGGACAGAGCAACAGGAACTCACCCCATTGCAGGGATTTGAACCGCTGACCTTCTGATTGGCAAAGCCCAAGAGGCTCAGTGGTTTGGACCACAGCGCCACCAGTGTTGCAAGTGTAAAAAGGTGAATAAACCATATTTCTTAAAGCTACAGCAGTCTCTGCCGTGTCTCAGTTCTCCAAAGGAATACAGACCCCCGCTGAGTACCCGGAACCCCATGGGATCTTGCCACCAGTCGGCGGGGGGGGGGGGGTTAGCACCCAACTTTTGTAACAGTCTTTTTGACTGTGACATCCTGCCCTGCTATTCCCCATTGCAAAGCAGGGGAGTCACAAATAAGAAGCAGCATGGAGTTGTCAGGAAAAGTGAGAATCACACCAAATTATGCAGATTACTCACTCCAGGTTTCAAAGCAGAGGTGGGGGGAGAGAGGAGGAGGAGGGGCTTTAGGGGAGAATTACAGACAAAGCACATGGAGCTGTTTAGGCAGGAGAACATCTCTTGACAAATAGAAGGAACTTTGACGGTATAAATAACACTGGTTGCAGGGGGCCCTTCTGTGTGCCTGCCTCTTTCTTGTTGGCATACGGGACAAGAAATGAGGAAGCAGATGCCAAATGCATTTTACGATCCATTCTGAGGAGCCTCATCCAGGCAGTGAAGGACCCATCTCTTCTAATGCTAAGTGGTGGTTGTGAGGAAGCTGCTAGTAAGGGCATTAATTTGTTTCTTTTAAACAGCTGGGTGCAAGAAAAGAATATATAAATAGTTGGGTCGGAGAGAACCGAGACAGACAGCAATGTTTTCCATAGCAGGGTGCCAAAATCTCTAGAAAGAGGCAGCTTTAGAAATCATGGGATGAGACAACAGCAAGACATTTCCCTTTCCTAAGGACAATTCAACCATTGCACCTTCCCTGAGCTGGTGAGGTTAGATGTCAGAGCCGATCAGCTGGTACTGAATGCATCCTGAAACTGGTTTGACTAAGGTGACTTGTGAGCAATAGTGTTGCTCCAGGATTCCACCCTAGCCAGAATTGGTTGGTTCTGCCTCTCATTGACTCTGGCTGCACCTACTGTGGATTTCCTTGCCTTCTGCCCCAAAGGACCAGTACTCAGTTTTAGACACATTTACTATCATTTTGCATTTCTCAGTGCAGAAAGTATTGATCCAATGTGTAGAGATCTTTCCTATTCTGCCTAATTCAAGAGGGTCCTGGAAGCTTCTCTGTGTGAAAGAAACAAGCAGAAGGTTCATGATGTTTGGGTTATTTCTTCAGAGAAGCTGAGTACAGCTAATGATAATAATTTATTATTTATACCCCACCCACCTGGCTGGGTTTCCCCAGCCACTCTGGGCGGCTCCCAACAGATTAAAAACAGAATAAAATATCGTGGCTTAAACTGGTTCTCTTATCTCTTCTGTCAAGGTCATGCTGACTATAAAAGTAAGGCCAGAAGGAGCCTGGTTTTCCCGTTTCTCTTTCTATCTCTTTCCCCTCTGGTGTGGTGTTCTGTACATAGTATGCTTAGTGTTAAGGTTTAGACTTATTATAAGTTACTGTAAATTTAAGTCTGCTGCAACTGGATTTCTTATGCACAGTGCCAGTCCTGAAAGTGTTGGATTTGTGACCACTATGCTCATTTGCCTTCAGTAGCAGTAAAGCTCTGCTGGTTGAAATACAATTGCCTCTGGTCTATTTTCTGGGAGTCCTGCAACATGCTTAAGTTGTTTCTCTGCTAACTATACACTGGAATCTAATCTGGATCCATATTGAGTAGAATTTGAATGACATTTACACACGCCATCAAAGCAGCTCACAAGCTGAAGAATAGTAGTATACAGTGATACCTCGGGTTAAGTACTTAATTCGCTCCGGAGGTCCGTACTTAACCTGAAACTGTTCTTAACCTGAAGCACCACTTTAGCTAATGGGGCCTCCTGCTGCCGCCGCGCCACCGTAGCACAATTTCTGTTCTCATCCTGAAGCAAAGTTCTTAACCCAAGGTAATATTTCTGGCTTAGTGGAGTGTGTAACCTGAAGCGTATGTAACCTGAAGTGTATGTAACCCGAGGTACCACTGTAACTTGTGCTTGAATTCTGATTGTGGGTTTCTGGGAGAAAAGGGTGCCTCACTAGATGGGTCTGATCCAGTAGGCTCTTCTCATGTTCTTCTGTTCTTAACTGCAGATTCACTTAGTCACATAAATAGAAGGTTTTCAAGGCTCTTCATTTTAGACAGTAATTATCACAATGTATTTCTAGGTGTTTTTCTTTTTTTTCTCTACAGGGGTCCTTTCCGTGGATTTGTTGCAGAAGGCAATTTAATTTTCTGTTTGTGCCCTTTGGATGTTAATGACAAAGTCTCATTTGTCACCAAGCTACCTGGTGCCTCTACGTCTCAGGAGAGTCTTTAAAGCCTAAATGAGCTGCACGCACAATGCTAAGCTCACCATGCGAGACAAGGGGACACATTCATTAAAGTGAGCTATTGGGAAATGAAGGAGGCAAGCAATCACACGGCAAGCAGGAAGCTTTGCCAACTGGTGTCATGGAGGGCATCTGTGGCTGTGATTCATCACAGAGACAATGTTACCAGCCATTGCTCATACCCTTCTATTCATAACACAACCTTGCAGCAGCAACAACAAAGAAGCTCCTTCAGCCAAAGGTTTGGAAAGGCAATGGATGCTTAACTACAACAGTTCATTGCACTCCTGTTTAGAAGAAAGAAAAGGACATTGGACAGACAAGGACTTCACAAATGTGATCATAATGCCATGAGGAAGCAAAGGCTCAGACAAAACTCAATATGGAGGCCAAATGGCCGAAGTATTGGGAAATTTTAGAACAAGAGGGTGACAGACTAAAATTGCAGAGCTTTGAAAAATTAAAAAATAGAGTACGAGATTGGCTCCATTATTATCAAATAATGGAGGCATATAATTTGGATAAAAAACTAGGCTTCCAGGTGGAAAAATCAAAGTTGGAAACAGAATTGTTAGATCCTAAAGTTAAGAATTTGTCAAGAATGTATAACTTGCTGTTGAAATGGAATACTCAAGATGAAATGGTGAAATCTGCTATGATTAAATGGGCACAAGATGTTGGACATAATATTATGATGGCTGACTGGGAACAGTTATGGACCACTGGTATGAAGTTTACGGCATGCAATGCCTTAAAAGAGAATTTAATGAAAATGATTTATAGGTGGTACATAACACCAGTCAAGCTTGCAAAAATCTACCATCTGCTCGATAACAAATGTTGGAAATGTAATGAAACTGAAGGTACATTCTTTCACCTTTGGTGGACATGCCCAAGGATTAAGGCATTCTGGGAGATGATCTATAATGAAATGAAAAAGGTATTTAAATATACCTTCCTGAAGAAACCAGAGGCCTTTCTCCTGGGCATGGTCGGCCAATTGGTGTCAAAGAAGGATAGAACTTTCTTTATGTATGCTACAACAACAGCAAGAATACTTATTGCAAAGCATTGGAAGACACAAGATTTACCCACCAGGGAAGAATGGCAGATGAAGCTGATGGACTACATGGAACTGGCGGAAATGACTGGCAGAATCCGAGACCAGGGAGAAGAGTCGGTGGAAGAAGATTGGAAAAAATTCAAAGTATACTTACAGAAACATTGTAAAATTAATGAGTGTTAGAAGGATGCTGGAATGAAGCTATATGGTTTTAGTAGAAATGCAACAAAGAATTAAGTAAAAGCTGATTGATAACGGGTCAAAATGAAAAAATTTAAGGTTAGACTGTTAAGATAAATTATGGAAAAAAAATTAAGAAAGATGGGAAGAATTTGCTGAAATAGTGAATCGAACTAGAATACAAAAAAAGGGAGGTGTGAGGAGGTCGATGAAACAAGTTAAGGAAAGGTAAAGATATGGAATATTGGATGTGTGTTTTAGTTCTCTTTTTGTTTCTATCTGTTATATTGTTGTATTGTTTTTCTATGTTTTTTTTCTTTTCTTTTCTATTGTTGTCTTTTTTCTTTTTTCTGTAATTCTTAAACTTTTAATAAATATCATCTAAAAAAACAACAAAAAACATAATGCCATGAGGAAGTGCCAGTTGCAAAATGGCTGCCATGGAGGCATGGTCTAACACAAAATGGCTGCCGGGGTGCGAGGCCATAGCATAACACAGTCATTGCTGCTTTTCCATTCCCACCCCATTCTGTGACCTAACACTTGTCTTTTTGCAGCTTTTGTGTGTGTGTGTGTGTGTGTGTGCTTGGTGTGTGTGTGTGTGTGTGTGTATCTGTCTCATACCCTCCAACATTTCTCCGATGAAAACAGAGACATCCTATTCAATAATAATAATAATAATAATAATAATTTTATTTCTACCCTGCCCATCTGACTGGGTTGCCCCAGCCACTCTGGGCAGCTTCCCACATACAGTCATACCTCGGGTTAAATATGCTTCGAGTTGAGCGCATTCGAGTTGCGTTCCTCGGCAACCCGGAAGTAACGGAGCGTGTTACTTCCGGGTTTCGCCACTTGTGCATGCGCAGACGCTCAAATTGACGTCACGCGCATGCGCAGAAGCGGCAAAAAGCGACGCGCGCATGCGCAGACATGCCATCGCTAGTTACGTTTACCTCTAGATGTGAATGGGGCTCCGGAACAGATCCCGTTTGTATCTAGAGGTACCACTGTATATAAAAACATCACAAAACATTAAACATAAAAAAACCTTCCCTATACAGGGCTGCCTTCAGATGTCTTCTAAAAGTTGTATAGTTATTTATCTCATTGCCGCGGGGGTCGCATAACTCCATACCCTCCAACATTTCTCTGATGAAAACAGGGACATCCTAAATAGAAGTGGGACATTCCTGGATCAAATCAGAAACCGGGATGGCTTCTGTAAATCCGGGACTGTCCCTGGAAAAGAGGGACACTGAGAGGGTCTGCTATCTATTGTGTCCTTCTTTCATGAAATTCAGTAGGTCTGCACTAGCAAGGAGCAATGGTGCTCCCCGGTAGTCTCCTTTCTAGTTACTAGTTCAGCCTTATGGGATGAACATAAGCAGCAACCTGCAGGAGCAGACCAAAGCTCCATTGAGCTCAGCATCCTGCTTCCCAAAGTGGCCATCCAGTTGCCCTCTGCCTCTCAGCTCTACCTCTCTTTTAAATCTGAACCAATGAAGCCGGTGAAGGTCCTGAGTGAGTGTCTGGAGGTGGTTGGAGGATAGATGGTGGCTAAGAGATCAAGGCTCAATCCTGACAAGACAGAAGCACTGTTTTGGGGGGTCAGGGAGCAGGTGGGTGTGGAGGACTCCGTGGTCCTGAATGGGGCAACTATGCCCCTGAAGGACCAGGTGCACAGCCTGGGAGTCATTTTGGACTCTCAGTTGTCCATGGAGGCTCAGGTCAATTCTGTGTCCAGGGCAGCTACCTACCAGCTCCACCTGGTACACAGGCTGAGACCCTACCTGCCTGCAGACTGTCTCACTGCTCTAGTTATCTCCCGCTTGGACTACTGCCATGCGCTCTACGTGGGGCTACCTTTGAAGGTGACCTGGAAACTGCAACCAATCCAGAATGCGGCAGCTAGACTGGTGACTCGAAATGCCTGCTGAGACCACATAACACCGGTCCTGAAAGACCTACATTGGCTCTCAGTACGTTTCCAAGCACAATTCAAAGTGCTGGTGCTGACCTTAAAAGCCCTTAACGTCAGCAGCCCAGTATACCTGATGGAGTGTCTCCACCTCCATCGCTCACTGAGGTCCAGCTCCACGGGCCTCCTGGCGGTTCCCTCACTGCGAGGTTACAGAGAACCAGGCAGAGGGCCTTCTCAGCAGTAGCGCTTGTCCTTTGTAATGCCCTCCCATCAGATGTCAATAAAATAAACAACTATCTGACTTTTAGAAGACCTCTGAAGGCAGCCCTGTTTAGGGAAGTTTTTAATGTTTGATGTTTTATTGTCTTTTTAATATTCTGTTGGGAGCTGCCCAGAGTGGCTGGGGAAACCCAGCCAGATGGGTGGGATATAAACATAGCTGTCAACTTTCAGATTTGAAAATAAGGGATCAGCAGCCTCAAAAATAAGGGCTCAGCAGCCTCACCTGTCCCGGGGACAGTCTACGGGATATCTAACAATCCGGGATAGCAGCGGGAAGCAGCAGGAAACGGTGCTGGAATAATGCCGCAAAAAAGGGGAAGGTTGACAGCTATGGGTATAAATAAAATAAAGAAGGGGGAGGAGGAGGAGGGGGAGGAGGAGACATGGAAAGCTTGGAACATGGTCAGACCCTGGTCCATCCAGCTCATCAATGTTCCCACTGACTGCCAGGGGAGCAGATTTCAGGCTAGACTCTGCTGACTCCTAACTGAAGATACCAGCGATTGAGCCTCAGAGGATCAACCAATGAGCTACAGGCTCTTCCAAGACCATTAACTGGGCATGACGCTGCTTATCCATGAGCATCACGTCGGCTGCTGCTTTATATTTTACAGGCCCCCTGGGAGGTTCACATGGGGAGCACAATACAAACGGGTGAATGCATTAACCCAGGCTTGCTTCCGACACGGATACATATGTTTTCCTAATGCAGGCATACACTTGGCTGCCAGCCTAGAAAATGCCAATGTGTGGAATTAATGCATCACTGTGAGACAGGAAGGAAGGGTCTTGACTGTCTACCTGATTGTACTTTGAAATGCACAGTGCTAGGAGTATCAAGCCTGGAGGAGGAAAAGAGAGAATGTTTTTCTCCATGTAGGGAGAAATGCCAGTGCAGATTCTTCCAGATGGGCACCCGTGCGTACAAAAGGCCGCATCATGTTCTTCCAGGGAAATGGGGGGAACCAAGGGCAGAAAAATCTGTGACAGGTTTATAGGGTTGCTTTCTCAGTTGCTAGAGCATGAGACTCTGAATCTCAGGCTCAAGGGTTTAAAACCCACGTTGAGCAAAAGATTCCTGCATTGCAGGGGGTTGGGTTAGATTGTGATTGTGGTCCAACTCTACAATTCTATGATTCCAGGTTTCTGGCCCAGGATGCTTTGAGGTGTCCCAGTATTGAAAAGTACGATGGCTCCTGTAATTTCACTCTCCAGAAAGCAGTGTTACAGAAAGCCAATTACACAGTTGACTGGGACTGTTTTCTTCAGGGTGTGTAATTGTTTGAGACTTTGCTAGGATGTAACAACAAACGGAGGCCGAGTTCATTATTAATTTGCTTTTCTACCCACAGGTGACCAGGCATTTGCCATTCAGCATCAGCACTCTTTGTTCAATGCCTTAGGGCCAATTCCTGCATTGGGGGGGGGGGGGTTTACGGGAAACATATCCAAAGGCCAAGCTCAGCCTGGGTGGAAGTCATGGATATTTTATCCACACAGGTGCCAAGCAGGGAACGGCAGGGGTGTTCTGCTTTATGCGTGAAAAAGTTGCACGCAGGGCAGGAGAATGAAACACCGTGGTTTAACTCACAGCACCACCCGCGTCCCCCTTGGAGGAAAAGCGGGGTGTAAATGCAACGGATAAATCAACACTGCTGCTTTTAAGCCATTTCTTTCTGCCCTGCTTCGCTTCCGGTATCAAAGCTGTACTCAGAGGAAACTGGACCCATGTCACCTAGTGAATTTCATTGCTAGCAGGGAATTGCAGCGCACTGCAGGCTTACAGTGGTACCTCTGGTTAAGAACTTGATTCGTTCCGGAGGTCCGTTCTTAACCTGACACTGTTCTTAACCTGAGGTACCACTTTAGCTAATGGGGCCTCCTGCTGCCACCATGCGAGGCCACGGCACAAATTCTGTTCTCATCCTGTAGCAAACACCTCCCCCCCCCTCCCGATTTTGCTACAGTGCACATTTCTAATGCAGTTAGCCCAGACTTCTCCTGTAGCAGAGGCACCATCTTCTCAATGGGATTGAGGGGGTCTGCGCATGGCGCTGTGGGAGGCCATGACGCCGTGCGCACAATGCCCTGATATTGCGTGAGCCAGGGGCCAGAAACTGCGTTAGCCCTTGGAGTTGGCACTCCTTTGTGGGCACCCCTCCTGCCCTGGTCACCCTTACCAGCATCCCGGCTGCCTTTCAGCAGCCTTCCATTATGTCAAAGCTTCGGGGAATCCTATCCCTCCCCCAGTGGCAGCCAAAAAAAGCAGATAAACACAAAGAGTCCTTACCACATAATTTATTCAGTATTCAGAGAGAGAGAGAGAGAATGTAGTCTCTATTCAATGATGGCGTTGCTCCAAGTAAAGTCACACCCGCCTACGTCTCCCTTATTTGACATCACTTCTGCGCCGGTTGATTTGAGCTTTCTGCCACTGAGCTTTTTGTTCTAATACCCTCAATGCCTCTCTGGTCTTAGAAGGGGGGTCAGGAATGCTTTCCAAGGACACTGAGTCTGTCAGCTATCTCTCCCCTGGTGCTTCTTCCTGCTGTTCCAATATTTCCCAGCTTCTGCCCTCTGCAGCCTCTGAACTATGCCCTTCTGCAAACCGCTGTTCTAAATCTATACTGCCCTCCTGTTCTCAGGAAGGTTCAGGAGAAGGGGGAGGCAGTCCTCACCATTTCTCTTCAGTCCAGTCCCTGACACATGGGTGGGCACAAAGCTGTGGCTGGCTGGCTGCCTGCCCACCAGCAGCAGCCCCCAAAAAGCCAGAGACGACTCGGAAAACTCCCCAGCCCATGGCGTAGTAGATGCTTCTTGGAAGGCAAAACTGGAGACCTGCAGCCCCGCCAAGCCCACGCTCCACCTCACCTACCTCCCCGTCAGCACTGCTAACTCTCAGCCCTGGGCTTGCGGAACCCACAGGAAAAGAGTCCTTGCAAGGAGTCAGGGGGCAGAACTGAACACTCCAGAATAGGGGTGTTGTTGCTGTTGTTTTTGGCATAATCTGTCCTGTAGCCGTCTTTCTTGAAGCAACTGCAGTCAGGGCTCAGTGTCATTCCTTGTACCAGAAACATCTTTGTCTTTTGTTGTTGTTTTTTTAGTTTTTTAAAATAAATAAATAAATAAATAAATCCTCCAAGCTGAGGAATAGTTTTTTTGTAACTCAACAAGATACAAACCACACCGTGTGGGAAGGTGTGTGTGTGTTATTTGGTTTGAGGGGGTTTTTTTAGTTATTATTATGTATTTTGTGTTTTTAATCCTGTTTTTATCCTGTATTTTTATGTTGTGAAGAGCAGCATACAAATTTAATTTATTAATAAAAATAATGATAATAATAATAATATTAGTAATAATAATGGGCCCTTGGTGGGATCTAAAAAAAAAGTATTGGATCACTGTCCTTGCTTTCGTTTTCTTGATTTTACGTATTTTTTTGTAAATGTTTACCATATTTCATTTCGCGTGAGATTCTGTGGAATAGGTAAATAAACAAATGGAGACAACTGACCCATATATGTGGTCAAAAATGCATCAAATGATAACAGAAAGGAAGACAGTTCTTTGTATTTCACCTGCAGGGACCTAGAGAGGGGACTTTTAAACACAGCCGCTAGGGGGAGGTCCTCATTCATTTAAACTGAGAAAGGAAAGACAGAGGAAATGCAATTTAAAAATCGTTAATAGGACAGGTAGGAAGCTATGTAACACCAGCTGGAGACCATTGGTCCGTCTGCCTCGTGGTCTTGTGGTATTGGCTGGCGTGGTGCTTCTCAGACCTGCTTGGAGGTGTTGGGGACTGAACCTGCATGTAAAGTGGATTCTTTATTGCTGAGCTCCAGCCCTTCTTTGAAACTTTTGGCAAGGAAAACCTTTTGCCAACCAAAACATCACAAAATTGCATGCAAGCTTTCGAGCTCTTCAGCAAGCTAGACAGGAATCAAAGCAAAGACAAATAACTCGACAGGTGGTGAAGCCATGAAGGTTACAGCCTCTAGGTGTAATATAAAAGGTAAAGGACCCCTGGATGATTAAGTCCAGTCAAAGGTGACTATGGGGTTGAGGCGCTCATCTCGCTTTCAGGCTGAGGGAGCCAGTGTTTGTCTACAGACAGCTTTCCGGGGCATGTGACCAGCAGGACTAAACGGCTTCTGGCACCGTGACGGAAACCAGAGTGCACGGAAACACCGTTTACCTTCCCACCGCAGCGGTACCTATTTATCTACTTGCACTGGTGTGCTTTTGAACTGATAGGCTCACAGGAGCTGGGACAAAGCAATGGGAGGAGGCAACAGTGTGTGTGTGTGTGTGTGTGTGTGTGTGTGTGTGTGTGTGTGTGTGGTGAGATAGAACATATGCCCACAAACAAACAAGACAATTGGTGCAGTTTTGGCCCAGTTGAAGTTTGGCAGTGAAGTTTGGAAGTTTGGCCCAGTGGTGATGCTTCTCAGGCCCTGTGCCTGCCTGCCTGCCGTAACATCAGCTGCAACAAGAAATCGCAGAGATGTTCTTTGTTGGGACTGAGAGGGGCAAATCAATACTGCTCAGGCCTTCTGCTGAGTAGCAGGGGTGCATCCAACAGAGTAACTTGTTTTCTTTTCTCTACAAGTCATTTTAGCTCCTCTTAAGGCCCGCAGACATGCTCCAGCAATGAGGTTTGGGAACCCATTCCTAGCATGCCAGATCCCAGCGTTTATCTCATAATTGTTACTCAAAGTTGTACAACGCAAAGTCACCACCAATAAACACACTCACACAGCCGTTCTCAGATTACCCAGTTGCCGTCAATTGATTTTGGACACTAACAACTTTGCAATCAGGGGAGGCATTTTCCACTAGGTAGAAGCTGAGCAGCAGCACCATCGATTCTGAAGTTAAGGGAACGCTCTGCCAAACAGACAATTGTTTTAGCAGCTTATGCTGTGGGCACACAGGGTTGCATGGAGCAAAGTTGTACCATTTTTGCAAGGTTTTCCACTTGCGCAGCAGAACTTCCCCTCCTCCCTCTTACCCCTCAAATCTGTTCCTGGGCTTCTCTCAACCACTTGGAGCAGATTTTGGGGAGGCAAAGAACGACAATGATGCCTACCTTTGATGGCAAACACTCCGTGACAGAAATCTTTGAAGTTGATCTTGCCTAGATCGTTAGGATCCAAGTATTTGGCAAATTTTTCCACCTAAAACAAATAAATAAAATAAAGAAAGTATTAGAGAATATGCAACACTTACAACAGCTTAGCACATCCTAAGGATGATTCAACTCTTGTCTTAGTCTCACCCAAAAAGGAGGAGTCCAGAGGGAACAGAATGCGAATTCAAAACATTTTCAATCAAACAATCTTTAATACGGTCCAGAGACCCAACAAATCATTACAAAGCAATGCACAATTCAGACAGCCTACCTCCAGGTTGGGACGCGGGTGGCGCTGTGGGTTAAACCACAGAGCCTAGGACTTGCCAATCAGAAGGTCGGTGGTTCGAATCCCTACGACAGGGTGAGCTCCCGTTGCTCAGTCCCTGCTCCTGCCAACCTAGCAGTTTGAAAGCACATCAAAGTACAAGTAGATAAATAGGTACTGCTCTGGCGGGAAGGTAAACGGCATTTCTGTGCGCTGCTCTGGTTTGCCAGAAGCAGCTTAGTCATGCTGGCCACATTACCCGGAAGCTGTACGCCAGCTCCCTCGGCCAATAAAGCAAGATGAGCGCCGCAACCCCAGAGTCGGCCACAACTGGACCTAATGGTTAGGGGGTCCCTTTACCTTTTACCTCCAGGTTAAACAAACATTTTGTTCAGACTTAAAGATAGGGATCATTGGTTCTTGCAACCACCGATAAAAACTTCGCCACTGCTAATGTTCTAGACTTTGTCCGGTCTTCCAATAGGAACCTGACATAGTGAGCCTCTGATTTTCCTGGGAAAGGTAATATCAGTTCAGCCCTGGCTTACTCTTGGAATGCACAGTGCAGCAAAATATGTTTTATAGAATCGATGTCTTGAGCACACGAGCAAAGTCTGTCCTGGTAGGGAACTCCTCTCAACCTGCCACCCAACACTGCAGAAGGAAAGACGTTTAGTCTGGCTTTGGTGAAAAGCCTTCAATAATTTGGTACTGTCAGGTTTTTAATGTAAGGTGTTAACTTAAAGACATGCCCATATTGTACTCCTACTGCCAACAGACTACAGACTGCGTGTGACTGAGATCGCAAGTCACTGTGTGTATTATCCCATAATCTGTGCTTTAATGTCTTTAGGGTGCCTTCATAACCCAGGTAATAAAAAACATTTTAACCTGGCATCATTTGTTCATGCTGGCATGCTTTGCCGCTTACTTACTGAAGTGGCTCTGAGAGAAACAAATGAATGGAGAGAATGAAACATTATGGCTGATCTTGGGAGTGGTCTGGATATGAGGAGAGAGCACCCTCTCATGTTATGTTTGATCTGTGGGAGATGCACTTGGTTAAAATGAAAGCCTCAGGGCAGGTGCACCAACTCTATGGGGCTGAGGCCTCTACAGACCCCCCCATGTCCGCTGGGATAATAATAATAATAATAATAATAATAATAATAATAATAATAATAAATTTTATTTACACCCCACCCTCCCTGGCCAAGACCATGCTCAGGGCGGCTAACAACCAATAATAAAAACAAGTTGATTAAAATACAACTTAAAAAACAAGATTAAAATACAGCATTAAAACATTAAGATGCAGCCTCTTCAGAAGAGGAGAAGGAAAAAAGAAAGAGGGGGAGGGAATCAAATTGATTCTAAGCCAAAGGCCAGGTGGAACAACTCTGTCTTACAGGCCCTGTGGAAAGAAATCAGATCCCGCAGGGCTCTGGTCTCATGAGACAGAGCGTTCCACCAGGCTGGAGCCAGTGTTGAAAAAGCCCTGGCTCTGGTTGAGGCTAATCTAACCTCCTGAGGGCCCAGGACCTCTAGGGTGTTGCTATTTATGGACCTTAAGGTCCTCCGTGGGGCATACCGGGAGAGGTGGTCCCGTAGGTACGAGGGTCCTAGGCCAATCTTGAGGGGGCAGAAGAGACCTGGCAGGAAGTCGCCCTGGGCTGTGCAGCAACAGGAGATGCTGTGTGCGAATGTCACCTTGGGAGAAGACCTGGTCTGCCTCTCCTGATGCGACAGTTGTTACCTTTATAAAGGTAAAATTTACATTCATTGCTCTGCCCCACTTTTGCCTTGGTCGCCACCCAGGAAACATTCCTTGAGAGAGAATGCAGCCCTCGGGCTGAAAAGGTGCACGTTCACAGCATGACGATAACGTTGAGAAGGGGCCGCAAGTCCTGTGAACAAACATCTTCACCTGCAGATACTGGACCATATAGCCTTGCTGTGAAGCTTCTTTTGGGGATGGGACCAACCTTTCTCAACCTGTGGGTCCCCAGATGTTGTTGAACTACAACTCCCATCACCACTAGCTAGCAAGGCCAGAGTTCAGGGATGATGGGAGTTGTAGTCCAACAACATCTGGGGACCCACAGGTTGAGAACTGCTGGTCTAGGCCCTGTGTCATTACTGAAAGGCCCACATCTTGTGATAAAGAACAGTGTGTAAAGAACACACTAAAGAACAGTGTGTAAAGGAGGGCCAATAGGAAATTTCCACTGAAAACAAGGATCCTCAGCTGAAAATAATAATGAAAACATCACAAGTTGGAATGGCATGGAACTGCCTCCCACTCCTGAGGTTCTGAAAGGAAGAACCGTGGGCATGAACATTTCACCACAGAGCAAAAAGCCAAGCTTAAGGCATAGGCAGCTGCTGAATACAGACATGACCTAGATTCTCAGTTTTCCAGTTTTAAAAATGTGAGCAAAACCACCACACACATTTTTTAAAAAAACCAGCCCTCAGATAAAGCAATGAGGAGGAGTGCTTTGCACATTCATTTTCCCGGCGTCTTAATCTGGACAGGGGATGGAGATACTGCTCAAGTCTGGTACGGTCATTGGGCATGATGCCCTTCCTGATGACTTTATGGTAAACCCCTTCAGCAAAAGAATCACAGAAATATCGAAGAAATGGGATGTTTTCAATCCCTACGGCAGGCGCGTTGAGCATTTGATGGGAGGCAGTTATGATCATCTAGATACACGGCCGAGTAAGACACACACTGCAGCCGTGTGTAGCAATTATGCCGTTAGATACAAATAGTGCCAGAGGCAAGAGATGAGCAATGCTTTCCTGGATCAGACCATTGCAATGTCCAATGGGGAGGGAGGGATAATTAGTGTCGTTTGGCACAGACAAGGTTGCATTTTATGTGACACCCCCCCCCAAAAAAAGAGCTCCCGAGCAGGATAGCTGCATTTGGCAGCAAACGTGAACAGCAGTCAATGCAAACCCTCCTGCAACTTCAATGCAAACCCTTTGGTAACTTCACAGATAAGAATGAATGAAGAGTTGATATATTTATAGTCCTTTTATTACAGCATCATGTTGCAAGCACACAGCTCACCACACAAAGGGCAGTTGGCTACTCTAAATCCTCCTTCTGACTTCTGCAGCATTTTAGGCGCCAATGGGAAGTTTCTCCCTCCCTCTGACTCCTTTGCTCTCTGATACATTCGGACCTCCGAGTCCGTGGAGGGGGAAAGTCACCCCCACTCTCAAGTGACATCTTGGCTAGCCGCGCCCTCCCTTCTGGTTCCCTTGTCATTATCTTGAAACTGGGTAACTCCTCCCTACAGCTTCTGACTCTCTCTCTGCTTCTGAACATGCTGTGGACAAGGGGGGGCAACTCGTCCCCCTCCAGCTCTCCATCGGAGAGAAGCTGGCCTGCCACAGAATGCATTCCCCAGTCCTCGTCTTCAGCCCATTCCCTGACAACCCAAACATAACACTAATATTTCGCTCATATTCCTTCAGAATGTGACACAGCATGTGCCTCTGTGTGTTAAATTTATGGTCGTTAGTCTCATAGCAGAACACAATCACAATTCAGTACCATGGACAGCTGTCAGTTTAAAAGAATTTGTCAGGTCAGGCACCAAGGGCAAGCATTCTGTACCAGTGACCCAGATCCTTTTTTTAAAAAATAAAAACTTTTTTTAAAAAATAAAATAAAAAGTGTAAGAATGAATGGAGACAAACTTTCTTGGTGTCCTAGTTTTCCAGTGTTCAGACGGCTTATGTTAGTGAATTATAGACATGCTTGTGCTGCAACAAAAGCAGTAAATCTCCCATGCGCAGGAAACAGCAGCAAACTGAACAGCAGGAGCAGCACAGGTTCCACTCAAACCTGGAGGGGAGCCCAAGCTCGACTTTGATCTCTCTTCTACAGAACTTCAGTTCACCAGGTCCCCTGTCTGCGATACTGCTCCCATTTTTCACCTGCCTGAACATATACAGGCAGAGAGAGAGAGAGAGAGAGAGAGAGAGAGAGAGAGAGAGAGAGAGAGAGGTTTGTGTCTATCACACCAATAGTCTTCCAGGACTCCCCTATTGGGCCATTAAGTCTGGTGTATAAAATTATCTATCTGTACTGCTGCTTAAAGGTATTTTCATCAACCTGGTACCCTCCAGATGTTTTGGACTATGATGCCCAGCACCAGATTTATGTATAAGCTAAACAAGCTATAGCTTAGGGCCCCACTCTCTTGGGGGCCCCCCAAAAAAATAAAGAAAAAGAAACTGGATGTACATTTCCAAAATAAGATAAAAAAGAAGTAAAATAAAACCTACATACAGCAACAGTGTTTTGTGTTGTGTAGGCGCCAATGATGTAAGTGATGGGCCCCGCCTGCTAGCCTGCTCCCTAAAATTTCACTGGTTTGCTCATTTCTATATATAGGGGGCCTACATTCTTCTATTTATAATTATTAGTAGTTTGCACCATATATTTATGTCTATTCTTATTTCATGTTATAGCAAGTTTCTAGAGACTAGATTATGAGTCTTTGTAAATTGTGTTTCTAAAGGAAGTTTTGTTATTGCCAAATGCAAATGTGTTTGCATTATTAAGTTTGTTATGAGTAAAAAATCATTTTCAGTTATAGCTTAATAATTATTTCACTATTAATATACTACTTAATTGTATTTCACTATTAACATACTTCTTAATTGTATTTCAGTTCAACAATTACTTTGATAAATATATATTTTGTTATGTGAAAAAATGGCTTTAGATACCTATTAGGTCCATAAATTACCATATAGCATATATTCAACACAAAAAACAGCGGCAATTTGTTGTTGACAAAGGACAGCTGGAAATATAAAGGGCCCCATTACCTTCAGTAGTGTAGGGCCTCATCAAACCTAAATCCGGCCCTGATGATGCCCATCAGTCTGAGCTGACTGGAGCTGATGGAAGTTGTAGTCCCAAACATTCAGCTGGCTTCAAGCTACAAGCAGAAGCTTCGGCTCTGGGCTTGACAACCCAATGCTTGGCCTCAGCAGCAAATTCCAGCCCCCACCCCAGCTTCCTGCTAGGCCACCAGCCTTCTGGACTGTCACCTCCCTGACAGCTTATTCTTGTGCCTGCAGGGTTTGCTTTCAGAGCACATATTGGCTGTGTCATAGATTTCAAAAGGCTTCCCCGCTGGAGCTTGGCCTCCACTCCTCCACGGGGTTTCCTTCTGCTTTTCCTCCTCCCAGTGTTGAATGTATGTGACCGGTGTGCTTCTGGCAAGTAGCTGGAAGTAGGTTTTTTTTGGGGGGGGTCCCTCATAAAAGAGGAGGCTGGTGGCACCCAAAGCAACACTTGCTGCTGTGTGACAGCCAACCCAAATGAATTTGAAAGCACTACAGGGCAAAAGCTTCAGCAGTTTGTTCCCTTCAGGGAGTGACTCTGCCTCTGCACCATCGCTGCTAATAAATGCTAGGCAGACTGCTTATTCAAGAGGCGGAAGATGAACTGGGTTTAGGAAAAGGGAAGCGGGGAATGATGTACCGGTGGTATTTGACTCCTAGGGACACGGGTGGCGCTGTGGGTTAAACCACAGAGTCTAGGACTTGCCGATCAGAAGGTAGGCGGTTCGAATCCCCGAGACAGGTCCTGTTGCTCGGTCCCTGCTCCTGCCAACCTAGCAGTTCGAAAGCATGTCAGAGTGCAAGTAGATAAATAGGTACTGCTCCAGCGGGAAGGTAAATGGCGTTTCTGTGTGCTGTTATGGTTTGCCAGAAGCAGCTTAGTCATGCTGGCCACATGACCCGGAAGCTGTACGCCGGCTCCCTCGGCCAATAAAGCAAGATGAGCGCCGCAACTCCAGAGTTGGCCACAACTGGACCTAACGGTCAGGGGTCCCTTAACCTTTACCTTTAACTTGGAAGCTGGAGTGATGGCTCCTAACTTGGATGGATTTAAAAGGGGGTGGGTAGACAGATTCATGGAGGAGAAAGGCTATCAATGGCTAGTTACTAGGGTTGTCGTACACTACCCTTCGAGATCAGAGGGGCATGCCTATAAATAGCAGCTACCAGTTAACAACAGCATTGCACTCATGTCTTGTTCATGGGCTTCCAGCATTTCAGAATGCTGGAATAGAGAGACCTTTGGTCTGATCCATCAAAGCTCTTTTTATGACACCCTGCCTGGGCTCCTTTGGGAGGATGGGCAGGTTAAAAATCAATCAATTAATCAATCATTTGTTATTTATGTATGCCACTATTGCAGTTCGTGTTTTGTTAGCCCAAAAATGGAAAATGAGCAAAGTCCCAGCCAAAGAAGAATGGCAACTTAAATTGATGGAATATGCGAAACTTGCGGACCTAACATATAGAATAAGAGAACAAGAAGAACATAGGTTTAAAGAACACTGGAAAATGTTTATTGAATATATGGAGGAAAATTGTGTTTATCTGAAAATGTGGGCAGCATTAAGATAAATTCAACAGCGTACATAAGTTTTGGTTTACTGAATGGTTTAGTTTATATAAAATATGCAGGGATTTATGTTGTGCAAAATGAACCATGGAAAGACAGGAAGGGAAGTCATTGATATTTTAAGATTGCTTAAATGAATATTCTAAAATGTAAAACAGAAATTTAATTTTAAAAAATCAACCAAAAAAAATCAATCAATCGAATGAATGAATGTTCACCTTGGGAATGTAACAGTTTGGCTGCATAACCATAGGAACATAAGGAGAGCCTGCAGGATCAGGCCAGTGGCACATCTAGCCTAGCACCCTGATCTCACAGTGGCCAATCAGATGCCTGTGGGGAAACCCCATTTAGAAGGAATGGCACCTCTGCCTAAGGCAGTGTTGCCGAAACTTGGGTCTCCAGCTGCTTTTGGACTACAATTCCCATCATCCTTGACCATTGGTCTTGCTGGCTAGGGATGATGGGAGTTGTAGTCCAAAAACAGCTGGAGACACAAGTTTGGGAAACACTGGCCTAAGACTCCCATCATCCCTGAGCCATGCTAGCTGGGGCTGATGGGAGTTGAAGTGCCAAGAACATCTGAAGGACCTCCCAAGTTCCCCATCCATGTTCTAAGTCCTTAGAGAGCGGCTACCTATCAGAGTGGCCTAAGATGAAACCACAGCCACAGGCACTGACTGATACAATGAGTGACTCATTACTGCCCTCTTCAGACCTTCATGTATATATATGGCAAACCTATAGAGGAGGAGGGAACAAGATAACACACACACACAGAGAGAGAGAGAGAGAGAGAGAGAAGAAGAAGAAGAAGAAGAAGAAGAAGAAGAAGAAGAGGAAGAGGAGGAGTTTGGATTTGAGAGAATGCAGGGAGAAAGTTGCAAGCAATTCTTTGGTCACAGCTGTATTGACGCAGCAATGGATATTGAAATTTTGCACTCTCTAACAATTTTGCACCCAGGGCAACTGCCCCTGTGGTACACCCACCACTGGTTGGGGGTGGTGGAGGCCACCAAGTAAGTTTGGCAGCTAGGGTGAGAGTTGAAGCAAGGACTGCCCAGCTCAACACTCAGATCCTTCGAATATCAAAGCGAAGCAAAGTTATAACTGATGCAGCAGAACTATCACGGGTCACTGATCAAAGGCTGACAGCGAGGCATGCAAGGAGAAGATAATTTATTGTGATCTTCAGCTGTGTCTGAAGAAGGGAACAATATGCTTTGGTTAGCCTCAGCTCAACCTGCTTTTGGCTGGGGGTTGGAATGGGGGGGTGCATTTCTCTGCATCATCCCACATATTGCTGCAGTCTTGAGGCTAGCCAAGCTTTTAAGGGACAGCTATTGAGAGGCTTCTGCGTGGCCAGGCTTCCCGATGGCGCCTTTCCTCTCTGTTCAATTAATAGCAGAGAGTGGTAGATTTTGTTAACAAGCCAGCAGGAGGCCCGTAATTGATTTTGCGTAGATCTGAAGATGAAGAAGCGGACAACAAGTCAAAGGCCAAAAGAGAACCTCACAGTGCCTTTGGGGAGCAGTTAAAAAAACAGAATTACATGGACGGCTCATCAAAGAGGGTTGTGGGGGAGTCAGAGGAGGAGCTCCCCACTGAAGTCGAAAGATTCTTAAATCAATACAAAAGATTTTGGAAGGGAGATGAAAAAAGAAATATACATCAAGGGCGCCAATGTGAATGGATCTTATAATAATAATAATTCATTATTTATACCCCGCCCATCTGGCTGAGTTTCCCCAGCCACTCTGGGCGGCTCGCAATAGAGTGTTAAAAACAATACAGCATTAAATATTAAAAAGTTCCCTGAACAGGGCTGCCTTCAGATGTCTTTTAAAGATAGGATAGCTGCTTATTTCCTTCACATCTGAAGGGAGGGCATTCCACAGGGCGGGTGCCACTACCAAGAAGGCCCTCTGTCTGGTTCCCTGTAACCTCACTTCTTACAATGAGGGAACCAGCAGAAGGCCCTTGGAGCTGTATCTCAGTGTCCAGGCTGAACGATGGGGGTGGAGACACTCCTTCAGGTACAGTGGTACCTCGGGTTAAGTACTTAATTCATTCCGGAGGTTCGTTCTTAACCTGAAACTGTTCTTAACCTGAAGTACCACTTTAGCTAATGGGGCCTCCTGCTGCTACCGTGCCGCCGGAGCACAATTTCTGTTCTCATCCTGAAGCAAAGTTCTTAACCCGAGGTACTATTTCTGGGTTAGCAGAGTCTGTAACCTGAAGCGTATGTAACCTGAAGCGTATGTAACCCGAGGTACCACTGTATACAGGACCGAGGCCATTTAGCAGTAAACTGCAAGTGACAGCAGGCCTCTCTGATGGGTTAGGAAATGGAGCTGTGGGCAGGATCCAGCAGGAAGGGACAGAGAGACACTCTGAACCCAAGAGCTGGAGCTGTTGTCTCTCATTTTAGGGCTCTGCATCAAGTGTGAACACACTGTGGCCTTCCAAACATTGCTGAACAGCCCCAGCCATTCCTAGAACAGGCAGAACTGGTTCTGTGGGGATGAAATAAATGGATTAGGGAACCCCGTAAGAAGAGATGCACATCAGTAAATAATACCTTCAGAAGCCTCCTCTGGGGTAATTGCTGTGCATAGCTGTCAACAGTCCCTTATTTGGCGGGAAAGTCCCTTATCCCAGCGCCGTGTCCTGCTGCTGTCCCTTATTGATGATGTCCCTTAAACTTCCCGGGATTCAAAGGAAGCAGCTCTTCTCCCTCCCTCCCTGCCGGCCAGGGAGGAGGGAGGCTCCAACTGTGTTGCTTGGCTGCGTTGCTCACCCAATAAGGAGTCTAAGAACGACTGGGGGGTGGAGCTTGCATGCCTTGTGCCGATCAAATCGGCCGCGTTGCCTGGGGACTCGCCTTTGCTCAGCGCTTCCCAGCAGAGAGGTGACGGTGGTTTTCCTTGCTGCATCCCCTTTGCTGAGTTGCTGCGCTGTGGGAACCACCGCTTGAGGCTTCGTTTGGCTGCTGGCTGGGCTTTCTGCCTTTGGCTCGGAGGGGCTCAGAAGTTGAACATACCTGTGCTCAGAATCGGAATCCCCTTGCCGGGGAAAACATCAGTCTGGAGCGGGGGCACACAGTGGGGGAAAAGGAAATCCCTTATTTTGGCTGCTGATCCCTTATTTTCGAGGCTGCTGGTCCCTTATTTTCAAATCTGTAAGTTGACAGCTATGTTGCTGTGCCTCTTCCAAAATGTGAAAGCAGAATAAAATAAATCTTGGCTTGACTTGTGGGTAGTGCGTTTTAAGATCAGCAGTTCAAAAGTTTCCCCGAGAGACCAGAGGGATGTGGAGGGAGAAGATGCCATGACACAGAGAGGGACGGGGTATAATACTAGAATTCAAGGTCGCCCAGTGAAGCTGATTGACAGGAGGCTTAGGAGTGATGAAAGGATGTACTCCATCGCATGGCGTGTAATAACTGATAGAATTCACAGCCATGTAGCCACTTAGATGGCTTCTAAATAATTAGAGACATGCATGGATGACAGTATAATTCTGAATACCAGGTGGTGGAGACAAAGATGAGAAGACCATCACATTCATATACCTATCATCTTGGTGGGCTCCTCAGCTGCACAGAGAACATAGCAAGCTGCCCTATCGTGATCATCTCATTGATCCATCAAGTTCCCTCCTGTTTACATTCTCAAGTAGAAGAGTGACTAGTGGGGTGCCACAGGGTTCTGTCTTGGGCCCGGTCTTATTCAACATCTTTATCAACGACTTGGATGATGGACTCAAGGGCATCCTGATCAAATTTGCAGATGACACCAAACTGGGAGGGGTGGCTAACACCCCAGAGGACAGGATCACACTTCAAAACGACCTTGACAGATTAGAGAACTGGGCAAAAACAAACAAGATGAATTTTAACAGGGAGAAATGTAAAGTATTGCACTTGAGCAAAAAAAATGAGAGGCACAAATACAAGATGGGTGACACCTGGCTTGAGAGCAGTACATGTGAAAAGGATCTAGGAGTCTTGGTTGACCAAAAACTTGACATGAGCCAACAGTGTGACGCGGCAGCTAAAAAAGCCAATGCAATTCTGGGCTGCATCAATAGGAGTATAGCATCTAGATCAAGGGAAGTAATAGTGCCACTGTATTCTGCTCTGGTCAGACCTCACCTGGAGTACTGTGTCCAGTTCTGGGCACCACAGTTCAAGAAGGACACTGACAAACTGGAACATGTCCAGAGGAGGGCAACCAAAATGGTCAAAGGCCTGGAAACGATGCCTTATGAGGAACGGCTAAGGGAGCTGGGCATGTTTAGCCTGGAGAAGAGGAGGTTAAGGGGTGATATGATAGCCATGTTCAAATATATAAAAGGATGTCACATAGAGGAGGGAGAAAGGTTGTTTTCTGCTGCTCCAGAGAAGCAGATACGGAGCAATGGATCCAAACTACAAGAAAGAAGATTCCACCTAAACATTAGGAAGAATTTCCTGACAGTAAGAGCTGTTCGACAGTGGAATTTGCTGCCAAGGAGTGTGGTGGAGTCTCCTTCTTTGGAGGTCTTTAAGCAGAGGCTTGACAACCATATGTCAGGAGTGCTCTGATGGTGTTTCCTGCTTGGCAGGGGGTTGGACTCGATGGCCCTTGTGGTCTCTTCCAACTCTATGATTCTATGATTCTATGATTCTAAGTAGTGACTGCAGGACTCCAGATAAGGGTCTTTTCCAACCCTACCTGATGCTGGGAATTTGAACCTGGAACTTTCTGCATGCAGAGAAAGAGTATGTGTGTTGTGGAAATTTCTCTCTCTCTCTCTCTCTCTCTCTCTCTCTCCACACACACACACACACACACACACACATATCCAAATCACAAGAATATCATGGGGGACTTGTCAAAAGCCTTACTGAAATCAAGATACACTACATCCACAGCATTCCCCTGATCCACCATGCTTGTAACTCTATCAAAAAAGAAATGAGATTTATCTGGCACAAATTGTTTTTGGGAAGCCCATGCTGGGTCTTAGTAATCACAGCATCCTTTCCTAAGGGCTCACAAACTGACCTGTTCTAGGACCTCTTCTGGTATCGGCATCAAGCTGAGTGGTCAGTAGTAACCTGGACCTTCTTTTCCCCTCTTTTGAATGATGGGGGCAACATTGTCCAGTGTCCAGGCTGAACGATGGGGGTGGAGATGCTCCTTCAGGTATACTGGACTGAGGGTGTTTACATTTTTTCACTTTCTGGATGTTATATGTCTCCCATGCATCTAATGTTTATTTCACTTCACGAATCTTGGCTATTGGTCCCTTTCTCTCTCTCCTTTGACCCTAGTGTATTTTCTCACTGTCTGTTTTACACCTTCCCACTCTGTAGGCATCTATGAACCATGCTCCTAACAGTTTTAGCAGGCGGAAGGAAGTCAGACAAATATCACAGCTAAGAAGGTCAAACTATCCCTTGGGCGGCTCCATTAGCATTTCTTAGGAGAGGATTTTGCACATATAGTTTGCTTGCACCTAGCTGGAATTTTCTCTGTAGCATGAAATCAAGCACATAGAATTCTCCCCAGGATGGAGTTTGAAAGGTTCTTGCATGATTTATAAGATCCACTGCAGAGCAATGGCATCTTAAATTTGATTAGAGTATCCCTCTTGGTGCAGAGCACACGTTGCTGAGAATGCCGAAGACGGTAACAAAATTCAGCTAGACTGGAAAAACAGGCCTGCGGTTGCTGGATGTGTGGGCCTATCTAATTTGTATTGAAATATATTGTATCTTTGCAATCTTTACTTAGAATCTACAAGACTGAAACTCTTCCCTTGACTCCAGTTATGCCCGAGATACTTTTACAAGATGAGATACGTAGAGGGGAGGGGTACTCTTTGATTTGTTGGAATGCTTTAACACAGCAAATGTTTGCTTATTTTTAAACTGTTCTTTGGCTCCAAATCAACCTTTAAAATTGTTTTATTTAAAAAGTGCCATGAATATAAAACTAACCTCAAAGCAGGGCTGTCTTAAGCATATGTGGTGCCGGGGTGCAAAAATCCGCCCGGCGCTCCCCCCAGGTTGCCCAGAGTTGTCAACCTTTGGGGGGGCAGCATGCTCTGGGTGGGCCTCTCCACGGCCCTACCCCAATCCCAGGCGCTCAGGAGGGTGGAGCCAGCCGGCCGGCCGCCTCAGCACCTCACTAGCTTGCTTGCACCCGAACTCCTGCCAGAGACAGGCTCTGGACTCTGGCCTGGTGTCCCTGAGAGCCCGGTGCCCGGATGCCCTGCACCCCTAATACCTACAGTTAAGACGGCCCTGCCTCAAAGAGTCATTCACGAGACATCTTCCAGTTTAGAATTCCGTCCTACGGTACCCTCCATTTCTCTGATGAAAATAGGGATGTCCTAAGGAAAAGCGGGACATTCCGGTCCCCAGTCAGCATAGCCATAGGTCAGGGACTGGAATGTCCCACTGTTCCTTAGGACATTCCTATTTTCATTGGAGAAATATTGGAGGGTATGGCATAGAACATCCCTATTTTCATCGGAGAGGACATCTCTATTTTCATTGGAGAAATGTTGGCAGGTATGAGATGGCGACTGCAACTTAATGGCTGATTCTGTGACTTGAAAGGCTGCAGCACAGCAAGAATAAGGCAAGCAGCTACTACTAATACCACCCTTCTAATGTAGAGTGAAAGCTTTATGAGTATGCTCCAGTTATGGAGTCAGCCAGCAGAGTCACCTTCCTCCCCACAATGGGATGAGCAGCGAGGCCATCGCTTTGACTTAAGCCCCCTTTTTTTCCTTCTTAAAAGAGGAATCCCTGCAGAGAACAGAATACCAGGAAAGCTGAAAATAAATTTGGAACAACGCCTCTGATGAGGATATGAGGTGAAATTTGCTCCCCTCCCCAACTCTCTCTAAATCACTTGTTCATTTGCACACTGTAATAGGCAGCAGTGATATACCACAGCTCTTTTGTGCCAGCATGAGGGGGTGGGGAGAAACCAAGCTTTGGAGGGAGCAAACTCTGCTTTGCAGGTGGAAAACACCAAATGCAGCAAGCTCTTTGGTTCATGAAACAGAAGCAGCAGCAAGGGGTGTCAAGAGCACTCTGTCAGCCAAGAGGATGTAAGCAGGAGTGCCAAGCAGGGGACAGAGCAATATTCCCCTTCCCCTCTCAGGTTTTGGGCCACACATGATTATTTCTTCATTGCCTGCCTGTATTTTTGGCTAAACACCTTGCTCTGCACCAAAGGTGGGGGGTGTCAGGGCCAGGATTCAAATGTAGCCTTCCTCGCTTGTGCATTTGGTGCCTTGAGGGGCCCAGGCCAAGCCCCTCAACTAGAAGTAGCTTCAGGGTTTTTCCTCCCCCAAGGGGAACTCACAGAGAAACTCAGTTCCGGCACCTCTCAGTTGGGTGCTATTGCCATTCTGTGAGAATGTGGGAAGTGTTCATACTGAGTTCGGGCACCTCTTTTTCGAGAAAAATAGCAATGAGGAGCTTGTTCAATGAGGGGAGGCATGTTAGCTTCCTGTCAGGTATGTTACTGTCACTTACTGAGAGGAAGAAGATGAAGGGCAAACAGAGCCGTAGTTTGTGATCTTGAGCCCCTGGCAGAACTGTCCAGATTGCGCCCCCCCAATGGACAAATTACAGTATTTTTCGCTCTATAAGACGCACATTTTCCCCTCCAAAAATTAAGGGGAAATGTGTGTGCGTCTTATGGAGCGAATGCAGGCTCCTTGGCTTCAGCGATAGCAAGGCGAAGCTTCCAAAGCTGCACTCCGGAGTTCCCGCTGCGCTCCAGAGGCTTCGGGTTCCTTTCACTGAAGGGCAGGCGCCCCTTCAGCTAAGTGGGAGGAGAAATGGAAGGGGCTCCGTTTCTCCTGCCGCTTCGCTGAAGGGGCGCTGCGCAGAGAGGAGGAGATTTTTTTTTCTTGTTCTCCCCCTCTAAAACAAGGTGCATCCTATGGTCTGGTGCGTCCTATAGAGTGAAAAATACGGTAGCTCTTCCTTCCGCCTCTCCTCCAAACCCACCACCACCACCCATTCAATTCACCCTCTATTTAAAACCTTTTCTTATGAGGCAATAACCAATATTTTTATTTCTAGACATATTTATGGACATATTTTTAGCCGAGTTTGCGCCCTCCTCGCCTGTGTCCCTGGCAGGGGCCCACCTCGCCTCTCCCTAGCTATGGCTCTGAGTGCAAGGCAGTGGGGAGGTTGGCAAGGTGTGGGCGCATGGGTGAGAGCACCAGAGTGGTTCTATCAGTGCATGCACACCACAACAACCTCCCCATTGCTTTTCCCTCCCAGTAATCCACAGCAACACACTTGCCCCCTGGGTGAGTCTCTTCCATCCTTCCTGCTCTGTGCTATTCCCCCTTCAGCGATTTCACCTGACCAGGATGTCTATTTTACAGTCCTCAATTTGAAGGGCTGTCAGAGGACATTCCTAAGGATCCATAATCAGGGAGGGTCTTGCACCTACCTATAAAAAGTTTACACCTAGGCAGGTAACTGAACAGGCACCCAGGTCACTTGGTCGCTGTACAGTGGTACCTTGGAAGTTGAATGGAATCCGTTTTGGAAGTCCCAAATGTTTGGAAACCAAGGCGCAGCTTCCGATTGGCTGCAGGAAGTTCCTTCAGCCAATTGGAAGTAGCGGAAGTCGCGTCGGATGTTCGGGTTCCAAAGAACGTTTGCAAACCGGAACACTCACTTCCAGCGTTTGGGAGCCAAAACATTCAACTCGCAAGGCGTTCGAGATCCAAAGTATGACTGTACAGTGGTACCTCGGGTTACATACACTTCAGGTTACATACACTTCAGGTTGCAGACTCCACTAACCCAGAAATAGTACCTCGGGTTAAGAACTTTGCTTCAGGATAAGAACAGAAATTGCACAGCAGCAGCGGGAAGCCCCATTAGCTAAAGTAGTGCTTCAGGTTAAGAACAGTTTCAGGTTAAGAACGGACCTCCGGAATGAATTAAGTACATAACCAGAGCTACCACTGTATTGTATTTTGATTTTCATTATAGCACTGTCTAAATGTGCATCTATAGCTGTAAACTAGCACATGCAGGTTTTAGGCCAATGTATGCCCTTTTCTTTGGCTTCTTATTTTTTGTGCAAGTGGCCACCACAATTTTAGGTCTGGCCCCACAAGATAGCCCCACATTTTGCTTTCGTCTGAAGGACGTAGCTCCATTTCCATGAAAACAGCTCAGAAATACAACTTCTCAGACAGTCACAAAACAAATCCCAGATAGGATGACCTAAGAAAGACCCTCAATCAGGAGGGAAAAATTTTCAGCTTCTTGATGACAGCCACCGACACAGAAACACGTCCTTAAATGCACAATCTTCCACTTAGCTCAAGGAGGAGACACTTAACCTTTCAGAGCCTGCAGCTAGGACATTTAATCTTCACCTCACCGCTATCGGAAGGGCATCCAAAAGGAAACAGGCAGTAAACACCACCAGCTTTGACAGGGATAATTGCCAGACACAAAATGGATCTGACACGTGAGTGACAACTGTTGATGCCACCAACTTTCAAGGAAGGGAAGTGAATTAGCGTGCTATGTCAATTTGACTTGAGGCTTCGCTCTGCCAACCAGCTCAGCTATTAATACACTCTCTTTTGCCTCCAAATTTATAGAATGTCCAAATGCAACTAAGTGCTGGTGGTGGAACAGCAGTGACACAGTACTGTTTATCTCCAGTAGCTTGACTATATTGAGGTTCCTTTAATTGCCCTTAAGGAAAATCTGGTGCCCGTGCTTCATTTATCTTGCACCTGTAGGTCTTGTGATTAGTGTCTGAAGGTCACTGTGACCTGGCAACCAGCCAAGTAGGTCACTGTGATCTGGCAACTGGCCGAGGGTGTGGTCATTCTTGGGTATATTAAGAGGGGGCTGTACATTGCCAACAAAGGTCCGTATAGTAAAAGCTATGGTTTTCCCAGTAGTGATGTATGGAAGTGAGAGCTGGACCATAAAGAAAGCTGATCGCCGAAGAATTGATGCTTTTGAATTATGGTGCTGGAGGAGACTCTTGAGAGTCCCATGGACTGCAAGATCAAACCTATCCATTCTTAAGGAAATCAGCCCTGAGTGCTCACTGGCAGGACAGATCCAATACTTTGGCCACCTCATGAGAAGAGAAGACTCCCTGGAAAAGACCCTGATGTTGGGAAAGATGGAGGGCACAAGGAGAAGGGGACGACAGAGGACGAGATGGTTGGACAGTGTTCAGCATGAGTTTGCCCAAACTGCGGGAGGCAGTGAAAGACAGCAGTGCCTGGCGTGCTCTGGTCCATGGGGTCATGAAGAGACGGACACGACTAAACGGCTAAACAACAACGTACATTGCCTCTTTGCTTCGCTGCAAGGAAGCTCCGTCATATTGATACTGAACGCTGTGCTGTGAGTTGCACTTGCTTTGCATTTGAAGCATTCACCTTCTACTAAGGATCTAGTGGAAGCTGTAGATAGTGAATACAGTGGTACCTCGGGTTACAGATGCTTCAGGTTATAGACGCTTCAGGTTACAGACTCCGCTAACCCAGAAATAGTACCTCGGGTTAAGAACTTTGCTTCAGGATGAGAACAGAAATTGTGCTCCGGCGGTGTGGTGGCAGCGGGAGGCCCCATTAGCTAAAGTGGTACCTCAGGTTAAGAATAGTTTCAGGTTAAGAACAGACCTCCAGAACAAATTAAGTTCTTAACCCGAGGTACCACTGTATAGTGAAACTGCCTTCACCCTTTGGACCTGTCAGTAAAGGACTGAACTGACTGAAGAGTTGGGAGTCTGACTGAAGTTCTTCCAGCACAAAACTGCACTGCCACAAAGCTACGCATTTGGGGAGCTGCACATGTTTGGCATATGACAACAGAGGACCTACTCGCAAGTGATGGTGTTAAAAAGCACTTGGTACCCTGAAATGCAGTCCTACATATCTACACAGAACTAAGCCCTGTTGCAGCAGCATGCCAGTTTGGTGCCTTCCAAACACTGTTGGATTACAGACCCAATTACCCCAACCAATGGTCATGCTGGGTGGAGATAGTGGGAGTCAAACAACATCTGGAGGGCCTTCTTCTTCTTTGGCGATCACTTGCAGCCGAGTAAGATTGTCTTCCATAATCCTGGTCTTAACAGTGAGTCCATAAGTGACTGTGGAGGCCAATTCTGGATCCACACGTCCTTCCACAGTGGGGACATAGGTTTCCGGGTGAGAGTTGATCATGGTGAGGGTTTGCCAAGCATGTCTTCCTCTTAGGGCACCTTTCCTAGACCTTCCCCCTTTTCAGGGTGAGCAGAGTAGATCCTAAGTAGGACTACTCAGTCATGGATACAGCTGCCGAGCTGCTCAACTGTCTCATTCCTTGAGTCAGAACGACTGAATCTCTATCCACCACCCGTGTGCTAGGGGCTTCCAGGTTTCACGGCCCTGCCCTTGTTACCATTTGCCAATCGCCATGGGACTTTTTGGGGTTTGGGATGGTTTTTTGGGAAGACGCCTGTGCGTGAATTTGTTTTATGTGTATAGATCAGGGCACACTGACCAACGCACAGTCTTCACAGTAAGGCGCTATTCCGATGGCATGAGCCATCACGACGACCAGTAGATTCTTATCTGCTGCAGCCTTCATCCGCCTTCACAGCCATTGCAACATACCGCTTGCTATCTTCCACCTGCTCTGCCATTGAGGACTTCTTGGTTCATTCTTTGTCTAGCTCCTCTCCTTTGACCTTACCGCCTTGGGTGACCCTGCTGGGAGTACGAGACTCCCGACGGCTTCGCTCACAAGGGTCATAGGAAGATGCAAGCCTACTCACTATGACAAGGTGATGATCCAGTGAGTGAGATCTGGAGGGTACCATCTTGAATACCGCCTGCTCTATTGGGTTCAAGGAAGCTTACTCCCAGGTAAGTGAGCATAGGGTTTTAGTCTAGAATTCAGCCATTTTTGCTATTGTTGTGGGACATTATTGCGGCAAAACCAGCCATTCATGTTTGGCCAGATAGGCACATGAAGGGGCTGAGGTTCACAAAGCTTTCCTACAAAATTTGCTAGAAAGAACTCATCTGCCTTGGCAGGAAGATGTAACACAACATACTTCCTTCCTGCCCAAGTATCTCTCTCTTTCTTCATCATGCCTCCAAGTTGACCACATGTGAATGTCTGAGCTTTGCAGCTCAGACCCCATTTTGAACTTAGATTAGCCCTGTTGTCTGGGGCTGATGGGAGTGGAAGGCCACTGATTCTTTGTTTTTGCTGTAAAAGACTAACAGGGCTACTCTTTTGGTATCTGCCACTTAAAGGGTATTGTAATCAATAGTTTGCAATTGTGCAAAGGACCAGATGAATTACGTGCAATGCCCACCCCATACCCACCCACTTCATGTTTCATAACTAACTGGTGCGATAAACCCACAGCTACCTTAAACCCTCCATTATTGCATTGTCTCTTGAGAACCAGCACTAATCATTCATATCTGCACCTTTCTCCACTAGTAATCAGCTCAAGCAATAAGCTTTCAGCAACGATAGTTAGGGGAATTCTCCCTAACTGCCTGAGCATTTTGGGTTCTGCATAGCTAGGCGTGAAGCAGCTGGTTTCTCCTGAACTTTGACAGCGCAATTTCATCCTGCAATTCAAGTTACAACTCCCATAAACCATCCCTCGGCATCAGAAGGAAGGTTGCGTGCCCCCAAGTGCAAAGGAGCGGAACAGCGATCAGGAATAACGGCTTCAAGAAGCATCCACCTTCAGGAGCCCTGGTCGATGTGCTTTTTAGCCTGCTACTACTCATCCGATGATTTTGGGTGGTAGGGCCAATATTATTATTATTATTATTTGTTGAATTCATGTACCGCCCTATACCCAGGGGTCTCAGGGCGGTTCACAGAATAAAATCAAGCTATAAAACCACAAAATACCTTATAAAAATAAAAACAACAACCCAATAGCCTCCCAAAACAAAACACATTTTTAAAGGGCATAGGACGTAAATCAGATCAACCAAAGGCCTGGTTAAAAATAACCATTGGAAAAAACCAAAACCAGAAGCTTTCCTTTTGGGTATTATAGGGACAGAACTACCTAAATTGTATAGAAATTTATTTATGTATGCTGCTGCAGCGGCAAGAACGCTACTCGCCTCAAAATGGAGATAAGCAGAAGTCCCAGCAAAGAAAGAATGGATAAAAAAACTTATGGAATATGCAGAAATGGCAAAACTTACCGGAAGAAATCAAGGCAAGAAACTTTTTATAAAAGAATGGAAATGGTTTATTGAATTTTTGCAGATAAATTGAGAACAGATAAAAACATTGGCAGGATTATTGTAATAACGTGCCGTTTCATAAGAGTATATATTTAAAATAGATAATTAAGTGAGTAAATGAAATGAATTTGGATATGCAGAAAATATGAAAAAATAAATTTAAGGAACTGCAGAAAGAGGGGGAAGGGAAGGAAGTCAAACTTTGAAACGTTAAAATGATTGCAAAATTAATGAAAAGTATAAACATGAAAAGTATAAATAAGAACTTCAACAAATTAAAACAGTCTACTGCATCCATCTGCATGTTCATTTCAGAGATCCATTTCTCTGTGCCTTCTGATAAATTAATCCCAGCTCACTGCCAGCATGTAGCCTCCTTTACGCTGCATGTTTACAAGCTCTCGCTGTAGAGAATTTGGGAGAGCAGAAATAATGGCATTACCGCAGCATTTACAGGTAGCGCGGCAAGGCTAAAACAAGTGCTCTCACTTCGTTTCGCCGAGTTCCACTCAATCAAACAAATCAAGGGGGTAGAAATGAGAGACAGGAAGCAATCAGATTCCTGTACAAGCACAGCCATGCAAAGCCACTTCCGACATCAGGAGGAGGTGGGATTGCGGGCTCGTGCCCCCAACACGCACGCGGAGGCTGGTTTCCAGCCCCTCACGATCAGGGGAATCCTCGGGCCGCGTCATCCCCTGAGCCAGCCAATTGGCTGGCTCAGGGGGTGTGGCTTGCCTCATTTAAGGCAGGCGCGGACCCGGGATCTCCCTCTTCGGTTCACGCAGCTGTTGTGGTTTCCCACCCACCTGCCCTTTAAGGTTTCCCTTCTGACCTTGCTATGGACCTAGGTTGGTCGCCGTTGAGGGGCCTGGTAGGATTTTTTTCCACTTGGCGAATTGGCACTGGCCATTTGATTTTTTGCCTACCTCGTAGCAAATCGTCACAACTCCTTGGTTTTGGCAGTTAGGCATTGGTAGGGCTATTGTTATGTAGATGTGTTGGGGGGGGAGCGCCATCACCTCCCCCAAATATTGAAGGGTAGTCCGGTAAGGGATTCCAGGGGGCGTTGCATCGTCCGAAGCCTATGGAGGCCAGGGCCTAAAGCACGGCCCCGATCGATGACCCCAGGGGAGTACCTAGTTGATGTGCATCAGCAGGGCTCCCCCTGCTGGTGTTAACCCTTCCCGGTTTTCAAGCAAACAGGCTGAAGCCGGATAGTCTGATAGGACCAATGCCTAAGCCAATACTGCTCTTACCTGTAACCAATAAAGTTGTGGCCAATTTTAGCCCATTAACCTTAAATAATGGTGTCCTGTGTCTTTATTCCTACTGGGGGGAGGCGGGAACTCACCACGCAAAGATCGTTAAGGTGTGCTTCATGGATAGGACTGCCAACTTTGGTGATGGTGTTGTCTCCTCTGCTTTTAATTATAGCCCAGCATGCAGGAATTTAGCAGGCAGAGCTTTTCCTGGCAAGGAGATTAAGAGAAGGGAAAGTGACACCTGCTTAATGCCTCTGTGCCAGGCTACAATTAAAGGCATGGGAGCAGGGCCAGCGTAAAAAGGAGGCAGAGCTGGCAACCCTTTTCTTGGCAACTGTAAAAAGAGCAGAATACACATGCGCGCACACACACACAATATTTAGTGGCCCATGGCTCAAAGACACTTTGCATGTACTGTAACACTAAGCCATCATTCAGCACTAAGTGTACAAGATAGATTAATCTTCTGTGAAGCCTAGGGCTTCTGTGCTTGCCCCGTCCTGCCCAGCCAGAAGGACTTTGCCAACGTTTAGCTGACATCTGAAGGCAGCCCTGTTTAGGGAAACTTTTAATGTTTGATGCATTACTGCATTTTAATGTTTTGTTGGAAGCCGCCCAGAGTGGCTGGGGAAACCCAGCCAGATGGGCGGGTGTTATGCCTATCGGTGTGGTTGCTCGAGAGCGAACCGGCAAGATCCCTGACTGGTCTTTTCAAAGGCTTTATTATTGGTGCAAAAACATTTACAATGCAGAACGCCTCTATTCCATGTCTTCCTCAGTCACTAGCAGAATCTGAGAGTGGGCGGTCCTTAAACTTTCCCCAGCAGAGTAGTCTCATGACCCCCAGCCGACGCCTCCCCTCTCTAGGCGAAAACCTACTGCACAGGGAAGGCTTGGGTAAAGGGGCACCTCCCTCCTCCCCGCTTTGCTCAGGCACAGTGTCTTGGCTCTTTCTTGCATCCTCCAAGCCCGGCATCCCTTCCTGACTAGAGGCGGGACTTCCCTCCTCCGCTGAGGAAGTGCTGCTTCCCACGATCTTTGGAGGCTCTCTGTAATCCAACTGCCCTTCCACCTCTCACCTCTGAGCTGATGGCAGTTCCCTGACAGCGGGGTACAAATAATAAGTTGTTGTTGTTGTTGTTGTTGTTGTTGTTGTTGTTGTTGTTCAAAGAATCCTGGCTCTAGGCATAAAACAAGGGCAGAGAAAACTGACAGCATCTCTTCTATAAGATGGGAAGCTTGAATGACATTTGGTTGTGTTCAAGGGATGCTGGCAGCAGTGCTCTTTTTCTACAAAAGGAGGTGCAGGAACTCACCATGAACACCTCCCTTGCAGCAGCGTAGCTAGCCGCTCGGGTGCCTGGTGTGGGGGGCATGCCCTGTAGCTGGGGGCGGGCGATCTGCACCAATGGAGGTGGGGTGATCTGTGCCATGGGGGGGGGGGGAGTCTCTCCGACACTTGAAGCCTCTCCACCGCCTCCCCCTCAGCTGTAGGGTGGCTGAGGGAGAGGTAGTAGGCAGACGCAAGTCCCACGCTGCAGTTTCAAGCAGCACAGAACCTGCAGGCACCTAAGCCACCATGTCACTCCTCAAAAATTTCGTGAGCCCATTTCCCCCCCCCCCAAAAAAGGTCATTTTGTCACCCCCCTTCATTGATGACACCCAGAGTGGACTGCACACACACACCCCGCACACCCCTTCCTCTGCCACTGCTCCCTTGTTCTCTTAGAATGGCAATGGGGCTCACCTGAGAGGTGCCAGAGCTGAATTTTGGTGAGTTGCGGCTGAAAATAAGCCCTGGTTTGCAGAATGAATTTCCTGTCGTTCGGTCCCTGCTCCTGCCAACCTAGCAGTTTGAAAGCACGTCAAAGTGCAAGTAGATAAATAGGTACCGCTCCGGCGGGGAGGTAAATGGCGTTTTCGTGCACTGCTCTGGTTTGCCAGAAGCGGCTTAGTCATGCTGGCCACATGACTCGGAAGCTGTCTGCGGACAAACGCCGGCTCCCTCGGCCAGTAAAGCGAGATGAGCGCCACAACCTCAGAGTCGTCTGCGACTGGACTTAACATTCAGGGGTCTCTTTACCTCCTTTATAGATGCTACCACAGTCGTGTTAATGCTTTTATCACAGTGCCAGAGTTCCTTACACAGCTTTCTGGGTGTAAAGCAGAAATCACCTTGTGACCTTGTGCAGCAAGTACCAGTAATTTGCTTTCAGAATGCAAGACAAAATGCATCCTTTCTTATAATTAAAAACTGGACTTTTGGACTCGACCAACGGAGTCAGATCTCATAACTGACCAACCTGACAACTGTGACTCTGACATACTGGCAGCTGAATCATACAGATAGCTCAACTGGTAGAGCATGAGACCCCTTAATCTCAGGGTTGTGGGTTCAAGCCCCACATTGGCCTTGCAGAGGGCTGGATTAGATGAACCTTGTGGCCCCTTCCAATTCTATGATTCTATGATATAGCCATTTCTGAGTATACAAAAGGATAGCCTCCAGAACCAACTGGATCCTGTGCTAACAAGAACCGACTAACACGAGAAAATGGGGAAAACCAAGGCTCAATTAAAGCTAGAGCTCAGATTTTCTTACATTGGCTCACCTATCATTTCCAAAAATAGATCATCTCCAGCGGAAAGAAAGTCAGAAGGTCCTATCAACTTAAAAGGGAGCTCCACGCTGCTTGTTTTTCATTCCGATGTTAAGTTAAGCCGCCCATGCACTCATCTGCAGATGTTTGCCAGAGCTGACTCTCAACTTGTTAATGATTAAAGAGACTGCAGTGCCAGTCTGAAGGCATAATGGAGAGCAAATACGGAGTTACATAATGCCATAAAGCTACTCTGTCTGCTGAAAAAGGGGGGGGAAAGGAAGTAACCTAGGCAAGATTCTTCATACAAGATGCAAAAATACAACTTTCACAACCAGAATCTATCTCTCCATTAACTCAGATCAGAGTAAGACAAATACCTGCCAAGATTTGTAATAATGCGCAAAGGATGAGCTAGATTTTCATTTTTGAAGTAGCAGAACTGATACATGGCTAAGCATGTTGAAGCACACTCTAATCTCTTAGATGGCAACCCTCCAACACTTTGAAGCCAAAATCCATGACGCTATCTTCCCAGGTGCCATCTCCCCATTTATTTATTTTTTGTCGCGAGAGCACAGGAGCCATTTTGGTTGCCCTGATCTCACATGAATTCACACCACAGTTTCTCCCCCACGGTTTTCACGTTTTGGAGCACTACACAAGATTGCGGCCCCGGCAAAAAGTGCTTTTTCCAGGGGGAAATCACAGCATGAGATCACAGCAACCAAAATGGCCTCCCTTCTATCTCAATAAAACAATGGGATACCCCAGTTTTTCCGGGACATTTGCGGGGTATGTACTCTCGGTACCTTTAACAAACAACAGCAACCTAGAATTCTCGGGAGGAAGCCATGACTGTTTTACCTCAGGGACTTAAATATATGGTGTGAAAGTGGCCTTTCTGCAGAGTGTTTCAGTGCCATGAACCAGCCCATCTCGGAGGGGTACGATTAGATTGTTGAACTGCTTTGAATCCCAGCATAATTCCAAAGCACAGCAAATACAGGCCGTAAAACAGGGAACCAGCTAAGGGTGGGAAAAGCTAAGCAGAGGCAGAGACCAACCCCTCGTTCATCCCTATTATCAAAGCTTTTTGGTCCTCGCTCTTCTGTTATTTTCCCACCAGTGGCATAACCATGATGGGAGTCACAAAAAGGCAGGGCCACTTGAATTCTTTCACATAATTATTAACCGTCGCCTCATCTGAAGGGCGCCTGTGAGAGTCCCCTGCAGTTTGAGCTGTGATTATCTTGTTCTCCCCTGACAAGGTGACATTAAGGAGGCCGTTCCTCTTTCGATTCCAATCAAACATTGAAATCCCACTTCCCCAAACACTGAAAAACACCTCACAAAAATCTGCAGCTTTATTTATTTGGCACCACTTTTCGTATGCTCACTTGTAAGTTATTGTCTCAATTAAGGCTCATTGTCGATTCATGTCAGGTTCCTGTGTTATTAAACACACAAACCCCAAACCAAAATAGATTTCAAACCAGACTAAGGGAGGATAATCGTCTGGAGGTCTGGGAAAGATATACCATGAGTTGTTCCATGTTTGTGGTGCGCAGGGCCAGCCTAAGACCTATGGCTGCCTGAGGGGAAGGACAAAATGGCGCCTGCCCCCAATTCATGAACAGATGCTGGCTGGGTTGGCAACAGAATGTCTTCCCTGCACTTGAGGGAAGTTAGCTAATTTAGGGACTGTACAATGGGCATGTGCCAGTGCCAAATGCAGCTTGGGGAAACTCTGGAGGAATGGCTAGAGGGGCTGCTCCTCAGCATCTGCCACCTGAGGCAATTGCCATACACTGCCTAATGGTAGAGTCGGCCCTGAGGCAGGGGGTTTCAGAGGGGGAGAAAGGCCAAGGCAGTCAATAAGAGCCAGTCTCCTGTGGAGAGGGGGAATCACAGCACATATTTCCCCTGCATGTCAAGTCTTGGCTATTTCCCACATTCAAAATCAATGGCAGACTAGGCAGCTAACTGAATACTAATTTAGTTAACAGTCTTCCTTTCTGTTCACTCATGATGTGGATGGGTTGTCCAGCTTTGTAAATAGCATAAAATAAAGGGCAGTGTCTCTCTTTCTCTCTGTGTGTGCAGTCATTGAAGTGAAAAACAATTTCTCTCATTTTATTTTGTTTTATAAATACAGCCAACTACAGTGGTACCTCGGGCTATATGCACTTCAGGTTACAGGCTCCGCTAACCCAGAAGCAGTACCTCGGGTTAAGAACTTTACCTCAGGATGAGAACAGAAATCACGTGCCGGCGTCATGGCGGCAGCGGGAGGCCCCATTAGCTAAAGCGGTACCTCAGGTTAAGAACGGTTTCAGGTTAAGAATGGATCTCCGGAATGAATTAAGTTCATAACCAGAGGTACCACTGTATTTCAAAGTTGGAGAGCAAAAGCGGAAGTCACCATGATAGGATATCATTGGGACTCTATGCTTCCGCAGAGGGCTCCCTCACTCAAAATTATGTACAGTGGTACCTCAGGTTACATACGCTTCAGGTTACAGACTCCGCTAACCCAGAAACAGTGCTTCAGGTTAAGAACTTTGCTTCAGGATGAGAACAGAAATCGTGCTCCGGCGGCGTGACAGCAGTGGGAGGCCCCATTAGCTAAAGTGGTGCTTCAGGTTAAGAACAGTTTCAGGTTAAGTACGGACCTCAGGAACGAATTAAGTACTTAACCTGAGGTACCACTGTACATTCTAGTTCTTCAGGTTAGCAAATGTGTTGCTTCCCCCCCTCCCCAAGGGGCACCACCTGACAAGTTCTGACCTATTGGAGTAAAGGGACCTTTCTTGACCACTCTTACAATTCTGTCCTTTGGCCAGAGTTGAGTGACAAGGCATGCGTGACATTCCAGCTGTACATGACATGTGTCAGATCACTAGTTTAGATACACAACAGGGTTGTGTTTGGGCACCAAGGGAATCTGCAAATGGACTGGTGGATGTGACAACTCTGACAGCTCAAAATTGCCAAGTTTCAGCTCTTGAATCCAACAGTTCACCAGTTCAGAAGACTGGCAGCCAAAACATTCCAGTTTATCCTTTGGGTTATATTGTCTTTCCAGTTCTTAGTTAAAGGTGAGCCAAGGTGCACTCTACAGTATAATTTTGGCACAGAGAGGACCTTGGTAAAAAGGGGTTTGACAGCCCCTTGTGCCAGAGGGCAAGACATGGAACACTTTGCTCCCAAACCTCATCAGCCACAATAAAACACCATGCTATTTCAGAGGAAGCTTAAGGTAAAGGGCATAAGGACACTGAGCTGCTGTCGTGTTTTATATCGGTTGGAGTGAAATGCGTTGGTGCACAGTCCAACTTTGGTGTGTTCTGCAAAAAGGGAAAGCAGAATGCAATTCTCTCTCTCCCATCCCCTCCTTTCTAATATACCGTATTTTTTGCTCTATAAGACTCACTTTTTCCCTCCTAGAAAGTAAGGGGAAATGTGTGTGCATCTTATGGAGTGAATGCAGGCTGCGCAGCTATCCCAGAAGGCAGAACAGCAAGAGGGATTGCTGCTTTCGCTGTGCAGCAATCCCTCTTTTTGTTCTGGCTTCTGAGATTCAGAATATTTTTTTTTCTTGTTTTCTTCCTCCAAAAGCTAGGTGCGTCTTATGGTCTGGTGCATCTTATAGAGCGAAAAATACGGTACATATTCCCTACATCACTCAGAGAAACAGCAGCAATGTCTTCACAGTTTTAACTGTTTGGAGCCAAATTCTCCTCAGAGGCCAATGTAAATGAGAATAAACACAACCGCATTCTGTAAACCAGCCCTGTGAGATCATAAAGTGTGGGGAGATGATATATCACAGTTTAATCACCCTGATTACTCCATGCAGCTTTAATGATGAAGGCAGGTGACTCATTGGGGGGATCCATGACTCATCAAGAACTTGGCACAGAGGATTATACAGAGGTTCTAGAAATCTATGTGGCTGTGATCAAGGTGCAAAGCACAAAATATGGCGTCAGAAAGGCACAACCCACCTTCCTGACCAAACTCCCAGGAGGAAAAGGCTCAGAGCAGCAAGTTCATTTTCCCCTGCTGTGTTTCAAGTTGCATTTGCACCAGAGAGAGGATGAGGATGCCACCCCTCAACATGTGCAATGCAATGCAACGTAATAAAAACACATTAAAACAACGCCAGAAAGAAGTTGCCTGAAGTTTCTTCTTACTTGCCAGAGGCAACGGATTTATTTATAGACCTAAATCAAGCCCTGTGTGGCTCCAAGGCTATGTACGCAATTTACTCTATTTTTAAACGCCCTTTGCACACGCACGGTCTGGCCACCACTTGGTAAAAATCAAAATGACAACAGGGATAATAAACTAGATAAATGTGAACGAGTCTGATAGTGTATTAAACTCTTAATGAAGCTCCACTGGATGCCAGCGAATACTGCTGGCTGTCAGGTGTGGAAAGGGGGTGGGTAGGACTAAAAATACAAGCAATAAATTGTTCCCTGTTGAAACCAAGCAGATGATCAATGTGCAGACAAGACCAGTTCAGAGATTTCCCAGACAACTGTAATGTAATCTCTAAAGGAGGTGAGATTCCATGTTAACTGTGATGAAATCAATAGAAAAGAAGGAGAGAGAATGTTTGTTTTCCACTTCTGAATTTGGTGAGCAGGCGTCTTCCGTATCTGTTACAAGTAAACATATGGGGCTATGCAAGAAAAGCTACCACAAGACAAATATATGTTAATTGTGTTAATGCAATTCATGTTCAAATATCACACACACACGGGCTGGGGAATATATCATGCAAAACTGGTTTGATATCGGTTTCATAATTTGTGACCTGACAATATACTGTGAATTGTGGCATTTGTGTGTGTGCTATGCAAAAATCACAATGTGAGAAAAACAGTGAAGCCAGCCAATGCTTCTCTCGATTCCTGCAGCAGCTGTTAACCCTGCTGGCTCAGCTCCCCCTGCCTCATGTATCCCGATTAACCCTCAAAAAGGTGCCTAATGTTGATGATTTGCAATATGCCCATTTGAACGGGATGAATAAATCAAATTGGTTCAGAAGGCAGATGATGAATCGACTATGTATTCTTCAAGCTAGTTGATGGGCCAAATCAACACAGCCATCACAACTCTGGAATGTTGGGTTTTGCAATACCCTTCACCGTGTGAATAAAAAAGGCTATGCACCGTTAAAGTTCTGTCTCAGATCGCTGAAACATATTTCTGAATATTTATCACAGCCCTAAGACGGATGCAGCGCATTCACATATTCATACAGCTGAGATGCATTAATTTGCACACACTCTGTGACCTAGATCTCCAGGCCTTGAAAAAAACCTTTTCTCTCTCTCTCTTTTTAAAGTAGAAAATAAAATAAATTAGCTGCAAAGATTGTAATGCTTAAGCAGCAAGCATCCACTGTTGCTTTCAGAAGGCAGAAGGAATGTGCATCAGTGTCAGGCAAAGCCTATTCCACCCCTGAGTCTCTTTTCTGGGAAGCTGTTAAGATTGTTTGTGTTGTCTGCTGTGGGGTGACCCATTTAACGAAGATTTCAGAAGGCTCCCCAGCAGTTCGCAGTTCCTCTTTATGCAAAGCTGTGATGTGATAGGCAGCAGATATTCCTGAAATTGCACTTATAGGAAATAATAGGATTTTTTTAAAAAACAACAACACAAAACCTGCCAAGATCAGAATGCACAGCCAGTTCAAAATATTTGGAGCTTAATTAACATTGCAATCCTATCTGTGTCTACTCTGACGCAGGTGCTGTTGAGTTTAACGAGGTTGACACCAGGCAAGTGGGGTATAGGGTCCCAGTTTAATATGGAAGCAAGATATCCTTGCCAGATGGATTGATAAGGGATACATGTTCTCGTAAATGGCACGTAATGCAGTAAATTTGTGTATCAACTGCTCCATTTCAAATGGCAGACAAAGGAGTGCAGGATCAAATGCTCCCTTCCGCAAGCATGCTCACACCTAAGAAAACTAGCATGTAAGGCAGAACGGGGGAAAGAACTCATATTCCTGATGTGCTGCTTTTCTATGTGCAGGGAAATCTTTTAATAATATTATTAATTACTTATTGTGAAAGATTAAGACTCCCTTACCTACAGTCTGAGATCTACACCACAAGAACAATTAAGCTCCTGCTTTTTTTATTCTATCGGGGTGGCAGGGGTGTTCATTTAACCAGGAAAATTATAGTGAGGACTGTGCCATTCTAGTCTGTCTAAATACCCCATCCCCACTGCTATTTCCCCCCAGGCCTGAACAAACAGGAGGTTATGGTGAAAATTTAGACTAGGGATAAACAAAGAGAAAGAAAAAGCTAAACCTCTCAATATACACTACAGCTTCAGAGGAATGATATTCGCCAGGAATCAGAGCAAAGGAGGAAAGGGTTAAACTCTCCTGCCCCCTCGCTGTGCTAATCCTGAGAAATGTTGGGGTGCCATTTGGACCCAAAAGTGCATGTTTGGCCCTGAATTTGAGTGTTTCTGTGTTCCTGAATTGAACTGTTTCTGTGTTGCTTCCCCAACCCTCTTTGTATAAGGTCTATTATAGATCGTCAACCTGTGGGCAGGAAGTGTGCAATCTCCATCTTTGTAGGCCTCGCTAAATATTGAAACACATGCATCTTGGTCTTTTTTTCCAGGGTGGCAGTACCCATTTCCGCAAGCCCCATGGCTCTTGGGAGATACAGTCATACGTCACGTTACGTCCGCATCATGTTACGTTCTTTCAGGTTACGTCCCGCGGCGACCCAGAAGTACCGGAAAGGGTTACTTCCGGGTTTCACCACTCGCACATGCGCAGAAGTGCAAAATGACATCACGTGCATGCACAGAAGCCGCAAATCGCAACCAGCGTGTGCGCAGGTGCGCCGCTGCAGGTTGCGCTCTTTTCATGTTGCGAACGGGCCTCCAGAACAGATCCCGTTCACAACCAGAGGTACCACTGTATCTCAAAGTGGGGTTGGGAAGGAAAGGTCCACAAGTTTCAAATGGCCCACCAGCCTTCAATACTAGCGCATCTTCATTCTTAGTCTCAAGAAAATGCTGACCATTATTCTACATCCATCCCAAAATGGAGAAATTGATAGCACTACAAGCTAGGAGAAGGTGTTGAAGGGCTCCATAGGCACAGCCCAAAATCTAATGGCTCTGGTGCACACTGCAGAACTCCGTGTGTACAGAAGAATCAATGCCCATCCCACAAGTGGAATCACAGTGTACCAGGCAGAGCATTTCCCTTGGCACATATAGGGTTTTGGACTGTGCAGAAAATGTCCAACATTAGATGGTTAACCTATCAAGTTCCTCCAGTGCTTATGAAATAAGGCTGTCAAATAAGGCTACCTTGGTTCTCAAACTTAATCCGTTCCAGAACTCTGTTCCAAAACCAAAGCGTTCCAAAACCAAGGCGCGCTTTCCCATAGAAAGTAATGCAAAACAGATTAATCCGTTCCAGACTTTTAAAAACAACCCCTAAAACAGCAATTTAACATGAGTTTTACTATCTAACGAGACCATTGAGCCATAAAATGAAAGCAATAAACAATATACTGAACTATAAAATAAAGAAGACAGTATTGTAGATGATAAAAATTAAAAGTATTATTTTTTCCTTACCTGCACTGATGATAGTCATTGTTTGGATGGGGGGCTTTTATCCATTTCCACAGTCACAGAATCAATCAATCAATCAATCAATCATAAAATGAAGAACAAGCCACAGTCACAAAACCGAAACAGCCACACAAACAAAAATGCAAAAAAAATAGCAAAAACAAAAGCACCAAATATAAGCTCCAAATATCACCTCAGAACACTGCAGTCAAAAATGGAAAGCCTTGATTACAATGGGGGGGGGGGGATGCAGATTAGCAGTGCAACAGTGAAAACAGAAGCTTGGGAGCACATTTGGCTTCCGAAGCAAAGTTCACAAACCTGAACACTGACTTCCAGCTTTGCAGCATTTGAGTTCCAAGTTGTTTGGGAACTAAGCTGTTCAAAAATCGAGGTACCATTGTACTAGTCATAATGTCTATAGTCTACCTCCATCATCGGAGGCAGCAATGTTTCTGAAAACTAGGGACGGATCTACACTCATGGTTTATAACGTTAAGAAAGCATTAAGGAATGATAATAATACGTTATTAAAATGTGACTCCAGAGTGCGCTGCCGAGCAACCAGGACCCTACAGTTAGGCAAACTGTGTTATTACTAACAAAACAAGGTAAAGGTAAAGGTAAAGGTAAAGGTACCCCTGCCCGTTCGGGCCAGTCTTGCCAGACTCTAGGGTTGTGCGCTCATCTCACTCTATAGGCCGGGAGCCAGCGCTGTCCGCAGACACTTCTGGGTCACGTGGCCAGCGTGACAAGCTGCATCTGGCGAGCCAGCGCAGCACACGGAACGCCGTTTACCTTCCCGCTGGTAAGCGGTCCCTATTTATCTACTTGCACCCGGAGGTGCTTTCGAACTTCTAGGTTGGCAGGCGCTGGGACAGAACGACGGGAGTGCACCCCGCCGCGGGGATTCGAACCGCCGACCATGCGATCGGCAAGTCCTAGGCGCTGAGGTTTTACCCACAGCGCCGCCCGCGTCCCAACAAAACAAGGTAGGAACATTTTAAATAATTATTTAATAGTCATACTCCGCCCATCTGGCTGGGCCTCTCCAGCCTTGCTGGGCGACTCCCAACAGAATAATAATAATAATAATAATAAAGCAATAAAACATCAAACATTAAAAAACTTTCCTAAACAGAGCTGCCTTCAGATGTCTCCTTAAAGTCAGGTAGCTGCTTATTTCCTTCACATCTGAAGGGAGCGCAGAAATAATAAATTATTATTATTATATTAGAGCATGCGACTCTTGATCTCAGGGTTGTGGGTTTGAGCCCCACATTGGGCAAAAGATCCCTGCATTGTCAGGGGTTGGACTAAATGACCCTCAGGGTCCCTTCCAACTCTATGAAAACACTGATTGTGTGATTCTTTGCCTGCTGTAAATTGCTACGAAGATGCCCTCTCTCTCCCACCCAAAAAAGGGCAAATTGCAGCGAAACAGCAGCATATGGAAAAGTTCCATTAATATCACACATTTCTAAACAACAGGAGACATTAATACAGAGAGAGGGGAGGGGGGAAAACAGCAGCCTCCTTCAGCAAATACCAGGAGCAATTTGTAGTCGTGTTATTGTGTATTGTATCAACTCAATTGAGCAGGGCCTCTGCTGGAACGGCCGCATAAATCATTCACATTTATTTCCATTTAGGAGGACTCCGATAAAGTCAATGCCTCCGGCTGAAGGGAACTAATGTGATCCACAAATTACAGTGTCGAGGATTGAGGGAGGGGGCTGAATTAAACTGGCTAGGTTAAAAATAAACAACAGCCATTCACTCATGACAAAGCTAGTTGGCAATGCCAGTCCACTTGTCAGCAATGACAAGCTGCGGCTTAATTGCTGGCAAAAATGCGACTATCCTGAAAAACCAGACATCATTGCAGAGTGTGGCAAACTTTTTAAAAGATAATATTAATGCATCTGTGAAGTACTCCCTGGTACAAATCCATGAGGACATATGTGCAAAAATGGCTTTCTCTAAACTTGCTTTCCATGCAACATCTTTGATCCAGCGGATCTCATCTCTCTGGGACATCTGGTCCTCAGATCACACACATATATCGAGCATCCAAGAGCTCTGTTTTCCCATGGTGATGTGTGGACAGATGCGGTGCATATACCTCCAATCAGAGGTGTTTATGTGTGTTTATGTATATGGACTGCAAGAAGATCAAACCTATCCATTCTGAAGGAAATCAGCCCTGAGTGCTCACTGGAAGGACAGATCGTGAAGCTGAGGCTCCAATACTTTGGCCACCTCATGAGAAGAGAAGACTCCCTGGAAAAGACCTTGATGTTGGGAAAGATGGAGGGCACAAGGAGAAGGGGACGACAGAGGATGAGATGGTTGGATAGTGTTCTCGAAGCTACCAGCATGAGTTTGACCAAACTGCTGGAGGCAGTGGAAGACAGGAGTGCCTGGCGTGCTCTGGTCCATGGGGTCACGAAGAGTCGGACACGACTAAACGACTAAACAACAATAACAACAACAACAACAACAACAACAACAACAACAACAACAAAGCCAGTTGGGGCTGTTGAAGTCCAGCAACATATGGGGATTGAAGATCACACTGTTCTATACAACTTCAAAATGTACATTTCCCCTCTCCTTTGTACCTGGCCTGGTTTGGGGTGTGTGTGTGTGTGTGTGTGTGTGTGTGTGTGTGTGTGATCTTCTGGCCTTCTTCATGATGACTTCTTCATCACACATTGTTGTTTAGTCAAACTCATGCTGCTAGCTTCGAGAACACTGTCCAACCATCTCGTCCTCTGTTGTCCCCTTCTCCTTGTGCCCTCCATCTTTCCCCAACATCAGGGTCTTTTCCAGGGAGTCTTCTCTTCTCATGAGGTGGCCAAAGTATTGGAGCCTCAGCTTCACGATCTGTCCTTCCTGTGAGCACTCAGGGCTGATTTCCTTCAGAATGGATAGGTTTTAGCCAGGAATAATGGCAGTAGATGTCAGGAGCCCAGGCCCTGACAACACAGCACGCAAGTCGTAATTAGCTTGAAGATTCATTGCAAAATAAACAATCAGCCTCCAGAGTGCTATCGGAGCTTCCGTACCTTATGATTCAGTTGACCCTTCTGAGGAGTTCTTCCTGCTTCTGCAGAATATCCTGAACCTATGACCCTTACGTTTCTGGTATTGTTTCCTGTCTAATACCTTCCCCATACATCAACTCCTTGGGCTCACAGGATTAATTGTCTCCTCTTCCGGTGAGGAAATGCTCTCCCTTCTGCTTTCCGAGCCTGCCTATGCTTCTTGAGCGAGTAGGCTTCTCTCCATCCCGCCCTTTGCTAGCGTCTTATCTGCATTCCTTTCAGTGTCAGGGGGAGTAGACAGCCGACATGCTCCCAGCTGTCTGAGAGAAATGCAAGCTTTTCTGCTGGCTGCTTCCTGACTCATGCTGTCCCTCTCTACTTGGGGCAGATGTGTTCATGACAGTAGAAATCTAACAGCATCTGGGGGGCTCAAGCTTGAAGGACAATGCTATGGAAGAAAGTGCTTCTCTTTCACCACCTAAATGATGCATTGTTGGTTTGGAGCTGCTCACATGGTATTAAAATAAAAAAAAATTAAAATATTATATATATATATGTATATGTATATATATATAAAAGGTTCATAACTGCATATATAAACCACATGTCTGAAACCCCACAGAAAAAGTCCTGAAACCATTTTGTCCCTCCCAAATTGACCTCAAATATTTCTCAGCAAGGTCAAAGGAAAATGGAAAAGCTTCCCCATTGTCTTTTCCTTCCCAAATCCTGTCTTAAGGGTATGTCTGTGTATGAATAGGGTGAGCCTGTGACCTGGCTCTGGAACTAAGTATTTGTCATTACAAAAGACTGACCAGGCTCCCCAGGGTATCCAATCAAGTAACCATTAACAGGTAACCTGCCAGACAAGAGATAAACAATGCACTCAGATTTCTGTTGTAGACCACTCTTTCTGTGATGTAGGTATGATGTATCTGAGGGGTGGTTGAGCTCCACCCCTTTTTGTGATGTATGTATGATGTATGGAGGGGTGGTCTTGAGCTTCAGGGCAGGGAATTTAAAATGTCTATACAGTATAAAGGCAGGCACACCTTTGTTCGGGGTCCTCCTCCTTTTCTGCATGTGAGGGGAGCACCCTGTTTCAACAGTTTCAATAAAGATCAGGCTTACTAGCTGCTTTGCTGCTCAATATTCTCTGGTCGGCCTCTGTTATTTTCTCCGACCAATGGAGAACCTACAAAGGACTCTATAACGGCTCTTGTGTCCTCCATAAGGGAATAGGGGCAGATTTTTGTTTATTACAGTAATCTAGGGTATCCTAGTGGAAAAAAATTGGGCTGGGCTTATGTAGTAGTTGTGCAGAGGAGAGGATTTCAGCATGATAAACCATACCTCCTGAAATGCCCCTTTTTGTCACCTGGCCACCCTACAAATGGCTGTGCATGGAGCCCCTTCCTACTGGAAGCCATCCATCATCCCTGGTTGTGACATGGCTGCTGCACCCTCCCTTGGGATTGCAGTCTATAAGTTCTGGAACGAAAGGCAAGCCAGAGAGCCATCCCTAGTCTTTCTTCAGCTTAGTGTCATCCCTGCAGAGTGCGGACAAATAGCCTTTTAAGGCCGTGGCTAAACGCAATCTTCCCTCCATAATAATCAGTTTATTAAAAGAAAGAAGGAGGGGGGGAGAGGGAGAGAGACTTTCTACACTTGTAATTGCCCAAATGAAGAGAGCAAATGTGTGCGGATTAAAAAGGATTTGTCATTTTGGATTAACAGGGATCAAGCCACTGCTTCTTCAGTGTAACAGGTTCCCACCAGATATGGTGAGCACCGTTTGATCTTTCTGTTCCACATACAGGATATACTGTTTACGGTGAAGTGTAGTCCTGGTGGTTTGTAGAAAGAAAGCCAGGCAAGTACCCACCTTTAAGGCCAAGCCAGCAAAGCTTTCAAAGGCCACCTTTAGCCCCTGGAAATAGATGGATGTGGTAGCTGGGGACGTTGAAGACCTTAAACCTACCCAGCTGCTGACAGGTGTGATAGGAATTTTGAGGTCTTAGATATATGTGAAATGTTCATAAGTGTACCAACCAGGCACGTACAGGAAGCATGTACAGGAAGACCAACCTGGAACCATTTTTGATTCCCAAACTGTCCCAAACTGACCAAATGTTTTCTCTGCAAGGTCAAAGGAAAATGGAAAAGCCTCCCATTGTCTTTTCCTTCACAAATCCTATCTTAACGGTATGTCTGTGTTTGAATAGGGTGTGAGCCTGTGACATGGCCCAGGAACTAAGTATTTATCATTACAAAAGACTGGCCAGGCTCCCCAGGCAATCCAATCAAGTAACCTGCCAGACAGGAAATAAACAACGACAGGAGAAAAACAACATTCAAACTTCTGTTTTAGACCGCCTTTTTTGTGATGTAGGTGTGATGTATCTGAGGGGTGGTCTTAGGTTACACCCCTTCTGTGATGTATGTATGATGTTTCTGGGGGGTGGTCTTGATCTACAGGGTGGCAATTTCAAAAGTCTTTATAAGGCCTTGTGCGCTATTGTTCTAGGTTCCTCCTCCTTTCCTGCGGGTGAGGGGAGCACCCTGTTGCAACAGATCAATAAAGATCAAGCTTACTAGCTTCTTTGCTTCTCAATATTCTCTGGTTGGCCTCTGTTATTTTCTCCTACCAATAGGTAACCTATGTAAGGACTGTATATGGGCTCTTGGATACCCCATAAGGGAAAAGGGCAGTTTTTGTTTACAACACAGGGTAGCCACAGTTGAGACAGATGTGCCATTGGTATACCCACCTGTATGGGCAATCTATGTGGAAGAAAATTGTATTTCGAGGAGATAACGCTCTAACATGGTTACCTTCCTCAGGGCTGTCTTTACCCGGGGGTACAAGGGGTGTGGGGCACCTGGGCACCATAAACTCTTAACTATCTACCTGCTATGAAATAATAAATAATTTTGATCAAGCTAGAAAATCAAAATACATATATACCTAGGTATTACTGAAATGTATACCTACGGTTTCACCAAAGGACTTTCGACCTTGTGCGCTCATTTACCAAAGACACACCGTGCCAACGGCGGCGCTTATCAGACTCAACGAGTATAAGGGTATTGTAAATAAATTTTCACACCGGGGGCGCATATGCTAAAAACTCCCCTGACCTTCCAATCCTGCCTCTGTTTGTTTTCCCCTCTCTAACTCTTGTTCAGTTCTTTGCTGGCTGAAGAACAGCCTTTAGTGCCCTAATCTGTTAAGGAGGGAAGGAAGTGATATCTCCGAGTATCTTCTTTTGATGTTAGACATTGTTTGAAGAAAGTAAGGCATTGGGAGAGGTGGCTAATGAATAATCTGTACATAGCTAGTACCACGTAGGCAGTCAGGCAAGCCACACAGGCCAACAGGTTTAAAAAGGTAAAGGTAAAGTCCCATCGCGAACGACTCTGGAGTTGCGGAGCTCATCTCACTTTACTGGCCAAGGGAGCCGACATTTGTCTGCAGACAGTTTTTCCGGATCATGTGGCCAGTGGGACTAAGCCGCTTCTGGTTAAACCAGAGCAGTGCACGGAAATGCCGTTTACCTTCCTGCCAGAGCGATACCTATTTATCTACTTGCACTTTGATGTGCTTTCAAACTGCTAGGTTGGCAGGAGCTGGGACTGAGCAACAGGAGCTCACCCCGTCGCGGGGATTCGAACCACCGACCTTCCAATCGGCAAGTCCTAGGCCAGGGGTAGGCAACCTAAGGCCCGTGGTCCAGATGCAGCCCAATCGCCTTCTCAATCCGGCCCATGGATGTTCCGGGAATCAGCATGTTTTTACATGAGTAGAATGTGTCCTTTTATTTAAAATGCATCTCTGGGTTATTTGTGGGGCATAGGAATTCGTTCATTTCCCCCCCAAAAATATAGTCCGGCCCACCACATGGTCTGAGATATGGTGGGCCGGCCCTTGGCTGAAAAAGGTTGCTGACCCCTGTCCTAGGCTCAGTGGTTTAGACCACAGTGCCACCCGTGTCCCTAACAGGTTAGCTATCTATAAATAGGATGGTTTGGGTATAGTTTCTGAAGCTCGTGCATGGACTGATTGATCGCTGGGCCGTGCAAACTGAGGCTGCCTGGAGGAGTCGCTTCACCACTTCTTGAGGGCTTCCAAGTAGCAGATCAAAGTGCTTGCTTGGTAATTGTATCTCATGCTTGCTGTTTAGAATAAAATCATTAATCTTCTCACTCACTTGTGTTTGTATTGCTTCTGAATCTTATTTTAAAAGAACCACCTTGCATTTGGCAAGACACCTCCACCATATTGAGCCCTGAAACTGGGCCATGTGTCTTCCTACCTGTGCAATATCACAGAGCCCATAAGACATGCTTTCTTTAGGGCCATGCTTGTATGGCACCCAAAAATGTGTGTTGGGGGATGCAATGTAAAACCGAGGCCCCAATAAAAATGGTTTTTTTGGGGGGGGGCAAGATCTCTGCGCAAAATCACATGAGATCACAGCACCCAAGATTCTGAAGATGTGGCTTGCAGGAATATAAAACTATCAAATAGACACCTTTTGATATGGGCAAAAAACTATCCAAGAAAATCCATGGCTGGAAGATCACTGAAGTGTAAGTGGGTTCCCACAAGGCAAGACACAGTGATAACAGCAAGAACATTTATTGAACTACCAGAACTGGACAACAGGGGCAAAGCAACTGCTTATATACGTTTCTGAAGGCCTGGGCCACTCCCACTCCCAACGTGATAGGCTGTCTAAACTTCCAAGCTGTGAATCATGACTCAGAGTTTAAGGGCCAATGGCAGAGGCCCAAATCCTGAAATGTTCTGTGATTGGATATCATATATCAAATCAGAACACAGGAGCTCAGAGTCCAGACTCAAGCTCAAGCAAACACAGATCACTGTGAATACATAACAACCACCATTCGGACTGAGGCTACACTAAGGCTATGACAACAAGGGGTAAAATAATAAATAAGCCACCCTAAATACAAAACCTAAGACAGAGCGGCTTCTTGGCTTCAATTGCTTCCCTTTGGATTCCAATACATTTTTTCATTTAACTGGGCCAAGATAATAAGCTTTCCTGGCATTTAACAACTGGCAAGCCTGCCAAAGTACTACATGAAATGAAGACATCCTTGTTTGATCTGTGGCCCTATTGAAAATGCCCCAAACCGCTCCTAAAATACGGTACATCAAGAAACTAATTAATCCATGTTATGGGCAACACGCTCAAGGTGACATACTTTACACATTTATGACATACTTTATACATTTATATACATTTCAAAAAGGAAAGTAGAAAGCAGAGTTGCTTACATTCTTAACCAATTGCACTTGCTCTCACTACTACCTCAAATTTACAGATGGAAAACCAAAGCCAATATGTCTGTCCTAATCCATGGCACAGATGGAAATTGAAACCTGGTATCCCAGTCTGAAGTCCAACACTATTGCCTCTAGTTTTGTCAAGTTCTTCTCACCCCATCTCTCCCCATTAGAAATTCCTGGGTAAAAAACACACACATCCAAATCCTAGGACTGTCTTCTGGGCTTAACTAGATGAAACAGGCATTTAGCTCTTTGATGTGTAAACAGGGAAACCAACAATATTTTCTTTTAAATTTTATTTTTAATCTTCTCATTTTACATACCTTCTAACAAAGAAAAAACAACTGTACATAAAAACCACCTACATTGCTTTCAGCTTCCCTTCCTTCCTTTCTGTGGTTACATATTTTATATCTTTCCTCCACTGCATATCAAATTTATATCATTCTTATTATTCTTTTTAATTATCTCTAACTGCACCAGTCAACCCTGCTAATGTTTTAAGCTGTTTACAGTGTATCTTCAAATAGCCTATATATTTTCTCCACTCAGTCATAAAAAGTCTCTCTTCTTGATTTCTTAATTCTTCTGGTAAGTTTTGCCATTTCTGCATATTCCATTAATTGTAATTGCCAATTCTCTTTTGTTGGAGCTGTTTCTTCTTTCCACCTTTGAGTATAGAGTGGTACCTCGGGTTACATATGCTTCAGGTTACATACGCTTCAGGTTACAGACTCCACTAACCCAGAAATAATACCTCGGGTTAAGAACTTTGCTTCAGGGTGAGAACAGAAATCGTGCTCTGGCAGCGCGGCAACAGCAGGAGGCCCCATTAGCTAAAGTGGTGCTTCAGGTTAAGAACAGTTTCAGGTTAAGAACGGACCTCCGGAACGAATTAAGTACTTAACCCGAAGTACCATTGTATCTCATATGAGCTGCTGTAGTAGCATACATGAATAGCTTTTTTTCCTGCTCTAAACAACCCTGTTTTTTAAGGCTGCACACAAACACCATAAGTTTAAAGCACATCATTTCCCTGAAGAATTGTGGGAATTGCAGTTTCTTAAGGGGTTGGGAATTGTAGCTTTGTGAGAGGTAAACCACAGTTTTGGGGGGGGGGTTAATCCTGAAAACAATGAAAGACTTTCTCTGCTTATTCTCAAGTGAGGGCCTTTAATTATATTCTGAACAGAAGGTAATAGAGATGGATATTACTGGGCTGTCTATTTACAGTCACACTGCCTTTGTAAAATCATGCATTATGTGACTGGCAATTGTGTCTGACATGTCCTGTTATCATTCATCTCTCTAATCACTCCCTCCTTCCCCACTTAATTGAGTCAAGTAAGCTTTTTTTAAAACACACACACACAAATATATCATCGCCCTCTAGTAGGGATGTAAAATCTAAAGCTACACAGCTCAGGGAGCACCGTGTATTACTCAGAAGGGATGGCATATTGCCTTGAATGGAATGCAAGTTCACTTCCAACAATCTGCTCAACAAAGCTTAAGTAGGCAAAAAGCCTCCAATAAATGCAAAAAAAGAAAAAAAGCCTCCTTTAGGCGCAGAATCTATATAGAACTTTTAAAGCAAATCCAGAGAGTGAGAATAGAGGTTTGGCCGGGGGGGGAGGGGAGGACTGCAAGAAAGGGCATCACAATTATGATGTGCAGTGATACTTTGATTCTCAAACTTAATCTGTTCTGGAAGGCTGTTCCAAAACCAAAACGTTCCAAAACCAAGGCGTGCTTTTCCATAGAAAGTAATGCAAAACAGATTAATCCGTTCCAGACTTTTAAAAACAACTCCTAAAACAGCAATTTAACATGAATTTTACTTTCTAACGAGACCACTGATCCATAAAATGAAAACAATAAGCAATGTGCTGTACTATAAAATAAATAAGACAGTATTGCAGATGATAATTTTTTAATTTTTTTTAATTCTTACCTGCACTGATGATAGTCATTGTTTGGATGGGGAGCGTTTATCCATTTCCGCAGTCACACAATCAATCAATCAATCAATCAGTAGCTGAACTGAGTTCCACACAGTCCACAAAAACAAATTAACCGAAAAAGCCTCAAAAACAAAAATGCAAAATAAATAGCAAAAACAAAAGCACCAAACTTAATCTGTTCTGAAAGCCCATTTGACTTCCAAAATGTTTGAAAACCAAGGCGCAGCTTCTGATTGGTGCAGGTGCCCCGGAAACAATAGCTGACAACCACATCGGACATTCGGCTTCCAAAAAACGTTCGAAAACCAGAACACTTACTTCTGGGTTTTCGGCGTTTGAGAACCAAGGTGTTTGAGAACCGAGGTACTACTGTAGTAAACTGAGCAGAACAGAAAGGTGGGGGTTGCTGAATTTCGACCTTGCAAAGGGTGCCGCTGAAATTTGATAAACCAAATTCCTCCCCTGGAAATGTCTTCCCCCAAGTCACCAGCATGGAAGTGTTCAACTTTGCATCAAGCTCTTAACACAAAAGAAGTCTACAGCTTCATAAAGGAGTGGCTAACTGGCTAACCACTTGTTTAAAAAGCCTGATGTCAGACAATATAAAAAGCAGAGACATCACCTTGCCAACAAAGGTCTGTATAGTTAAAGCTATGGTTTTCCCAGTAGTGATATATGGAAGTGAGAGCTGGACCATAAAGAAGGCTGATCGCCGAAGAATTGATGCTTTTGAATTATGGTGCTGGAGGAGACTCTTGAGAGTCCCATGGACTGCAAGAAGATCAAACCTATCCATTCTGAAGGAAATCAGCCCTGAGTGCTCATGGGAAGGACAGATCCTGAAGCTGAGGCTCCAATACTTTGGCCACCTCTTGAGAAGAGAAGACTCCCTGGAAAAGACCCTGATGTTGGGAAAGATTGAGGGCACAAGGAGAAGGGGACGACAGGACGAGATGACTGGACAGTGTTCTTGAAGCTACCAGCATGAGTTTGACCAAACTGCGGGAGGCAGTGGAAGACAGGAGTGCCTGGCGTGCTCTGGTCCATGGGGTCACGAAGGGTCAGACATGACTAAACGACTAAACAACAACAGGACAATATATTCTCCTTTCCAGTGCTTTTTTCTGGGGGTTCTCAAGGCTACGCAGTACCAGCCCCCTTTTTTCTAGAAGATAAGCACTGGTTTAAAATGTGGCACTTACTTCATGGTGATTACTGGCCCACTCCCCCCCCACCCCCGTAGAAAGGCACTGCTCCTTTCCCATGTTTCCTCTCTCTGCACTGTGATTTGACTCATCATTCTGCTCGGCTGCATTATATTTTAATGAGCTGTGTATTTTTTATTAGATGTTGCCTTGATCGTTTTACATACAATGTTAGATGCTCTGCTGCTTCTTTCAGAGCCATGAAATGGGATACACTTTATAAACAATGGGTCAATATGTCTACTCAAACCTATGTCTACTCAGAAGCAGGGCCTTCCAAGGTCAAGAAGACTTCCTCCACAGTGATGTAGGACTGAAGCCAGGGCAATCCTGGAGTGGGACAGGGGCAAGACCTTTTCTGTTGGAAAGCTGTTTCTTGTGGAAGTCCCTCCTTGGGAAAACTCAGCACATATGTTTGGAAGACAAGTAAAAACTTACATATTCAGGGAAAGAACTCTATACTCTTTCCTCACCACCTCCACTGTAATGCTGGTGCTATATTGCCTAGAAATGAGAATGGATTCCTTTAAACTATTTTAAATTATTACAAAACAAAAGGCACTCCTATCATGCGATAAAGTGAGTCAGCCAACAAAGAATCACGAATTCACTTTACTCTGCTAAACATAGAAACAGATGTGTTTAAAAAAAGAAAAAAGAAAGAAATCTCTTTTATTCTTCTACCGTGTTGGCTGCTGACAGATCAGCTATGCAAAGTTGATGACACAGCTTAGAGATCAAAAAAGGCCTCTCTTACCAGCCACCATCTTCCCAGAAACATTAATTGTACAACACGGCACACAATTCATTGTAGCTGATCTACATAATAAGCCTTCCAGAGCTTAATGACACTGAGGAGAAAGAAAGCTCCACATGTAGGAGAAATCTGAATATCAAGAGGAATAAAATTTCTGAAGATTGCCCAGACAATACCGCACAGTGAAGAATGCCAATTGGTACGTTTGAAAACCGAAAATTGCCAGGCACAAAGGGGAAAAAACCAACCTATAAAATATGCAACCCATTATGCAAAGGAACAGATGTCTAAGCGCACAAATTTCATGCTCTGTCTCCAAAAGAATACAAAATGGAAGGCTTCCCTGGATCTAGGAGGAAGTGTCTTTTACAAAGATATGTCAGGACTGTTTTCGCCTTAATCATTACGTGCCAAGGCAAAACATAGGAGTTACAGGAAGACAGTGTTAGAATTCCTGCTCCATGATTGCAGTCATGGGATTTTTGTCTATCCCATGACGGTGTATGTTTTGACTCCACAAAGTGGGAAGTGACGGAGACAGGATGTTTGTGTTACTGTGTTCCGTGAAGTGGGACTATTGCCCTTTGTTCTTTCTCTTTGCTGTCTGATGCTAGAGAGGGAGACATGTTGCAGTGCTCTGTGTGTGTTTATATGTAGATAAAGTAGATTAGCCAAAATGCTGAGTTGCTGAGGTCTATTACGCAAGCTGCACCACACTCTGCGGATCCCTAAGTGTGCCGATGTCTGTTGGCATCGGTCGCTGTGATGTTCGGGCTGAAGAAATCTTATGAAGCTCCCGAACAAATGATCAGGAGGGAGAGAACATGCCAGTCGGGCATGTGTCTCTGCCAGGGTCCTACTCGAGTGTAGGCTGAGCTCCTGACAGGCAGATGCTTGAGAGAGATGTAAAAATGGCAGTACTTGAAACAGAAACCAAAGATCATTCAAAGCTTTTCCTTTTCAGTGGTTCTGACATTAGTTGACTATCAGACTCATGCATGCAGCTTCTGTGGTAGTAGCTATCTTTTAGCTCCATGAATGGACACTTTTCAACACTTGCCTCAGGCATTTTTTGCATGCTGGTCCAATAGCAAACTGAAGCTCACTAGTGCATATTCACTAGGAAGTACTTTGACATCATGGAAACCAATGGGTGCGAAAGTATTCTAGAGGAACACAGAAAGTTTCCTTTGCACTGACTGAGTAGGACTATTTGTCTATCTATTCATTGAATCATAGAATTGTAGAGTTGGAAGGGACCCCAAGGGTCATCTAAATCAGGCATGTCCAACAGGTAGATTGTGATCTACCGGTAGATCACTGGGCATCTGCGTTAGATCACTGGTAGATCATTGGCTCCCCACAAAGAAGCTGAACGACTGCAACTCCCCTAAAAACTTTGACCTGAACTCCCCAAAAATGGGCCTTCCTCCTTCCTAACAAAAGCTCAACAACTTTGACCTGAACCCCAAAAAAGGGGGTAGATCACTGCCAGTTTTTAACTCTGTGAGTAGATCACACTCTCTTGAGATTTGGCCACCCCTGATCTAGATCAACCTCCTGCAATGCAGGAATCTCAGCTAAAGCATCCATATCAGATGACCATCCAACCTCTGCTTAAAAACCCCCAAGGAGTCCACAACCTCCCGAGGGAGACCGTTCCACTGTCAAACAACTCTTCCTGTCAGAAAGTTCTTCCTGATGTTTAGTCAGAATCTCCTTTCTTGTGACTATAAGCCATTGGTTCGAGTCCTACCCTCCAGAGTAGGAGAAAACAAGCTTGTTCCCTCTTCCATGTGACAGCCCTTGCGATATTTGAAGATGGCTATCTTCTCTCCTCTCAGTCTCCTCTTTTCCAGGCTAAACATGCCCAGCTCCTTCAACCGTTCCTCATAAGGCTTGGAAGTGTGGTGCAAATGTGTCCAAGGCACACCTCTTGTTAAAAAAAAGGGGGGAAACGAGGACATGTTGGGGTCTGCGCGCACGCACACACACACGCACACACACACAGAAACAGAGCAGATGAAGTGTATCCCAATACTTAAGATGTGTTTACACTACTAAGGCAGTTGAAACCTGATAATAGATTGCTTTGAACTTGTGTGGGGTGACCTGTGCACTTCCTCCCTTGGATGGAAAAGCTGAATTAGAATGGGCAGGCAAGAAATAAACTCCAGCCTCCTTGAAGCAATGAGACTCAGCTGATGAGACATGTGATTGCTTCTTAATGAATATATATATATACAACAGAGTAGCTGCCAAGTCAGTGTTGACAATACTGATCTAGATAGACCTTCCCATGTTCCTATGCACCCTTGGTCTTGCATACTGCAGCCATATGGAACGTGCCTGTTGTTGCTTTTAGATGGCATTGTACATGCAGCAAAACCAGGACAGTAGAGGGATCACATCTGTCTTGTATTTCCCATATAAGAGATACTCCCTGCTTGTAGAAAGCTAGCCTAATGAGCAAGAAGGTGACTATCTTCCTGGTGTTCTGAGCGCTAGTTTTCTATATGCAAGGAAGGTTTGATTTTGATTTTTTTTTTTAAAAAAAAAGGTGATCATTTTGGAGAGCATTAGCAAAATGTGTTTCCAGACTGAAATGGGAGGGAATTCCATTTGGAGAGTTCAACCAGAGATTTAATTCCAACTTGTGCATTTCAGGGTGGTGTGTTTGTGTGTGTGATGGGAATATTGCCCGTAAAAAATAGGGCTTTCAATTTAATCTGTTTATTGGGACCAAAAATACCTTCAGATGTTTACTTTGGGGTTTGTTTGTTTTTAAATAAAAAGAACAGCTCAAATGTTTATTATTCTAGCCAAAACTTCCTTCACTGTTTCCGCCCATTCTTTAGGGCCATTAAGTTGGGCTTTTGGTCCTTGGAAGTTGCCGTTTCTTAGTAAAACTGAGATTGTTTTCAGAGAGGGGAATGACAATCAGGATCAGGCCTGTGATCCATAGGTGATGTTTCTGATTTAAGATCTGCTGGTTCCATCAGTTGTTTTTTTGTACCTTGATGAAGTCTTATCACTCGCACTTTATCCAATAAATGCCCCGTGACGTGTATGAATGCAAACTGAGGAAATGTATTATTGAGAAGTCGCAATTTTAGAAAATGTTGAAATTGACTGGATGTATATATACAACAGTAGATTTTGCTTTCGTTGTTGTTAAAACATGCCAAAGCACAAACTGCGCATTAGTATTATTGGAAAGTGTTCGGCTGAGGTAGGGGTTGCCGATACAAAATAATAAGAAGTATTCCAATGGGTCATTTGCAGAGCAGAATTTTGTCTTCTCCTTGGTCAAAAGCCACAAGGAGTGCTTTGTTGTGAACAACGGACTTCCGCACAACAAAATGGGAAGTGTGGTGTAATGGTTAGGCCTATGAGCTGGGAGACCAGGGTTCAAATCCCCGTGCAGCTATGAAGTTCACTGGGTGACTTTGGGCCAGTCGCCATCTCTCAGCCTGACCTACTCACAGGGTTGCCTTGTGGATTAAATGGGGAGGAGAAGAACCACACGTACCACCTTGAGCTCCTTGGAGGAAAAGTTGGGTTGCAAATGTAGATAAATAAATACATTTATTAAACGTTCAGGTGACTTCTTTTTAGGAGCACAAATCTGTCTGACATGGCAAGGGGGGGGCATGTCTGGTGGGGTCAGAAAAGCTGCCATTCCTTTTGACGTTTAACAATGTCAAACTACGTTGACTATACGTTGACTACCTTAGTACTTGAACGGCTCGGCTACCATACACCGCAAACCTGGAAGTGAGTGTTCCAATTTGCGAACATTTTTCGGAAGCCGAACGTCCGACATGGCTTCTGCAGCTTCCGAATGAGTGCAGGAAGCTCCTGCAGCCAATCAGAAGCCGTGCCTTGGTTTTCGAACGGTTTCGGGAGTCAAATGGACTCCCAGAACGGATTAAGTTCGAGAACCAAGGTACCACTGTATAGAACTTTGTTTTGCAGAGTTTGTAATTGATTTGTAAATGTTACAAATCAAGAAACAAATTAATAAGGGACTTACAAACCTACCCCTACCATCATTGCTCAGTCCTTATTGAGGCTAAAACTTCTATCTAAGTTATTACACATAACAGGCTAATTTGAGACCCACATTATACATTGAGTGACCATAATTCAGATGACATATACAGTGGTACCTCAGGTAAAGTACTTAATTCGCTCTGGAAGTCTGTTCTTAACCTGAAGCACCACTTTAGCTAATGGGGCCTCCTGCTGCCACCGCGCTGCCATCGTGCAATTTCTGTTCTCATCCTGAAGCAAAGTTCTTAACCTGAGGTAATATTTCTGGGTTAGTGGAGTCTGTTACTTGAAGCATATGTAACCTGAAGCGTATGTAACCTGAGGTACCACTGTACGTGTTTCGCAAGAAGAAGATCCCAGATTCAAGCTCTGGACTTTCAAATAAAAATGTTCACATAGCACAGCATCTGAGACCCTGGAGAGCTTCTGCCAGTCAGAGCATACAATATTAGGTTAGATCAGGAGTACCCAATATGTTGCCGTCTATTACAACTCCCAACATCCCTGCTTGCTGAGGCTGCATATTAACTCCATGGATGGTCCACTTTCTTTCTTTCTTTTTGAAATAAATTTTTATTTGATTTTCAAAAATATAAACATACCACAAAAACAATTCCAAATGTTGAGATTGCTCTGAATCTCCCGACTTCTCCCTATCCCTTCCATGGGCCCTATTAATCCTATTTTCAACTGCATATCATTGCTTCTCCATTTTTTATCTTCCTAAATTACCCATACATACATTCCTAAATTTTTCTCCAATTTTTATCTTCCTAAATTATCCATATATCCATCCATACATTACAAGTGTGCTTAAAATCTTGCCAATGTTTAAACCTGTTATTAAACAATGTTTTTATTACAATAATCTTCTATATAAATTATAAACTTTTCCCATTCTTTTTTTTAAAAAAGATCTTGTCTTCTTGATTCCTGAGCTTCCCAGTTAGTTTTGCCATTTTGGCATAATCCATCAGCTTGGATGGACCGCTTTAAATGCTCATTAGCACATTTATTTAAAAGATGTGAACAAAAGGTGCTGACTTTCACAGGCAACTTCATAACACTAGCTTAGTTTTTGCTAAGTTTAAAACTAATTAAACTTAGCAGCAGCAAGGGACGCGGGTGGCGCTGTGGGTTAAACCACAGAGCCTAGGACTTGCCAATCAGAAGGTCGGTGGTTCGAATCCCCACGATGGGGTGAGCTCCCTTTGCTCAGTCCCTGCTCCTGCCAAACTAGCAGTTCTAAAGCACGTCAAAGTGCAAGTAGATAAATAGGTACCGCTCCAGCAGGAAGGTAAACGGCATTTCCGTGCGCTGCTCTGGTTCGCCAGAAGCGGCTTAGTCATGCTGGCCACATGACCCAGAAGCTGTACGCCGGCTCCCTCGGCCAATAAAGCGAGATGAGCGCCGCAACCCCAGAGTTGGCCACGACTGGACCTAATGGTCAGGGGTTCCTTTACCTTTTTACAGCAGCAAGAGTGCTACTTGCCCAAAAATGGAAAGAAGAAGTCTCAGCAAAGGAAGAATGGATACAAAAACTTATGGAATATGCAGAAATGGTGAGACTTATCAGAAGAGTAAGAAATCAAGATGACAAACTTTTTATAAAAGAATGGAAATGGTTTATTGAATATTTACAGACAAACTGTAAACAGATAACAACCACTGGCAGGATTATTGTGATAACCTGCAGTTACATAAGTGTATATATTTAAAGAAGATAAAAAATAAGTTAATTTGGATATGCAGAAGATATTAAAAATAATTTTTACAGAAAGAGGGGAAGGAAGTCAAGTTTTAAAAAATGTCAAAATGACTTGATGATCATCATCATCAAGTCATCAAAATGACTTTGATGATGGTGGTGGTGGTGGTGAGGATGATAATTATAATAATTTATTATTTATACCCCTCCCATCTGGCTGGGTTTCCCCAGCCACTATGGGCAGCTTCCAACAAAATATTAAAAATACAATAAAACATCAGACATTAAAAACTTCCCTAAACATGAAATGTATATATCTGAAAAGTACAAATGAAATTTTTAAAAAAAACTAATAAAATGGTGGAGCTAACCAGACAAGCTATCCGTTCTAAAAGCACATTTAGAAACACATAGCAAAATAATAGATTTTAGGAGTTAAATGGAAGGTCCCCCCCCCTTTTCCTTTCATGTTAAAATGATTATATAAGCACAGAGAATGTAATACTTCTAAGAGACTAGATTAGATACCTTGGGGATTCATAAATGAATATATACACACCAGCTAATTACAAATCAAAAAGTCACACACACACAAGAGAGGCAAACTAGCACTCACATTTTGCATGTACACAGAGAGAAGGATCCCCTAACATGCCATTCGTGTCTCCAAACAATTGTTAATTTTATGGGAGTGCAAAGAAACCATGTCAACAATCAACCATGTAAGCGTGGGAACAGCTACACTAAATGGGGGAAACCCATCCATAACCACCAAATCATTATTTAGCGTATTTATTTTGACTAAGTTAACTCGTAGATGGTCAGTGAAACCATTTGAAACCATTGCTTGACGCAGAGGAGGCAAGTAGTTAAAACAGTACCTTCAGCACTAAACCTGTGGACAGCTCCGGTTAATCTATAGGCAGGTTTTCCCCAACCGTCAATAATCTTAAATTTTGCTTTTTAATCTGAAAACTAACTCTGGAAGTTTCAGCCAAGAGCAGAAAAGCAGAGTGAATGGGGACAGGGCGGGGGCTGGGGGAAAAGGAGGGCTTGTTAACCCTTTCCCTTCCCATCATTTGATCTCTCAAAATTGCCCTTAGAATCATAGAAATGTAGACTTGAAAAGAGCCCTTCTCCCCAGTGCTTTTCTTCTAGGAAAAAAAAGGTGTTGGTGCTGTGTAGCCCCAGAAAAAACACTGCTGTTCCTTGTAGCTGAATTTCCTCCATGTTGTTGTTGTTTAGTCGTTTAGTCGTGTCCGACTCTTCGTGACCCCATGGAGCAGAGCACGCCAGGCACTTCTGTCTTCCACTGCTTCCCACAGTTTAGTCAAACTCATGCTGGTAGCTTCGAGAACACTGTCCAACCATCTCGTCCTCTGTCGTCCCCTTCTCCTTGTGCCCTCCATCAGGGTCTTTTCCAGGGAGTCTTCTCTTCTCATGAGGTGGCCAAAGTATTGGAGTCTCAGCTTCAGGATCTGTCCTTCTAGTGAGCACTCAGGGCTGATTTCCTTCAGAATGGATAGGTTTGATCTTCTTGCAGTCCATGGGACTCTCAAGAGTCTCCTCCAGCACCATAATTCAAAAGCATAAATTCTTTGGCGATCAGCCTTCTTTATGGTCCAGCTCTCACTTCCATACATCACTACCGGGAAAACCATAGCTTTAACTATACGGACCTTTGTTGGCAAGGTGATGTCTCTGCTTTTTAAGATGCTGTCTAGGTTTGTCATTGCTTTTCTCCCAAGAATTTCCTCCATAGTGGCCCACAATTTGTGAGAGGGGGCACTAGGTTGAATCCTGACAAGACAGAAGTACCGTTTTGGGGGGCCAGGAGGCGGTCAGGTGTAGAGGACTCACTGGTCCTGAATGGGGTAACTGTGCCCCTGAAGGACCAGGTGCACAGCCTGGGAGTGACAGCTGTCCATGGAGGCACAGGTCAGTTCTGTGTCCAGGGCAGCTGTCTACCAACTCCATCTGGTACGCAGGCTGAGACCCTACCTGCCCGCAGACTGTCTCACCAGAGTGGTGCATGCTCTAGTTATCTCTCGCTTGGAATACTGCAATGCGCTCTATGTGGGGCTACCTTTGAAGGTTATCCAGAAACTACAACTAATCCAGAATGCGGCAGCTAGACTAATGACTGGGAGCAGCCACCAAGACCACATAACACCGTTCTTGAAAGACCTACACTGGCTCCCAGTATGTTTCCAAGCACAATTCAAAGTGTTGGTGCTGACCTTTAAAGCCCTAAACAGCCTGTGTCCAGTATACCTGAAGGAGCGTCTCCACCCCCATCGTTCTGCCCGGACACTGAGGTCCAGCTCCGAGGGCCTTCTGGCGGTTCCCTCACTGGGAGAAGCCAAGTTACAGGGAACCAGGCAGAGGGCCTTCTCGGTAGTGGCACCCGCCCTGTGGAACACCCTCCCACCAGATGTCAAAGAGAAGAACAACTACCAGACTTTTAGAAGACATCTGAAGGCAGCCCTCTTTAGGGAAGCTTTTAATGTTTAACAGACTGCTGTATTTTAATACTTTGTTGGAAGCTGCCCAGAGTGGCTGGGGAAACCCAGCCGGATGGGCAGGGTATAAATAGTAAATTAGTATTAGTAGTAGTAGTAGTAGTAGTAGTAGTAGTAAGGACCTGTTTTGCTTGCAAAAGACGTAGATAGTGCAATCTGCTCTGGACCCCCCCCCCAGCAGCAATCATAGGACAAAGACCCCTCTCCTTCCCTCAGGATCAACCCTCAATTGCTGCCACCAACTTTATGTAATAGAGACACAGCTGCCAGGGTCATCAGTTTTCTGGCTTGGCAGTTACCCAAGCCATTTGCAATGAACATAACCACACCAGGAACCTCAGCAGGGACTGTACAGTAAAGCCGTAATAGGTCTTACAGCACAGCGTCAGAATAGTGCAACATCAAAGGATATCAACACAGTCTTTTGAAAGGGTACATCCTTATCTGTCCTCATGACAATTACGTTATCAGACCTCCCTGAAGAACAGGATTGCTAAGGTGCACATCAGAGAATAAGCATTTACCTTTAAAATCACTGATAAAGTGAGAAACAGGGTTGCAGACACTCCTGGCTCCTTCTCCTCTGCTCCTTTCTTTTTTGCCTGTCCTTGCCCACCTGAGGTAGGAGAACAGAACTCTACTCCTACCTCTATGGCAGGCACAGGCAGGTGGATGAAAAGGATCAGAGGAAGAGGGGAAATGGTACCTTCTAGCCTCCTTAGATGTGTGTTTAAAGAGGGAAAAGTTTATTTTCCAGGCTGCAACCCAGCAATCCTACAGAGGACTGCTGTGCTGTGAGTGCTAGGACTGAAAACCTCCTGCCTTTCATGACTTCCAAAGGAAGAGGAATCTGGAGCAGGTCTTTGCTCAGTAGCTCAAGCAGGCTCATTTTTCCTTAATGAGTTCATCAGAAATCAACAGTGGACTGACTTCGGTCTGCTTGGGCAGAGATGGGTTCATTGTGTAATAAACGAAAATCTGCCCTTATTCCCTTATGGGGGACACAAGAGCCTTTACAGGTTCTCCATCGGTCGGAGAAAATAACAGAGGCCAACCAGAGAATATTGAGAAGCAAAGCAGCTAGTAAGCCTGATCTTTATTGAACTGTTGCTACAGGGTGCTCCCCTCACATGCAGGAAAGGAGGAGGGCCCCGAACAAAGGTGTGCCTGCCCTTATACTGTATAGACATTTTAAATTGCCCACCCTGGAGTCCAAGACCACCCCGAGATACATCATACCTACATCACCGAAAAGATGGTCTACAACAGAAATAGGAGTGCGCTATTTTTCTCCTGTCTGGCAAGTTACCTGTTAATGCTCGATTGGATACCCTGGGGAGCCTGGCCAGTCTTTTGTAATGACAAATACTTAGTTCCTGAGCCAGGTCACAGGCTCACCTTATTCATCCATAGACATACCCTTAAGACAGGATTTGTGAAGGGAAAGACAATGGGGAGGCTTTTCCATTTTCCTTTGACCTTGCAGAGAAAACATTTGGTCAGTTTGGGAGTCAGGGCTGTTTTCCTGTGCTGCTTCAGACATGTGGTTTATATATTTATGTACATGTTTGCTTGGTACATTTATAAACATTTATTATATATACGAGACCTTAATTTTTTTATTTCAATTGCAAGTCTCCCTGCACCACTGAAGCCCAAAGGTAGGCCAGCATTGTGCCACTGTTATGATAGCACATGTCACTCATGGACAAAGCACATAGTTTGAGTGCCAAAGATCCCAGATTCAGTCCCTGGGATTCGAAAAGCTGTGGGGCTCATAGGCCTGTGCCTATTTGGTCATCGGGCACTGCTGAAGTCACTCCTCTAGGTGTGGGTAGTCATTACAGATAGACTTCATCAAATCTAGGATTCATTTCCTTCCATTATGGCCTTTTGTTCCCAGCAAGTGAGTACATATGGGAGCACATAATTTATTCCCAGAGGGTGAGGTTGAAACATTCTGGATATCATTGCCCAATCTTTCTAGATCATGCCTTTGTTTAGGCGGCAGGCTACGATGTCCTCATGTCAAATTATGGCACATTGCTTATCCATGTGAATTAAGTCCTGAAATCACCGGTCAGGCCATAAACAAGCACATACAAGCCAACAGCCGAAACTTAACTACTAAAGCTTTCCCCCCAGAAAGCAAATGTGAAGAGCTGGAAAAGATTCCACCTATTGAATTTTTCTTGCCACAGAGCTGCTTAAAGCAACAGGGGTCCTATCACACACACACACGCCTCCACCACACATCCTGTTAACAATACACAATTGTAAAGCTGAAGGCACAAAGCAAAAGTAAACTCTTGGTAAATAATATCACACAGCACAGGAAAAAGAAAATCAGAAGTAACACATCGCACAGATAACAATAATAAGATAGCCATATCCAGTCCAGAGTGTGTGTGTGTGTGTGTGTGTGTGTGTGTGTGTTTGTATAAGCACCTACAGTTTGAAAGGGACACAGGTGGCACTGCGGTCTAAGCCACTGAGCCTCTTGGGCTTGCCGGTCAGAAGGTTGGTGGTTCGAATCCCCACGATGGGGTGAGCTCCCGTTGCTCAGTCCCAGCTCCTGCCAACCTAGCAGTTCAAAAGCACGCCAAAAAGTGCAAATAGATAAATAGGTACCACTCCAGCGGGAAGGTAAACGGCATTTCTGTGCACTGCTCTGGTTTCGGTGTCCCATTGTGCCAGAAGCAGCTTAGTGATGCTGGCCACATGACCCGAAAAAACTGTCTGCGGACAAATGCCAGCTCCCTTGGCCTGTAAAGCGAGATGAGAGCCACAACCCCAGAGTCATCTGCGACTGGGCTTAACTGTCAGGGGTCCTTTACCTTTACCTTTACAGTTTGAAAGCAGATCTTAGGCATGGCCAGAGCCCTTTGGATATGCTAGCACTACAAAGCTGCTGTTGAGAAACCCGTCTCTTCGGTATAAAGGAGAACAACATGGGCTACTGTGATCAAACTCTGTGATCAACATCGCTATTGAATATTACTCTAGGCCACATTCACACCAGGCATTTAAAGCACTATGATGCCTTCTCAGAGAACTCTGAGAAGTGTAGCTCTGGGAGGGGCTCTGAGATGAAAGGCTGCTATTTAGTCACCAGGGACCACAAGTGGAAGTGTGCTGTTGCCCTCGTGCCCTGGCTGTGGGCTACCTATAGGCATCCAGTGGGCCATTGTGAGAACAGGAGCTCCTGAAGCTCCCCACCTCCCCACAAGCATGTATCTCAGGCCACTGAATGTGTATTATTGTATTTACTTTTCAGCTGTTTCCATTTCCCAAGGCATCCAGTCTACATGTTCCACCAGAAAGAAATTAACTAATCTTATTTTCAGATAGCGCCTTACTCTTCTTGCTGTGTTGAATCCCTTCCCAATTCTATGCAACCTTTGCTGATTTTTTTTCCAGTTAAACAGAGCTGTTACAATGTAAAGCTTTCCCACAGCAGAACACCAGCTCCAGAAATCCCACTATCTCCCTAAGCAGATATGAAATGAATACAGCAAGGACAACCAATGCACGAGGAAAAGGAGATTTGTTGCAGCACACATTAAATTTGGCAGGGATTTGTTCTGTTTCAGCTGCAAAGATTGATAGGGGTAGCCATAGGATTGGAATAAGAGACTACCAAGCTCACGGAAACCGATTCATCAACACAGAAGCTAGGCATTATATTACACCTGTATGCACACACACACACACAGAGAGAGAGAGAGAGAGAGAGAGAGAGAGAGAGGGTCTGCCAGACATCTTTTAGGGTCCCAATTGACCAACCAAGAGAGGCAAACGAGGATGCCTTGAAATGTTGCAGTTGAACTGCTCAGATCACACAAACACCCCACGCAATACAAGACATACTTGTATTGGTTTCTCCTGGATTCCGATATCAGTAACTTCTTAATTATATCTGAAGGAGCGTCTCCACCCCCATCGTTCTACCCGGACACCGAGGTCCAGCACCGAGGGCCTTCTGGCGGTTCCCTCACTGCGAGAAGCCAAGTTACAGGGAACCAGGCAGAGGGCCTTCTCGGTAGTGGCGCTCTCCCTGTGGAACGCCCTCCCACCAGATGTCAAAGAGAACAACAACTACCAGACTTTTAGAAGACATCTGAAGGCAGCCCTGTTTAGGGAAGCTTTTAATGTTTGATGTATCACAGTATTTTAATATTTTTTGGGAAGCCGCCCAGAGTGGCCGGGGAAGCCCAGCCAGATGGGTGGGGTATAAATAATAAATTATTATTATTATTAATTCTTCTCGGTTCCAGTTCAAGAGTTGCCTCCAGCAATCAGTTGGCTGCTGGCTTTTCTCTGTAAGCCTCTCACTAAAGAAAGTCCCAGTTGGTTGTGTACCCTCCCTGTGACTTCATAACATGCACCCCATCCTATTTCTTTGGCTCTCGAGGGACCAATAAGGGACGCAGGAAGCTGCCATACTGAGTCAGATCATTGGTCCATGTAGCTCAGTCTACCCACTGACTTGTAGCAGATCTCCAGGGTTTCAGGAAGTCTCTCCCAGTCCTGCTTGGAGATGCCAGAGATGGAACCCATGACCTTCTACATGCAAAGCAGATGTTCCACTGCTGAGCTACAGCTCTGGCCCTAATGCTAAGTGACCACTGGAGCTGTGCAATATACAACTTTTATGATGAGGAAAGAAAGTCTTGGGTAACCTGTGTCATAGAGTATGCATCGGGGTGAGGAACTGGACCCACCAAGTGAGATGGATTTTTTTCCTCCTTCACTCTCTGTAGACCAGCAGTTCTCAACCTGTGAGTCCCCAGATGTTGTTGGACTACAACTCCCATCATCCCTGAGCTCTGACCTACCTTGCTAGCTAGGGATGATGGGAGTTGTAGTCCAACAGCATCTGGCAACCTACAGGTTGAGAACCACTGCTGTAGACCAAGTTTGAAAGTAGGTGGGGCCATCTACCTGTCCATTGCATGACATCATGCACATGAAGGAGCATCTCCACCCCCATCATTCTGCCCGGACACTGAGCTCCAGCTCCGAGGGCCTTCTGGCAGTTCCCTCACTGCAAGAAGTGAGGTTACAGGGAACCAGGCAGAGGGCCTTCTTGGTAGTGGCGCCCACCCTGTGGAACACCCTCCCATAAGATGTCAAGGAAATAAACAACTTTTAGAAGACATCTGAAGGCAGCCCTGTTTAAGGAAGTTTTTAATGTTTGATGTTTTTAATATCCTGTTGGAAGCTGCTTAGAGTGGCTGGGGAGGCCCAGCCAGATGGGTGGGGTATAAGTAATAGAATAATAATAATAATAATAATAATAATATATGCTAATGTGAGCCACAGTTCCAATAAAGACTACTTTACTGACATTGAAGACTCTGGACCCGGAATCTGGTTCCCTGCCCACCTCCATCAGAAATACAGTAAATAACAGGGCAGGGCCTTTTCACCTGCGGCACCCAAGACATGAAACAGCCCCCCAGTCTGAAGGAAGCTCCTCCTTGCTCCTTTGCTGCTCATTGTTTAGACAGGAACCAAAGGCTGTTTGATTTCAGCTAATTTTTATAGGTTACTAACCTGCAGATGTTTTATGCTGCTATTGCTTTTTAAGTTTTTTTTAAAATCAGCATCATTTTTATTGATATTTTGCTCTTTTTCATATGTGCTCTGCTTTTTGTTGATACCTTGATTTATTATTGTGTCTTGTTTTATTTTAGATTGAAACCGCCTTGAATATTTTGATTGCAAATCACCTTTAACATTTTAAATGTCAACTAAGAAATTAGCACAATGTATCACAATTATATATTTAAATGCTGCGATAAAAGAGAATTTCAGACGGTGCCATTTCCCCCACCTTTGTAGCATGAAACAAGCCATGTTTCCAATTTCGAGAAGCTACGGTACTTGTTTTTCTCTTGCATTAGTCAACTCTGCCAAACACAAGAGAACATATCAGCCCTTTTAAAAATGACCAGCATTGGCTTTTTCCCTTCTTCACCTCATCTACGCAGGCAGGAAAAATCATAAATACTTTCCACTTTAGGTCATCTGCAAACAGGAGTCCTGACTGAAACCAAATTTCAGGAACTCCTTCATTCCATTTGCTGCACAAACTACACTGAATTATTATGTTTTAAGCAAGAAGTTCGGTTTCATTAGATGCATGAATTATTGGCGATTTTGCTAAGATTTCTAGCATCCTTTGGCACATTACAGGTTAAGTTATTCCACTTTCTATTCCATAAAGGGTTGAACTTTTAATCCTCTTAGGCTCGGCTCGGCTGCCTCCTTTGCAGAGCTTAAAATATCTACACCCAACGCATAACAGGTACACTCATCCCAGAATGTGCACTGGGGTGGCTGCTGTAATCTTAGAGCTGCAAATTAGAATCTCCTAAAATGCCTTTTCCCATCAAACTGCATCAGTACAGTGGTACCTCGGTTTATGAACTTAATCCGTTCCGGAAGTCCGTTCTTAAACCAAAACCGTTCTTAAACCGAGGCGTGCTTTCCCTAATGAGGCCTCCCGCCGCCGGTGCCCTTCCACTGTTCGGATTCTGTTCTTAGACCGAGGTAAAGTTCACAAACCGGGACACTACTTCCGGTTTTGCCAAGTTTGTAAACTGAATCGTTTGTAAACAGGACTGTTCTTAAACCGAGGTATCACTGTAATGGGAGAGGATGAGGTGAGAGGCACCTGCAGGACCTTTTCTCTTCGATGCAACTCTACAAAGGGAATACAATCTCTCAGGCCTCACTCCTCTGCAGTCTTCCACTAAATGTTCAGTGCTCATCATCAAGAGGCTAAACTTTTATCACCCAGGCTCCCATCCATATTTGAATTGCACTGCTATTTACATCATGGCAGCCTAAACCATGGGTAGGCAAACTAAGGCCCAGGGGCCAAATCTGGCCCAATCACCTTCTAAATCCGGCCCGCAGACAGTCCGGGAATCAGCATGTTTTTTACATGAGTAGAATGTGTGCTTTTATTTAAAATGCATCTCTGGGTTATTTGCGGGGTCTGCCTGGTGTTTTTAAATGAGTAGAATGTGTGCTTTTATTTAAAATGAATCTCTGGGTTATTTGTGGGGCATAGGAATTCGTTCTCCCCCCCCAAAAAAAAATATAGCCCGGCCCCCCACAAGGTCTGAGGGACAGTGGACCGGCCTCCTGCTGAAAAGGTTTGCTGACCCCTGGGCCCTAACCCTAGGACTTGCTGAGGAAGGGCAAAAAATGTTACCAACGCAACGCCAAAATCAAAACAACTGAAGCAACTCAAGACAGCACAATTGCATTGGTATAGCTACACTAGCCAAGGCTTGTCATTATTATTATTATTTTTATTGTTGTTGTTAATTAAATTGGTACACCGCCTTACACCCGTAGGTCTTAGGGCAGTTCACAGGACAAAATCACAATATAAAAACACAAAATACATAATCAAAATTAAAAAATAGAACAACCCAATAACACCCCCACCCAAACACATTTTTGAAGGGCATTGAATGTCAATCAACCAAAGGCCTGAGAGCAGGCATAGGCAAACTCGGCCCTTCAGGTATTTGGGACTACAATTCCCATCACCCCTAGCTAACAGGACTGGTGGTCAGGGATGATGGGAACTGTAGTCTCAAAACATCTGGAGGGCCAAGTTTGCCTATGCCTGCCTGAGAGGAATGTTTTTGCCTGGCACCTAAAGGTGTATAATGAAGGCACCCAGCGAACCTCCCTGGGGAAAGCATTCCACAGATGGGGGAGCCACCACAGAAAAGGCCTGTTTAGAGCTCCCATATCTTTAAGAATTATTTTTAAATATTTATATTTTTATTAAGGCGATTTCAGTTAAAAGAAATAAAGTGATACAGGGGGGGAAAGAAGGAAAAGTGAGAGGGAGAACAACAACGACGATACATATAAAAACGAGAATATACAAAAAAAGCAATATACGATTTTCCCATACATTCTTGTATAAATTGGTATATTGTTGTTGTCCTAGTGCTTATGTAAATGCTAACAGCCCACTGCATTTTGTATAAACTCATTCCAAATGTTATCATATTTATCCATACAGAGTCTGCGCCTTTAAGAAGTCCATTCATAAATTGCCAGTGATATATCATCAGTCCATTGACTGAAGGGTATCATCTCTTTATTTTTCCAATTCCTCAATATCAATCTCTTGGCCACCATTAGGACATGGAAAATCCATTTCCGTTGTCCTGTTGATAATTTCCATAACAATTCAATAAAACATTCTCTACTGAAAGGTATCTTTAAGAATTATGTAGAGTTGGAAAAAATGCCAAATGCAGTATTTTCACCTGCTGCCCAGATCTCTCAAGGACTGCCTACTCCTATGACAACCTGTCCAATTACTCACATCATCCCTGGTGGTCCTATTCCTAATGCCTCCACAATTCAAGACCCCATAGGCCATCACAAGAAAGAGCACCATCTTGTGAGTCACTCTTGATTAGTGGCAAAAAGCTCACCTGGCTCCTTCCTTGTAGGCATCAGACCAAAAACCTTACAATTTTGTAAAACTTTTGTGGTTGCACATTAACTGTTTCGGTTCCCTGTAGTTTAAGCATCACTTTTCTTTTTAACTCTGTTGATGCTGATATTGTTAGTTGCACCCTGTTGCTATGTCCAAAGCTGGTTTCAATTAATACGTGTGTTCTTATCTTTCAATTGTTGTAAGCCACCTCACGGATCTTTCTGATGGAAAAACGGCGTATATATGCATAAATGAAAGCTGCACCTGCTAAAACTTATTTGTCTCCATTAGAGGTGGCGAACCTGTGGCCCTCCAGATGTTTTTGGACTACAAATCCCATCATCCACAGCCAGCATGGACAAATAGCCAGGGATGGTGGGAGTTGTAGTCCAACAACATATATAAGTTTCAAAAAAGGATGATTAAGCTGTTTGTGTATGTAAGGACAACAGCTAGGATTCTTTATGCAAAAAATGGAAGGAAGAAGAAGTTCCCACCAAAGAAGAATGGATAAGCAATGTGATGGACTATTGCTTTGTAGCAGAATGGAAGCCTTTTTCGGATTACTTAAAGAAATTCCATAATATGATGAACTCATGAGCAGGATTTGAACTATGAGCAACAGAAGGAATTAGAGATTATAGTATTGTTGTTATGGTATAAGAGATAGAAGACGGGTGCAGCAAACAGGGTAAACTAAAAACACCATGGAAAATGGGATGGGAAGTCTACAAAACCAAAGAAAAAAATACTATGTATACAAGTGAGTACGTTAAACTTTTGAAAATTTAATTATAGATATAGATATAAAATAGAAGGCTGAATGTTACGCTGATCTGAGATTAAGTGTCTTCGGGTCCGGCAAGAAAGTTAAAACCACGAATCTCAAACATGCCTCAGCCAGGCACAGGCAAACTTGGCCCTCCAGATGTTTTGGGACTACAACTTCCACCATCCCTAGCTAACAGGACCAGTGGTCAGGGATGATGGGAACTGTAGTCTCAAAACATCTGGAGGGCCGAGTTTGCCTATGCCTGGCCTGAGGTGACATTACTGCCTTTGAAAATACTATCACTGGAGGGAGTCAATGGCCATTTTAAGTATAAAATGATGTCTTCTGGAGGTCATAGAAAAATGGTGACAAAGCTGTGGCCCTCCAGATGTTGTTGGACCGCAACTCCCACCATTCCTTACCATTGACCATGCTGGTTTGGGTTGCTGGGAACTGGAAACCAACAACATCTCTGGAAGGCTACAGGTTTTCGGCCTGTGGCATAGATCGTAAACAAACAAGCAAACTGAAAACACATTTGATACTCAAACTAGTTTTGATGTCCGGTAGTTCCATTCAGCTCCAAAGTTAAGTTATGGTCTTCAAACCAATTATGATTCTCAAACCCAGTTGTTTTAGAATTGTTGATGGCTTCAACATAATGGTTTTGGGGCTTTGAAGCTCAAGGGTCTTCTGTTACTGTACAATACAACACATTCATTGGATGCCTTGGTAAAGCTACCAACTTTATTGACACTCCATATCAGAGCAAAGGGAAAACAAAGACGAACCAAGTTCAAACACTTTGATGAAGCACAAAAGCCCTCCTCCATATTTGCATCAAAAGAAATTGTCAGCAAGACCAGTACCAAAATCTTCCAACATTCCCCCTTTGTGGGATGCCTGTAGGCTGTTTTAGAGAAAGAAACTGTGTTCTAGTCCTGTTCAGCAATCACGCAAATAGTTCGAAGAGCTTTGCCCTACAGATATTGACATTCTTCGCATAATCACCCAATGAAACAAGTCAACTGCTAGTGAGATCAGGCAATTAAAAAAAGAGAAAACCAACAGCAGGTAAGAACGATACTAGTGGCCAGGGGAGCAGGGATGGGTAAAAAATAAGGTTGCTGTTGTTGTCTAGTAGGCTATGGGAAGTATATAGGGAAGATGAGAAAATAAGTCTGTCCAAAATCTGTAACACAGAAGACGTGACTAAGGAGCAAACATGTGATGGTCAATTACAAGTAAGGGGGGTGGGGAAGGCAATTCTCACAACGGGGATTCAGTTTTCATTGCAATAACTGCTTTTAAAGTGTTGTGCACATCATCTCCCTGCCTAAGGCTATTGGTGAAATGTTGCAACTACATGCAGGATTCAGGGCCATAAATGTATCTCAAGTCATTTGGAAGCATAGAGCGATGAAACCAGGGGTGGCCAATGTAGGCTCCTTAAGACGTCACTCTGCTCCACAGATTTCCATGCAAGTACGTTCCGTTCTGTGACACAGGGATATACCCCCAGTCCTGACTAGGGCACTTGGTGCTTCTATGGGGTTCAGCACCAAGAACATGCCTCAATCTCTGTTTTATGGTGTTCCACTGTTGCTCTCTTCAATGCACCAGTCTTCTGCATGGGGAGTAGGAGTCTCTGACTCCCCCCAAGAAGAAGGGTGCTCCTTTAGTGCGTATTTTCTAAAGTACGGGCCGTGAAGATAGAAGCCAGCACAAAGGCTCAACGGCTTACTTAAACATATGGCAGCCACAGCAGTGAGGGAAAGGCCCTCTGCACATGCTCAGAGGCATGCCATTATTCCACACATTCCTGGACACCATTTCTGAAACCCTGAGACCCTGTCTGTGCTGTAAGAGATGTGTATCATTCTGATAGAATCTGGAGGTTGTGGGTGAGGGAGCAGTCTCAGAAATAGGGCTTAGTGAGATTTGGGGAGCCCCAAGAATAATGCTCCACCCTGAAGGAAAGGCAGTTCTTAAATATCGGGCGGGAACGCAGGTCCCCCCACCACCACCACCAAGTTGCCTTACCTCATCCCCCTGGCCAAACTGCAGCCCCAGGGCGACGAAGTGCTCCACCCGGATGAAGCCGTCGGCGTCCTCATCGCACACATCGAAGACCTCCTTGAGCTTCCGCAGAAACTGCATCAGGTTCGGTGGCTCCCCGAGGCCACTGGGCTCCATGGCGCCCTATGGGGATTAGCTGGACGCCGCCGCGGGCGAGAGGCTCTCCCGGTCCATCACCGCAGGAGGAGAAGCGGCGGTGGGGGCGGAGGCGGAGGAGGCGGCAGCAGCCATGATCTGGGCAGGCGAGCGGCTCCTGCTCTTCTCTCGCCTTCAGCCTGAACAGCTTCTGAATGACATCAGCAAAGGGAGGAGAAAGGCGCGCGGGAGGGGGCGGCGGGGGGGAGGCGGAGGGAGGAACAATGGCGAGAGGAGGAGGAGGCAGGGCGCGAGGGGACCAGCTCGCAGGGGACGAAGGATGCACATCAAAGAAGATGCCCGCGGCCGCCCAGGGGATGCGAGCGTTGGGTACCACTAGGGGGCAAGGTTGCCGTTCCGGCGCATGCCATCTCCCCTCAACTCTTCCTCTATCTCTCTCTCACACACACGTACTCACTCAATCTTCCGTTTTCACGTTTCTAAGACGCCGGATTCGTTTACACGAAGAGCCACCACTAAACTCGGCACCTGAGCTGTCGGCATATATTGAAAAACGAGAAGCGCATGTGCCAGATCACATTCGAGAGGTTTAGTTCCCTTGCACTGCTCTGTTATATATACCCACAATCAGTTTTCGGCAGTTTAGATCCCCTCCCCCGCCTTTCAACAGCTGGTTTTGGCAAACGTGGGGATTGTATTCCCGCTTTAGAGACGGGGGAGGTGGACGGAGTCAAGGATGCTAATCTTGGTTAATTGACGTGGTCTTCAAAGGTGAGGTTGGGTAGGTGGCATTAAGAAAATATCTCCCCCACCCCCAGCATAGAAGCCAACTCCTAGGGGCCGAGTTCCCTCAGACCCCCCCCCCCCTAAAATAATGCCCCCAATAAGTTGATTGGCATTGCCATTCAAATGGTGCGCATGTGCCACATAATGTGATCGATTATATGGGGTGGGGCTCATCTGGGCCCCCTCAATATTTTATTCAAGTTGGCACCCCTGACTTTCCAGTGTTTAATCACCTGGTACAGCTAACCGTGTGGGTTAAAGTGTTTAAAAATGTAATACTAGAGAGACACAGAGTCAGCTTTCTGCTCAGCTGAGAAACTCACTGGGAGACCTTGAGTTTGTTGCTATTTTTCAACCTAACCTACCTAACAGGGTCATTGTGAAGATGAAATGGAGAAGGGGCGAATTGCCTTGAGCTTCTTGGTGGAATGGTGATTTTTAAAAAAATATGATTAAATGTTATGGAGTGAATAGTCTTTGCAAGCATGCTGGGTTTAAATTAAGCATGCCATGCTTAATTTAAACCAAGATTCAGCAACTGGCCTCACCCAAGACATGTCAGGTGGTAAATTATTAGGACCCCAATCTCAGGACTAACCATGGAGTAAATTCCATTGGCCTCTGTGGAGCTTATTTCCCATTTTCCTAATGGGACAGTGATGGCTGCTACATTGAATATGATCATGTGAAATAGTCCTCAGACATGAGTTGTTACCTATTCTATAAAGGGAAGAGTGAACAACCATTGCAGGGGGCAATTCCTTTTGGTGCATTCACATCAAAAATTGCCCCATTCGCTAGCATTTCAGAATGAGAAAAGACCAAAACAACAACCCTCAAACCAAAAACCTTGAGCTGGAATAATATTTCACACAAAAATGGCTTTCAAATTTGGGTCCCAGATTTTGCATGTTTACCGTTTTCATGTTTTCTTTTTAACTATTTGATTTCAAGGGGCATGGTGGTGGTTGCTAGGGGGAAAACTTCATATATTTATAGGTAACAGTAATTAGTAATAATTAGTAATTAACAATTAGCCAAATTCAGCCCCTTGCACTCTATTAGGAAAATACATGACAGGTGTGGGTTCCACACACTCCACTAGTAAACACCTTGTTACACATCCCTAAATCAAATCTTCCACAGCTGGGAGGCATATAAATTAGGCAGGAACCAGAGATCAACAGCTCAGGTATCCTGGAGAACTAATGTATTAGCTGTGAAGAGCTGGGAATAGAAAAAAAGAGACTCTCGCTGCTGCTAGATTTCGAGCTGTTTAAATCTTGATTACAGCCTTCGAAGCAAGTGCTGGGATTCTTGTGAAATCCAGGTACTTGAGGGCTTGGACTCTCGCCAGGATTTCTGCAGCTTGATAGCTGGGCCCTGCCTGTTAATGAGTTCACACTGTGCCATTACAGCTGTTTTTACATTTCCTGAGATTTTTATGAGTGATGTTTTGAAGAGCATTACTGGACTTCAACTTCCAGAAGCATTTTCTACTTTTTTTTTTTGCTAGAGATGTTAATATTGACACTTGCAGCTGGAATCAAAGGGCACCTCGTTAAGTACTTGATTCTACCAGCAAAAGGATTCCATTTCAACTTTTTTCTAGAAATTCTGGATTGAAAGGAGGATGTGGGAAATTAGTCTAATTTCTGCTTCTCCATCGTGCTACCTTCTGCAATGTTATCCAGTTGTGGCGCTGCTTTCCCCCCTTTTGCTGCCGGTTTTAATGTTTTCATGTTCGATTCAAAACATATATTAAGCCTTATCTATAATGGACTGCAAGAAGATCAAACTTCTCCATTCTGAAGGAAATCAGCCCTGAGTGCTCACTGGAAGGACAGATTGTGAAGCTGAGGCCACCTCATGAGAAGAGAAGACTCCCTGGAAAAGACCCTGATGCTGGGAAAGATGGAGGGCACAAGGAGAAGGGGATGACAGAGGATGAGATGGTTGGACAGTGTTCTCGAAGATACAAACATGAGTCTGACCAAACTGCGGGAGGCAGTGGAAGACAGGAGTGCCTGTTGGGCTCTGGTCCATGGGGTCACGAAGAGTCGGACACGACTAAACGACTAAACAACAACAACATAAGACATTTTTAAAAATTGCATAGGAATATCAGAATCTGCCTTACACTCAGTCAGACCACTGGCCCATCTACCTTAGTACAGTGGTACCTCGGGTTACAAACACCTCAGGTTACAAACACTTCGTGTTACAGACTCTGCTAACCCGGAAGTAGTACCTCGGGTTAAGAACTTTATCTCAGGATGAAAACAGAAATTGTGCGCCAGTGGTGCGGCAGCAGCAGTGGGAGGCCCCATTAGCTAAAGTGGTACCTCAGGTTAAGAATGGACCTCCAGAACGAATTAAGTTCGTAACCAGAGGAACCACTGTATTATCTACACTGACTCGCAGCAACTATCAAGGATTTTAGATAAGGCTGGGAGAGACACTTACCTTGAGAAACAGGAAACTGAACCTGGAAGCTTTTCTATCTAAAACTGATGCTCTGCCACTGCTGGGTTTCAAGGTGTAGGCATGGTTTGCAAGGACAACACAAAATAACATTGAAAACACCTTACACAGAGTCACACACTTGGTCCATTATAACTCAACCAGGGATCAATGGAAACTTTTGCATGCAAAACATGGATCCCACTGAACTACAACACCACTTCATGGGGGGGGGGGCGGAAATGCTCCTAGGTGTTTTTGGTTTAATGGGCTTGCCTATGCCATATGGGGACATGGGTGGCGCTGTGAGTTAAACCACAGAGCCTAGGACTTGCCAATCAGAAGGTCGGCTGTTCAAATCCCTGCGACAGGGTGAGCTCCCGTTGCTCAGTCCCTGCTCCTGCCAACCTAGCAGTTCGAAAGCACGTCAAAGTGCAAGTAGATAAATAGGTACCACTCCAGCGGGAAGGTAAATGGCATTTCCATGCGCTGTTCTGGTTCGACAGAAGCGCCTTAGTCACGCTGGCCACATGACCCGGAAGCTGTATGCCGGCTCCCTCGGTCAATAAAGCAAGATGAGTGCCGCAACCCCAGAGTCGGCCACGACTGGACCTAATGGTCAGGGGTCCCTTTACCTTTACCTATGCCATTTGATGTCAGGTGTGGTGGGACAGGTTGCAAAGGGACAATCAGACTCTGCAAAAGGCACTGCCAATTGCTCCATGGCAAGCGGGGTTTGTATCAAGGCCCCACCGGGATCATAGCTGTCAACTTTCAGATTTGAAAATAAGGGATCAGCAGCCTTGAAAATAAGGGAGCAGCAGCCTCACCTGTCCCAGGGACAGTCTGCGGGATATCTAACAATCCAGGATAGCAGTGGGAAGCAGCGGGAAACGGCGCTGGAATAAGGGAATTTCCTGCAAAAAAAGGGAAGGTTGACAACTATGATCGGGATGGGCTTGTGCAGCTGATTCCTTGGGGGAGGGCTTGGGGCCACTGCTGAATCCAACCCACACCTGTGAAGGAACTTTCCCCCTTTTTTCTTTTCTGTTCTTTTTGAAAATTATTTTTATTTGATTTTACAATACAAAATTATAAAGTAAAATTCAAATACATATCCATATGCAGAGATTCCTTGGATCTCAGGACTTCCCCACCCCCTCCCTGGAGTTCCCATTTTAAACGTTTCATATTGCATCCTCTTCAATCTCTAACTGTTGTATCAATCCATATTTCCCATGGTATTTGTTACACTACAAGTGGAATCAAAATTCTGCCATTGTTTCCATTTGCTTACAGTGGTGTCTTAAGTAACTTAAAAATTTCCCCCCATTCTTTTGTAAAGTTTTTGTCCTCATAGTTCTTATTCTTGGTCCTCAGCTTGTTTGCCACTCTTCTCTCTTTGGGACTTTGTCTTCTTTCCATCTTTGGGCTAATAACATCTGGGCAGCTATTGTTCCATATATAAAGAATCTTTTCTGGTCTTTTGGGATGTCGGTACCTGTAATTCCTAATAAAAAAAATTCTGTGTTTTTTTTAACAAAAGTCATTCAAAACATTTTTTCCCCAATTCATTGTATATCATCTCCCAGAAAGCTTTTCCTACCCTGCACATCCACCACATATGCTAAAAGTAACCTTCTCTTTCTTTACATTTAACTTTTGCCCTTTTCTTCGTCCTGCTTGAATTTCAGCCAGGCTGCAAAGGAAAAAGCTGTCACCCACCTGTCAAAATGGCCTGCAGAAGTCGAAGACCTCAGGAGCCTGGATGTGCAGATGATGGTGACTTGTTTCACTAATAACCACCAATGTCACTCAGCTTGAGATGAGAATGAAGCAGCCACCAGAGGAGTGGAATTATTATCTTCTAAGGGTGTCATGATCACTGCTGATGGTGACAGCAGTCACAAAATTAAAAGATGCCTGCATCTTGGGA